CTCATGCACTTGCACTGGTTCCAGTCCCAGTGTTTGCAGTTGGAATCGTAGTTATCGCACCATTTGCCCTTACAGCGGCAACTATTCCAGTCCCAATCATCGGGCTTGCAGCGACGGTCGGGGCCATCGCACTTCTTCATGCACTTACACTGGTTCCAGCTCCAGTTGTTGCAATGGGAATCAAAATTGTCGCACCATTGGCCGTTACACTTGCAGCTCTGCGAATTCCAGCGTCCTGGTTCACACCGAGGCTCCTGCTGATTGCATGTGTGGTCCCGCTGGAGGTGCTCCACGGTAGAGTCACGTTCGTAGAGGGCATCCCCATATGTATCTGCCTCGCGAACTATACAGGTTTAGACACATGTAATATGAGAACGTCTAGAGACATACCTTCGAGGTCGTCTAATTCGCCAGGCTCTGCTTCTGCAGACGCAGCTGCGAGCCTGAGGATGAAAAGAAAAAGAACAACAACATTGACCTTCATGATTAAAGGAGTAACGATGGCTGTTGGTTGGGCAGGACAAAGTCGGTGACACTTATTCCAATATTCTTAATTTGTAGCAATGATATCTCTGACAAAACTTGCTAGTTATGTAGAGGGCCGGGGGGTGCAAGTCATGACAGAAGCATCACGACATATCCCGGTCTATTCTTAGTAGTATCAGCTCCCCTGGGTCTAGATAAACTCTAACACCAACCGTGCTACTTGCGTAGAGAGGTCCTAAATCCGAATACGAAATTCAGTTGAGCCAAGGTACATCTTACTATTCGCAGATGGAACTCACCTATAGCTCATCAAAGCGCTGTACGTGGTCACGAGTCGACTGAGACATCCTACTGAGGTTAATTGTTCCAAACCTTCACGCGTGAGCTATGGCATGATCGAGTGGCTGAAATGTCTTGCCGTTCGCTAACGAGGCCAAATTCAGTTCTATATAGTTCTACTGCCCAAGACTCCAGGCGTGACCTATTGATGTGTCAAAAATGAACATAATCCTGACCCAATCGATCCATCTAACCTCAAACTTAAAACAACAGGCCAGATACACAGCCCATACGTTCGTACTTACATATGGTCTAGACTTGCTGGCCGTAAAATATTGCGCTGGAGTGTCTAGACGCTATTCTGAAGTTGGTAGGACTATTAAAAGCAATAAAGTTCCATTAGACGCTTCTAGCCGGTGGTAGATCCCTATGAGATATTCTTGGCTTCCGTCGTTGATTCTGCATCCAAACCCTTAATCTTGGCTGCTTGGCAACTTGGCAGACATTCTAGTCTAGTCATACGATACCCGCGGGGATTTGGCTTCGTTCGAAACCTAGGCAGGAGGTTTGTTTTTAGATGCAGGCTAAAGAAAGAACAAAGAGCATTTTGAAGGGTTGGTTCAGAAACTCAAGGACGAAATTCCAGTCCGCAAGTAAACCGATCCCTTAACCTAGCTCCTTGTGGAGGCTATGATGCCCTGCCGTGGTAAAACGGCTGATGGGTGCGCACAGAGGCCTACGGGAATGTGATCTCATCTATTAAACTGGAGTCCAGAGATGTTAGGTTTCCCATGTCAAAAGCCAGAAATCAGCTCCAGCACTGGTAGATACCAGATTAGTGCTTCCATACAGTGGATCCGGTTTTAGCATCCCTAGCCGAGAAATTGAAAACAACTTTGATTGATGGTGATCGGTCTGAATGATCTCGCCCTACCAAACATTCGCCTAACCTTGAGCCTCTGTGGAGGTGGCGATAGGGGTGCTGGGGGAAGTAGTGGGGGTCATGGAGGGCCATATCTACCGACCCTGCTGATCATTTCCTGGAATGAGGGGCCCATGATTGGTTATGATTATCTGATAATCACTCAATGGTCAATTGTCCACTTTAGGCACTTTAACGGCGATCTTCGCTACTTTCTACAGGCCCTATTGCTGAACCGAACCGCATGTTCAAACCTGCAGGTTACTCCACCATGTGCATGAGGAATCATTCCTGGAGCCATCTAATGTGACCTTTATCAACGCGGAGTCTGACCGAATAACACTTTGATTATCACAGAAGAATGGCATTCCTTAGTCTTAAGCGTCGCAACTACTTTCCATTGTGCCATTACGACCCAGAGTCAAAATCTAGTGTCGGTATTCTATCCCCGGAGCTCCTGACCACGACCGCATAAATACATTCCACCGACCCAGAGCAACAGGCCACAAGCTGATCTGCCTTTTATTTCTGGTGCGGGCTCTTTCAATCATATCCCTTCTCCCGGAATATCCTTTCAATCTCAAAATGGTCAACACTCGGTCTCTCTGTGTCGCCGTCACATTGCTAGGCTCTTATGCAGCTGCACTTCTCACGAACGTCGTCCCTATGGAGAATGGTGTTACTTCGACACTCGCAGAGCGTTGTATACCAGATAACCCCACTTCCTGTGGTGTAAGCTCTGTGAAGCTTGGGGCTCCTGCCAAGCGCACCACATTCCCGACGGTCCTACATCCTGCGATCCCAGCGACCTTAGACAGACTTCTTAGGAATATTCGAGATAGTGTCGTTTCGCCCTTTCGTGTGTTTCTCAGATTTAGCTGTACTGGAGGAAATGAATTGAGAAACCGCAGCCGGTATACTAATAGACTTCAATTCGTTAGGTTGGGTAGACCTTTCAGTAACTACAATCATATACATACTACCAAAGATTAGATGATGTGTCCTTCAGTCTACCTTTCAATGTACTAGCCAATAACATCTCTGGCACGTAACACTTGATGAGGCGAAGCTATCGTTTATAGTGAGTAGGATATCTACTTTGGATAGAGGGGATAGATGGCAATTTAGATACCTCATATACCACAGTGGAGGAGTCCCTGAAATAATTATCATCCACACTGCAGGCCAGCGCGGCCAAGCAGCGTAAATCTCGGTAGGACTACTTCTCAATCCCGTATTGCTCCTTCGTATCGACAAATGCTAAATCTCCAAACCTAAAGCTCGACAGAAGTAGTTCATTGAGGTTTACAAAGAGCCTATCGATCTTGCGGCCGTCACGAGGCCCGTCGTTCCCCTCCCCATCAGCATCTTTGTCAAGAACACGAGAAGCAGACCACGGTCTGCCCAAACCTTAGTCGTCACTACGAGAAATGTGGTCGGATACCGGTTCAGGGTTCCCTGTGCATTTGTCCAGCTCAACATGGTAAACAATACCCTTGAGAGCTCTCTCAGCAAAGTTCTAGATTGCCGGAGCCTGGGCAAGAGGTGCAATGCCGTCTTCCTCAAGTCATTCCCTATTTAGGCCAGAAAGACGATTTGCCACTTCCTCTGGTAAGAGGTTGACGATTGTCTATACCATGGAGGCAGTGTCCTAGCTCAAGGCCTCACAGACGCGGAGGGCAGGACAAGTCAGGACGGGAGGTGAAAGGTCTAGAGTCATCGCCGAGGTAATTGAAACTAACTCCCCAAATCCAAACTCCCGTGGAAACTAATGTGAATATATAAACTAGAAGCATTCAACTGATACTTTGCTTCTAAGCGAGCCCTGTTAATCACAACGAGTGATTGATATCTCGAGCAGCCTCACTGTTAGGCTGCCAACCAACCAGCGGATGGGCGGTGTTAACTATATGCCGATATTGTATACGCAATGTGTAGTAAGTGGGCGTTGATATCTTTAATTCAGGGATGCAGCAAACAACCGAGTACATCCCTAGAGGGTGTAGAATTAGTCAGGAGCAATGTGTTGGTCAATTAGGTTTAGGCTTCACGTGCATGCGTGACAGCATAAGCCCTATATTGGTACTAGTCGCCTCCTTGCTGCATCTACCTCCGGTCCTTCCCGATTCGCGATATTTTGGTTGCTCCGTTTTCTCTGTCTATATATCGCCTCCTCTTTGCCGAACATGAGTGTCCGTGCCCACTTAGTGCTGAATTTCAGAATACTAACAGGTACTAGTGGTTTAGCAATGGATGGCGTTAACGAGCTATCTGCAGGGCACCTACAGAGCCAAGTAATTTTAGCACTAGCAGAGAAGTCTGTCTTGCCGGTGTTGGTGTTGCGGTATTTCCTGATGGTGCCACACGGTTTATCAAACCCTCTGTACCCCTGCTGCAGCTCGCCTTGCCATGTACACGAGGGGCACTGCGTGGTTATGTATTACACGTTTGGTACAATCGTGCCTACAAAATTTGAATGTTGACACTAGTACTCTTTCTTAATGCACATTCTTTATACATAGAGGTCTACTGTACGCATCGACACGAAAGTGTGGGCCAGCTTGAGTCAGCCCCTCTTGGGGTTTTCAAGATGCTAAATATCACATTACCGCAAGAGCTCCGGAAACCCCGCTCCTGATACTCTGGTCCTCGGAATATCCGTCCAGTTAGTGACGATTTAAGATTTCTTGAGGATGCTTCGCGTGGGATTTCTTCAGCTCCGGTTGGTTAGTTCCTCACGGGGAAATTTGTGGCTTGATGTTCGGCTCACATTATCCCAAATGCGTATCAATGCGCAAAAAGTGTCAGATCTGATAAAATCAGAATGTGTCTCAGGACTATTAACAGCATTCACTTGACTTACGAGGAATTACAATGTTGTATACTCTAATATTTCATTGAGTCACTATGTGGCGCCGCAAAATCACAGTCGATGACAAGGCCATTACTGATGGTGTTGGCATCACCCTCAAACAGTCTCTATTCCCATGGTTCCTCGGCAAGTCTAAAAGGTCTGACACAGAGTCTTATCTGAAGATTTTCTAACCGTCTCTGTAATGTCCTTTAGTGACCATCCTGTTTTTCCTCTGGGGCTTCGCTTATGGCCTGCTCGACGTTTTGAATTCCACTTCCAAGCAGAACTAAACATTACCACCAGTATGGCGTCTGGCTTATCTGCTGCATACTTTGGCGCGTACGTCCTCTGTCCCCTAACTATCTCAGGGTGGATCCTTCGCCGTTACGGCTTCCGAGTAACATTCATGGTCGGGTACGTTACTTGATAGATTTCTATAGTTCGTTGCTGATATGCTCCCTCAAAGCCTTGCTGTTCTGGCTGTTGGTTGCCTGCTATTCTGGCCCAGTGGAGTCAAAGCCTCATTTGGGGGCTTCTGTGGTAGCATGTTCGTCGTCGGCGCGGGACTTTCGACATTGGAAACCGGCGCCGACAGCTTCCTCTCTATCTGCGGTCCGCCTCGATACTCGGAAATCCGCCTGAACCTTGCACAGGGTGTGCAAGGGATCGGGTCATTCGCAGCTCCTATACTGGCCTCGCGCGTCTTTTTTGCAAACACCGTTGATACACAGCAAGGCCTGAAGAACGTGCAGTGGGTCTATCTTGGCATCGCTTATTTTTGTCGCCCTTCTTATCATCCTCTTCTATGTGGTCCCGATGCCCGAAGTCACCGACGCAGATATGGGGTTACAAGAGCAGGACATATCTAACAGTGAATCCCGGCCCTTCCGCAAGCAATACAGCCTTTTCCTTGGTGTCTGGAGTCAGTTCTGCTATACCGGTACACAGGTTGCAGTCGCCAACTAATTTATCAATTTTTGCCAGGAGTCTGGGTACAGTTCCGCTATGTCATGTAAGCATGCACCTCTTGCGATTCCATAGTGACCATCCCTAACAGTATTCATACAGCCAACCTGTTAGCTATCGGCCAAGGGCTTTATGCCTTCAACCGCTTCGTTGCCAGTGGATTCATAACGCTCGGTCTCAAGCCTCGATATATCTTAGCGGTATACCTAGCGTTATGCTTTGTCTTCGGACTGGCGGCTACCCTTACGCATGGCGCAACCAGTGTTGCGATGTTAATCCTGGTGTTGTGCTTTGAGAGCGTACGTGTCCCCTGGTAACCATCTGGCATTCTGTGTTTACTGACATTCTCACTAGGCATGCTTCGCAACCATCTTTAGTCTTGCTCTGCGTGGTTTGGGAAATCATACAAAACGCGGCGGCAGCTTGCTCGTCGCCGCCATTTCAGGTGGAGCTGCCATTCCACCGATGACGGGCGCAGTGGCCACGCAGACGGGCAACTTCCACTATGCGATGGCAATCCCGACTGCGTTTTACGTGCTCGTTAGGGTATTCCCAGTGTACACAAATACTGCTAGTAAGAAGTTTTTGGATGGTCATCTTCAGACTGATTTGAACTTGAACGCAAATCATGCTGCGGTGGAGAAAGCTGCACAATTGCAGATGGACCGGACAGACTCGAAGCCTGGTGCTGATCGGGTCGAAACTGTTAATATCTAAAGTGGCATGCCATTGAGAGAGTCTGATTCAGTTGCGTCTTGTCTTCGCGTGTCGGAGATGCAGTTGTCTAGACCTCATCTCGAGTCCATATACGCTACCAAACTATTAGTAAGAATAATAATGTGCTCTACTTCTTCTTGCATAACTTCAATGCCCATACTAGTTCCGTAATAGTGTGGCTACAACGAGAACATGACTTGCTCCAAGACTCCTGGGCCTTATCTTTCTGCACTGAGTGCCGATCTCTTAGCAATTTGGAATAGCCTAGCCCATTGTATATTTATGCAGGGCGTTGACCTAACCTCGATGCGAGTCAGGTTCCAGCAGTTACACGACAACAGCAGTCACTTAATTGGCCTATAAGATACTGGTACATATATATCCGGCTTGGCAATGGCTAAAGTTTCTTACGATTTGTAGTGAGAATATAGTGCTAAACCACTAGTAGGCATGTTATTATATAGCAGCTACGCTATTTTTATCAAGCAACCTTGATACAAGCCATGAAAACACAGCGAGCGTGCATAACAAGCATTGGAAACGTCCTTGACTGCTCAGGTGACCACCAAAGATGGGGAGATTGATAAGATAAAGTGGGGTGGGGTCAGGTGATCCGGGTGGGCCCCAGGTCCAAGTTTTGGAGTAGCTTGAGTGGAGCCAAATCAGGGACCAAATAACTATTAGTAGGTGAGAGTACTCCATAAAGAAATATGACTCCCTTACTGGTGAGATATACTCTCATCTCATAGCGGGGCCTTGGTAAGAGCTGCTCAGGGACTCTAGTGATAGCGGTCACGTCATAGTATTGTGGGCGAGTGATTGGTGCCTGGAATGACTGCCGGCTCTGCCTGATTACTCCGTACCCGGTGATCCGAATGGTTATTTCCACCTGTTTTGACAAACGATACAGTATATGACGTGTAAAAGGTGGTGGTCATCTTGAGAAGACATTCAAAGAAGCAAAAGCCATGAGTGGTGAGCTTGACGCTTCTCACCCACTCAAAGTCCCACCTGGCTTGTGAAGAATGGAGTCGTGTGGGGTAGGGCTATAGACTTGCTGCTCTAGATGTTTTTCCAAGACCCTTGGCAGAGCTCAGCCACCTTTTTCCCTCTTTTCCTTCTCCGTTAGGGATTTGAGTCACCCCCCGAAATCGGGCCCCGAGGATTTGAAGAATTCCTTCGCCGAGACCTGTCCTCCCTGCCAAGTACCTTGTGCAAAGTTCATTGCGGGAACAGGAACCACCTTGCGAGGCGCAGACGTTCATCAAGTGAGTGGTACTTAGTTTAGTTTTCCTATGGCCGCCTGTCATTTGCTCCGTGTCTCACAATGCTCCACCTCGCCGGCAGGGCAATTAGTTGCGGACAGCCCTATCGCGAGTATAACCCGACTTCAAGATGACCCCCGAAGATCCTCTCGACCTACTGAGATACAAAACAGAAGTGAAGCCGACTAAGCGATGGATGCCTCTCGTCAGCGCGTCGGACGAAAAGAATGATTTCTACGTGCAACAAAATGAATTGATCGATGGATTTTTGCAGAGCAGCCAGGAGGAGCGGCTGGAGGCGGAAGATCATGCGGAGAACGGAGGGAAGGTCAAGTTAGCTGTACGAGCCAGCTTCGTCGTCAACTTCTGCTTGTTCGTGATTCAACTGTATGCCGCCATATCCACCGGCTCCTTGTCGCTTTTCGCGACCGCTGCGGACGCCTTCATGGACCTCGTCTCCTCCGTCATCATGTTGATCACCTCGCGCATGTCCACGAAACCCAAGCCCTACCAGTATCCGGTCGGACGCAGACGGGCAGAAACCATGGGAGTCATCATGTTCTGTGCCTTAATGACAACGGTGGCGATCCAGCTGATCATTGAATCCGCCAAGTCGCTCGCAGCCGGCGAGACGGATTCCGAGAGCCTCGATATGATCCCCCTGATCTGTGTCGGCGTGGCTATCTTCTCAAAGTTCTGTCTGTTTGTGTATTGCTTCAGCTTACGGCGCTATCCCGCAGCCCATGTCTTTTTCATCGATCACCGCAATGACCTGGCAGTGAACGGCTTCGGTCTCATCATGGCTATCGTCGGAGAGCGATTCGTGTGGTATCTTGATCCGATCGGTGCGACATGTATTGCACTTCTCATTCTGTACTCATGGGTCTCCGAAGCCTTTGAGAATATGTGGTTGTTGATTGGCAAAGGCGCCCCCCGGGCATTCATCAACAAGTGCGTCTACGTGACGCTGACTCACGACGCCAGAATTCAGAAGGTTGACACGGTGGGTTTCTGTCAGATGCTTTTCTTGACTTCCTCATATCTGATTGTCCCCCGCTAGTGCCGAGCGTATCATGTGGGCCAACAATTTTACGTCGAGGTGGATATCGTGATGGACAAAGAAACCAGGCTGCAGGAATCACACGACGTGAGCCAAGAGCTCCAGCGGAAACTGGAGGGGCTGACTGGCGTTGAACGTGCGTTTGTTCACGTTGACTATGAATATCTACACGATGTGCATGAGGAGCATAGACCTATCTACGACACCTCCGGACCGAGTCCTTCCATCAGGTCTATAGTGAAGAAGTTCTTCACTTTGAATAACAAGGCCCTGGATGGGGACCAAAGGGTCTAACCCGTGCCAGAGGTCTTTCTCTCTATTGGCACATAAATTGGCTAGCAGGAACTGAGAGCCTGGCTATCTCATATTTCCTGTTCTAGAGCTGAAGCCAAGTGATACTGATGTGGGGGTCGAGAGTCTAGTCACACATTGGCTGACGTCTTTGCCACCATGTATAAAGGTTTCATATTAAAGGTGGAGCGTGTTGACTCTTGGAGATGTGGTACAATTGGACTTTCCCTAGGGGTGTTGTGATGTGTCCAGTGGGCCAGACGTGGGACTGAGCTTGAGTACCGTCTATTATGTATTCGACTAGCCAATCCCTTTCTCTGTGGGTAGTTCGGATTGCAAGGTGACTCCAGGGTGGTAGAGTTTTGCGAATTAAAAGCTAGGTGACGGGTTGGTTACTATATGTCTCTCACCATCATTAATCCGATCCACAACCTTGCTGTGACACTATCTACTTGGTTGGTGAATCCGCCGTCGCCCTCTTATCCAGGATCTCCCACCCGAAAGCTGTATCAGGATTAGCGTAGTACTTAGGGCTTATCAATTCAGTCCGGCGATCATTGGGCCATTGAGGGTTGCATGAGAAATGTCACTCAAAGGGCGTGATGGTGCAATGATTCCTAAATTGCTTATTTTAGCTCAGCCAAACCACGCCCTCTATTCAACAGGTTCACCATCACCATATGTTCTTCTCTCTCATTGTTTTTTTTATTCTACGAAAGCCAGTTTTCGTCAAATAATGACCGAGCAAAAGGAAGTGGCCGTAGAGCAAGACGCCAAGGCCCTCGAGGCCGGTGCGCCTTCACGAGCACCAAATGACCAGACCATGGAGCAGCTGGATATATTCGAAGCCCCCAAAATCCGCACCAAGCTGCGTATCACCGCCATAATACTCGCTCTTCATGTACTTGAATGCCCTCCTCCTCGTCTTAACTGGCTACTAGCTAACGAATGTCAATTTGTCTTAGCTCGTCCTCTTCGTAGGAGCACTCGATCAGACTATTGTTGCGACTTCAATCCCTACAATATCGGCGGCTCTGCACTCCGCTGCAGGCTATACATGGATTGGAGGTGCATATCTGCTAGCCAACGCCGCCACAGCGCCCATGTGGGCCAAATTTAGCGACATCTGGGGCCGCAAGCCGGTTCTTCTCGGGGCGGTAGTAATCTTCGCCATCGCAAGTATAATCGCAGCACTGAGCAAGAACATGGAGATGCTAATTGCTGCGCGAGCGCTGCAAGGCGCAGCTGGCGGAGGTCTGATGCAATTAGTGTTCATTGTCATCTCGGACCTCTTCAGCATACGCACCCGCGCGTTATACCTAGGATGATGGGGTTCACTTGGGCACTTGCTGGCTCAGCCGGTCCGCTGATCGGCGGAGCATTCACGGAGCTTGTTTCCTGGCGGTGGTGCTTCTGGATCAACCTACCCGTCTGCGGGCTCTCTTTCACACTCCTCCTGCTTTTCCTGGATGTGCACAACCCCCGCACAAAGCTACGCGAAGGCATCGTGGCCGTTGACTGGCTCGGCACGCTCTGCATTCTAGCCGTGACGCTGCTACTACTCTTGGGATTGGACTTCGGCGGCGCGATCTTCCCCTGGAGCAGCCCGAAAGTCATCTGTCTGATCGTGTTCGGAACAGCCATGATCGGCTTCTTCGTGTTCAGCGAGAAACGACTAGCCAAGTACCCGCTAATGCCTCTCGGCATCTTCAGCAGCTGGTCCAACAACGCCATCATCCTCGTCGCCTTTGCGCACAGCATGGTCTCCATCGGCGTGGAGTTCTACCTCCCGCTGTACCTGCAGAGCGTCAAGCAGGCCTCACCCCTCCGCAGCGGTATCCTGATCATTCCCATGATGGTCACCGAAGCAGCCGTGGACATCCTCGCCGGAATCGCGATCTCTCGGACAGGCCGCTACAGAGAAATCACCTGGGCCGGGTTAGCACTCATGACGTTGGGAACAGGACTCTATATCAACCTCGGAATCAACACATCGGTGGCAAGCATCGTGGGGTTCGAGATCATCGGCGGGATCGGCACCGCGCTTTTATTCCAAACGCCCGTCATCGCTATCCAGAATACCGTTAGTCAGGCAGATACCGCCTCCGCCACGGCGACGATGGGTTTTATCCGCAATCTGGCGACATCTTTGTCCATCGTCCTCGGTGGGGTTATATTCCAGAATGGTATGAATGCTCGCCATTCATCGCTTGTGGCCACTGGTCTCAGTGTATCCGTCCTCGATGCCTTGTCCGGTGATCAAGCGGCGGCAAATGTCGACATCGTCAAGGCTATCCAGGATGCCGCGCACCGTCGGGCAGCGCAGGGTGCTTATGCCTGGAGTCTACGGAATATATTCATTATGTACACGGGCGTGGCGGCTGTTGGGTTAGTGGCGGGGGCGTTTATCAAGCAGCGACATATGAGTACGGAACATACCGAAACGAAGACTGGGGTACAGCAGCTGACGAAGCGGGAATCTGGAAGCTAGTGATAGGAATAGCTGTGGATGATTTTGGCGAGGAGTACCGCTCCGGTGGCCTTTGCAAGGGGAATCGGTATTCCAGTGTAGATCCCCGTTGAGGTTTAACTTAAAGGGCTGGTACTATGGCTCTCAAGATGGAGACTAGCAATGAGCGGCTAAGATAGTCCGGGCCCAGGAATGAAATCTGACAGCTGCTCAACTGATCTCCTGGGCTGTCTGGATCTGCAATGATATAACTAGCTAGGGCCGAGAGATGCTATCTGGCTTGGGGATAGAGGAAATGGGTCAATAGGAGACTTTCAGAGATATGCAACTAAAATCCCCTTCTTATTGGGGACAACATCGGGTCAACAGGCGAATGCCATCACCCTTCTTATTCACCGGATATTAAGATACCTTTACTATGGTCAGCAGCACATACTTCAATAGACTGAAATTATCTGGTGCAATCACACATGCCTCTCATATGCCTATGAAAATACCCAACGGGTTATGAACAGTAGCATAATTGGACGTGCTGAACCTAAATACAAAGAGAGAAGACATGCCCCAGAAAGCAAGTTTTACATCTCGTTTTGTGAATCCAAGGTAGAGCCTTCGTCGAGTATTATCGCATCTTGGACTTGGCAAAAAAGTGACTTTGGAAGAAAGAATGCGGCTTTAGAGCCGTGGATTCAAATAGGCTTGTACACAAATCGGCGTCAAGTCTAGCCAAATTAGAACCTTTTCATGAATTGAGACCGCATTAGCTGGATGTCTTAATCACTGCTGCCAGGTAAGCTTCACGATCGAAGTCTACCCTTGGTTGGTACACAATGTACATATAGGTCTGATATAAATGTTATATCCAAATAAAAGGATATTCACCGCGCTAAATCGTGGAAGCAGTTATCTTCGTCGGTATGTAGTAGCCCACGGCTCCAGCAGTGGGTCGTTGGCAATCCATGTGGTGGGTTTTACCCTCAGCGCACGGGAAACGAAGCTGGAGCGTGGGTCTGCTTCGGTCAGCCAATGAACAGGTCCAGGCCGATATGGCTCTTCAGATTTGGCAAGTTTGTCGGCTACGGGATAGATCGATATAGAGGAAGGTCAATACTGTGGGTTCCAAGTCAAAGATTGCCCCTACAATGCTTATTATATACACAATTCAGCTGCTACCAGTGGCCAAATCCAGCCCATCACGCCAAATGAGGATATGAACCCCTGGTTGTGACTGATTAGGCATATATGCATCGGTTCAGGTGGTTCTTGTTAGCCCAATCTTCCGTTCTATGATATCTTGCGAGCGAAAGAAAGACTTAGGATCAGGGCGGAAAGAAAACGCAAAACAATATAGACAATACATACCAGGTTAGCAGTGTGCCTCATGCTCTCGCAAATGTTTTATGCCACCGGTTGGGATGCCTTGCCGACGTCCATCTGTTATGGCCACGGAACCCGTCATAGACTCGTGGAAATACTGGCAGACTCTCGCACGACATTATCAAGGGCATTCATGAAGCAAAGGCGTACTAGCTAGACCCGGAACCGACAGAGAGCACTACTCGAATGTTCAATTATATCAGTATCTCGCGTATTGTCAGCCGTCAGCATTTTCTGTTCATTCATTGCCATGTGAGTTCTGATTATGAGCGGACACCGCTCTATACTTGATGGCTTGTAGGAAATAGCGAGGTGTCAAATATGTGCGTGAATCTTCCATAAGAGGAACTTAGATCGGACCGTGACTGTTGGAGAATATTGAATAGAGCATGAAACTGTAATTCCTTGACACAGTGAAGTTGATTAGGTCTGCTAGGTATGGTTCTTTACTGCCAGATATATCACCTGTTTGTCTTCGTCGGTTTCTCTACACAATGTAAATCTTATGTGGGCGTGGAGTAAGCAAAAGATGAATCGGAGAGGCACAGAGAGAAACCGTAGAATCAACAAACGAAAACCAACTAAGCGATGACGCGCTCAACAGCCCTTCTCTCTACTCTGCTACGCAGAGGCGTGAACTGCAGGTGTAGAGATCACAGGCAGTCTGCATAACTCAAGTCCCGCTCTTCCGGTGCCGCTCCGGAAGCAAATTCCGAGTTTATATATCAGGCTGCTGTCATTGCTCCAAAGAGTTATCGTATCAGTTCAATACATACTTAGAACTGTCACGTAAATGATATTAAAAAACATTATAAGACAAATGCAAGACTCAGGCATGATAAACATTCACGCAGGGTCGGGAGTGTACAAATAGCCACGGGGTATCGCAAACGTCGTAATATCAATTTTTGGCGCCGGTACATCGTCCCACGTTGCTGATATCGTGGTCTTATTATTCGCCAGCGGGAGGATATTTAACATAGTGCTGTAGGTGAGGGACCGAGAGCTGGCTTCATGCCACTTATCGTCACCGTCAGTAATATCTGAGTCTCGCGAAGCCGGGCCACGTTGCGCCCAGGTACCCATGATACTAGGATGTGATGACAGGCATTGATACGGAACGTGCAGGATATTCGTGCAAAGGAAGTTATAGCCTAGATCGACAGGCTCGTCGATACCTACATATGATAGAGCAGTCAGTGCTTTGCGGGCACCTTCATAGGTAAATGCCATAGCCCATGAGCAGATAGCATTATCCGCCTGGAATATGAGGCGGTGGCTTTCGAAATTCGGGTCCTCTGCCAGCCCAGGACGGACAAACTCGTTTTGGTGGGGCCGCGGCGTCACGGTCAGATCGTTAGGGATCACATAGAACTTTGGATCTCCTCGTGAATTGATTCCACAGTGTCCTAGCCATAGCATATCCCAGCTATCCCCGTACGGGGAGAAGGGAATACCATCACTTCCCTGAAGCGCCCGAGTGCCCCGTGCAAATTCGACCATTTGTGCCTTAATATTCACGTCCCAGTCTGAATCGTCTTCCATAAGGACAGCGCTGCTGATCTTGCTTTCCACGATACTATCGGTAATTGCGATCTGCGTTAGTCCAAAGCACCTGTTCATTGCTCTAAAAGATTACATACTGTCGTAGAGCATTCATATGGGCGCGCCAGCTTCCGAGCTCGGCCGGTTTATCGCGATGTTTCTCCTCCGTCCAGACCTAGTCACTCGTTAGAGGTGTAGAGTGGAGGGCGGATTCAGTGTGGACGAACACCTGGATATGCTTTCGGAGGGATATTGGCGGCTCGGACACCTTCCAACCAGTCAACTTCCAGTCCGGTATAGGATGCTGCCAACGTGATCGCATCGTGCTTATCGGTGCGCTCTTTGAAACCGATTGCGAAAATCTTCTGGAACTGAACGATGGCATCTGTCAGCCCTTTCCAATAGGATGCGCGAACATGATGCGGACGTACCCCTAGGGTAGAGTTTCTGATCCTGCTATCAAGCAACGCATCGGGATCGGCTGGGCGCTTTACGGAAGTGACCCAGGCACCGTCACCATTTCTAAAGCATGTAAACCACAACCCAAAACCAATGATAAACAAAGCGGCAGTTAGTCTCCGGGTAGTGAAGGTGTGCATTGTGCCAACGTTTCCACGCCAGGATTTGGGAGAATCAAAGAGAGAAATCGGAACGAGTGCGGCCGGGCTGGCGCCCGCGGGTACGACGAACAATGCACATGGGGGTCGCTGTCCCTTTAATTGCCCTAGCTCCTTATTCGCTTTCCTTAGAGCAGGGGAGGTGAACATGGACTCGAGGTGAACGACCAATGACATCAGCACCGATGTTTCGCTAGGGCGTAAGTTCGAATGTGATCCATGCTTAGTTTCTTGTCCCTGAGCACCGTCGCTCTTTTTCTGCTCCTTAGCCGCCGATCGGCGACACCCTGCTGCTTCAGCCCAAGAGAGCCGAGCAAATATGTACGGTTCATTGGTTTGCTCTGCCTGATCCCTGCATGTACCCACCGGAACGGTCCACTTAGTTAGTAGTTAGTTGGTTCAAGTTCAAACGAGAAGACTGTCCGTCGGAGGTTCGTCTTGACTCTTTGCTACAAGGCCATAGGGAAAAGGCGACCGTTTAACCCTGTCTCGTTCTTGGGGGAAATGTGTGGATTGCATTCATTACTCGTCGCTGTACGGAGTAGATGGAAGTCCAAGAAGGTCACCTGACAGCCACCGGAGGTTTCAACAACCAAAGACTATCAGATTACGGTATTCGTAATATATACTCGGTCCCAGTCTACTCTCGACGCAAGGGAAGGGCCTCACCACTGGTCCTGGAGATCTTGGCTTTCGGTATGATTGGAGTCAAACTAAATTCCGAGTATGGTCCTGTACCTATAATTGTATATCTACGCCCCGATGCGGATTTACATAAGTGAGAATGTGTACACTGTATTACGTTGAAAGGTGTTATTTACTGTCTCGAGAAATGTCTTGCCGTATTATAGCTTCTTCCTTCAGAGCCATCAGAGACACACATGGGAGCTGGTTTTAGATTCTCGCAACGTTTTTTGCCGCAATACTATTTTTTTTTTCAAAGACTGCTCGGGGGGTTTTGTTTTCTGTTTCCGGTTCTCCTACAAAGCCTATTTCATTTGCTTCAAGTCCTATGGGCTTCACGTTGCAGGCGGCTAGAGATAAACCTAGCAACTAATGGCTCGTTACCATGAAACACGATGTTGTCTGTATGAGTAAGAGAATATATACCTTATAGCGACTGCCATCTATGTAGGTCCAACAGATAAGTACATAATACGTGAAACAGCAAAACCAACTACTCGTCCGTCACACTCCAAATAACCTCCAGGATCCGTGGGCTACCGGAGTCTGGCTCATGAACATAAAGCTGCCGGAGTCTCTGTCCTTCGAAGACGGCGCTCTTCATCCGGAAGGACACCTTCTTTTCATCCTTCGGGCGTAACGGTCCTAAACTGAAGGCGTAGCCTTGCTCACGCGCCCAGTCACTGGGATCCCACGTCTGCTCCATGCCGATCATATCGTTCATCGGGGACGAATACTGGACCAGGGAAAACCCATTGATGAAATACCATCGATCCGATATGCGCCAGCGTCGAAGCGGACAGTCGTCGCCGCAAATTGCCGCTGCCCTACCGAGAGCAACCACGTCCACGTCGTACCAGGACTTCCAGTGGTGTATCGAAAGCGGCAACGGTCGGCCAGATTCAAAGAAGCCCGTCACGTCACCGCCGAAGTCCACCTGGAAGAGCCCTCGCTCCCAGGTAAGCTTGGTCGTGGTGTGTTGATAGATACACTGCGAGATCCGTTTATCACCGTGATCCTTGAACGAGTAACATACGTCGTAGACCTCGTTCATCTGCTGAAGCAAGGGAAGAGAGAGGAACACCCCCGCACCGCCGTACGCCATAAAGGAGAAGATATTCATCTGTCCCCAGTTCTCGGTCGGGGCACCGATGTAATACGGTTTGGACGCATCATAGGTCGCGAGTCTCTCGACTAGGTTCGACATCGACGGGAAAAACGTATCGTCATCGATGATGACGGCCCACTGCGTGTGCGCGTCGCGATTCTCCCAGAGCACCTTGGTCAAGCGGAAGTATCGGTCCAGCCATTCTTCCTTCGACTCGATGATAGTAAGCTTAATGTCCAGTTCCTGGGCTCGGTTCAGAACCGTCAACTTGTCCTTCTTGGGTACAACGTCGACCATTGCGAAGATCCGGGCCCCGGTCCCGCCTGCCCAGTGGGCGAATGGGCCCAGCGAGTCACTCAGCCGCTCGAGGGAGGTCGAAACACCGAACATCATATGCGAGGCGTCCGCTCGCGCTTTTGGCACGGGGGCTTCGATGGTGGCGGTTGGAACACATTGAGCGTCCGAGAGATATATCCGATCATCGTCGGTGTCGAGGTCAAGGATTTCAAATTTGGGAACGGGAACATTGAGGGTATCCGAAACGCCACTCTGACTCGGTGAGCGCCGTACCGCAATCTCCCATCGTCTGTATTCCGCGGAAGAATTGTATCCGTGGGATCTTAGGAGTTCAAGGTCCACATAGCAGTTGCTGGAGTTCCTATCGTTATTCACGACCACGCCGGTTCCTGAAGACGAAGGACGAGTGACGGTTTCAACGTGCGGCTGGGGGGGCTGGGTTCTCGAGAGAAGAAAAACCGTGATGGTAGCTAGAATAACCGAGGCGGCAAGGAGTGGTTTTAGTCGCTGGCGGGTGCGTCGCAAGAGGAGGGATGACATTGTCCCGGGATCATACTATGATTATCAGAACAGAACGTCAAGAATGAGACCCATGGCAATTTCTCAACAAACTCCCCGGGCTGTGATTTCCGGCCAGACTGTCAAAAAATTGGGCCCTCGTGGGAGGGTGCGGAGGGACCTCTTCTCCCAGCTCTGCCAAGAAAGCCCTAGCCGTTTAGCAAATGGGCCGGACATATTGCGATTGCGCTAGATAAGATGGCGTGTTACAGAGTGACAGCGGGGATCGTAATGTTCCTCCCTATTCATGCCTTGATCATTGGTTGATAGGACGGTGGGTCACAGGGGTCAATGTAACCATACCAGGGTCGATTGATTCTTCCAGCGTGGCCATGTCCACCAAGATACACCGAAGGAATAATTCCCGGTTGCCATTGTCCAGTCTACCTCCCCCCCCCCCATTCAATATGGAAATACGTTTTTATACGTGTCCGAAGAAAAGCAGATATACAACCCTCGACAGTTCCCCCTAGCGTTGGACATATTCGCCAGTACAGTGAAGAATGGAGGTTAGCTAGAAAGCACTAAGCACCAGTATATACACCAAGCCCGAGCGCCGATATGCTGGGGAGATTGGCCTCCCGCACTCTGCGGTCACCCCATCTCACAAGGCTGAAGCAATCGCCCAATTGGATGGCCGTGGGTAGAGGGTGATAATGATCGGTCACGTCCGGAACGAGTCCTCTGGCCAACTCAACCGACTCATTATCCTTTTCGATATCACCGATCGGACGGTGAAACAGACACGGCGGAATATGACTTAGACAAGAATGTACAACCTTGGGGCGATTGTTTTTGCGGCTGGCGTTGGAAAGCATGAGGAATCAATACAACACTTCCAACGGCAGTTAGTCTATTAGCTATATCCAGCGCCATACTGGTGGTCATTTGATCTGAGCTTTGGCCATAATGACCTCTCGAAATCTACAAAGTGGCATTGTTTCTTGCTTATCGAAGCGAACGGCAATCTGAATAGTCGAAATTTCTGAGTGTGTTGAATAGATTGAAGTAGTCAGGAATATTATTTAAGAAAAATAGCTAGACTAGTACAAAATACTAAATCTCATTGTGACCAGGTGGCTGATTTAGCCCGCCGTACAACTTCCATAATTCCGACTAATGCCTCGCGTTGTCTCTGGTGCACTATCTGGACCACCTACATAGTAGGCCCTATTATTCCTGTGAGTTATGTTCAATTGCTGTCCTTGCGTTGACTCTATTATCTGTCTGGCTAGCACCCGTTAAATAATAAGCCTTGACTACATGAGGAAGCTTTTTATTCGAAATAATCTGGCCAAGAACTTGTAGACAAATAGGTAATGTCAGTTTATATATCTCGCTATCACCCTTTTTAGCTTTCAATTCGATCGAGATAGACTCTCGAAGCAAGTATTAATCTAGCCAAATCTGATTTAAAGGGGTCTATTCTTTTTTTTTATCAATTCAAATATTTCTATTGTGGAAGCAGGGTCTCTCATATTTAGGAATTGCAATTGTTGTGTAGAGACGATTCTGTGAGGCGGACAAGCCCTGGCCGAGTCCTTGCATGCAGATTATTCCACGGCTTATAAAATAAAGCTGAGAAGTAAGCTTCAACAACTTGTCTCGGTGGCGCAATTGGTTAGCGCGTCTGACTGTTAATCAGGAGGTTGTGAGTTCGATCCTCACCTGGGACGGTTCTATTTTTGCCCCAAGATTTTTCATCTTGGTCTGCATCTCACACCCAGATCCTCACACATCCAGGGCTTTCATGATCATCCTCCGCAAAGCTGGGTTCTTCTAGTAGAAGCTCTCGTTTGAACAACCTATTCCCACTGTTGAGTCATTTTTCCCCCGCAGCTCTGCGTAGATGCACTGAGACTTCTCACACCATGGATCGTCATATATCGGGCGTCAAATTCTTGGCACAGCCCTGGGTTCGCCATTCACACTTGAGTTTGGAATGTGGGTAATCATCGCGGGACCTTTCCCGTTTCCATGTAGAGAACATCAAAGCTATATTGTACTTTGTGGTAAGGCGGCCCTGTTAGGCAGCTATTACTGAGGGCTGGTGAGTAAATTTCGCAAACCGATTGATCTAGATAGAATATTAGCTCTGCTTGAGGACGGATCTCGTCGTACCGTTCCAAGGATAAGGTGTGCTAGCGGATACGAATAGCACAATGAAGAAGTCAAGCCTGGTGGAGCTGACCTTCCGCAGATAAGAGCATAAAGATTACCACGGTGGGCATTGAACCTCGAGCCGGGCAAGCATGGTCTAGCATCCCGGTTGGTTTCACACCTTCTTGCCCTCCATTTCCCCTTGTCATGATGATTCATTCTCGGTTAATGGCAGTATGGAGTAGTCTGTATTTCATTATCACATTACATACCACAGAAGCCACAAAGAATAAAATCCCAAAAGTGTAGCGTGCCAAGGTGACTTCAAAAACTTTGATATTCCAAGATGCTGTGCTTTTTTTGTAGAAAACTAGCCCTAAGCGACGGCATAGAGACTACTGTCTATAGACTATTATAAAAAGGCGATAAAAAAATAGTGTGATCTTTGTCCAAGTCACAGATCAGATGGGACTGACACCGCAGGACGTTTGGATAAGACTTAGCCGCCTCATCCTAGGAGATTATTATCACAGATAGCAAACGTGATACTCCAAAGACACCCATCTTACCCCCGAACAAGCAGAGCTTAATGAATCCCCCCCCTCCCGGGGGGAGCCCATGAAGCTGGGGCGCTAGCCTGGCCTCAATCGTCGTAGCATTGATTGGTGCTTATGGCAATACAAATACCCATCATGAACTCTTAACACTTCGTCTGTGAGGCATTGAGTTAGAGCACGACCTGGTTCTAAGTCCGCCGGTACTTACCCAAGTTAAATCTAATACGACCAGCCCCGTATTCCCTCACTGGTGCCGGGACTTTAGACGCGTGCGGCACGTTCACGCACCAGCAACTCAGGACCCACCCTCCTACTCCAGGATAATATCCATAATCACAACTCGAGCATGCTCCTAACAGAAGTCCCCGTCCATTCGATCTTGCCACGAGTTTGTGTTCGGTTTCATCCCAGCCAAGACAGCGGTCCAAGTTCAGCTCTGTATATCTTAGTTCTGGATGCGGCCCGTCACTCTTACAGTTGCTAATAAGGTAGGCTGAGGGTAGTGGCGTTGTGGATGGTGGTGGTTTCAGGGGTACGGGGCGAGGCGGTCGTAGTGGTGCAGGTGAGCGTGGTTGTCTATCTGGTGAGGACTCGCGTGAAGGTCCTGGTGAGGACTCGCGTGAAGATCCCCGTGAAGGCGTGTTTGCACGTGCATCGCCATACATATCCCAAATCTCAAGTAATTCACAAGTTTGATGCAGGGCATTTGTTTCTCCCATCTGTAACCCTTGGCTTGTAAATAACACCGATAGATATGTAATGATAATGATCCAAGATTGATACATTCTTTAGAAAGTTTGAGACAATGGAAAGTATATATATATCCATATATATGATAAGAATAATAAGACGAATAATATTACTAAGAAGAGGAAGAAGCTTGAAAGATAGGCAGATAGCGAACTTTGAGCATGCTGTAGGAAAGAGTGCTGCGGGAACCCGAGGTTCTTTATATCCGTCTAGATAGTATTCTGGCTTATGAAATCATTTAATAAGAGGGGATAGACTAGCTGATACCCCCCGCTCAGTCCAGCTAATATGCAGCATAATATGAATTGCGGTCTCTTTGTTGCGTTAGGACCGGGAGTTGGGGCAAAGGTTCTCTAAGTGTGACAAGGATTAGATCCACTTCAGAATAATAGGTGAGATCTTTTCGCTCGGGATGGGTGGCTGAAGTCATTATAGGGCTATCATTCTTGATTAGGAATAGACTGTTCTACTACTTCTAGAGTCCTGTATGGACAGTTTTCATTCCTCTTCCTTCCAGTACATAGTGGCCTTTGCCAAGAGTTCAACTATTCTCAGATGATAGAGGGCGCGGAGAGTGACAAGTATATCTCATTCATGTTGGAAGAAGTCGGTATCCGTGGGGACGAAAGGTTTCCTTGTCATAACGGGCAGTTTATCCTGCATGGGTTTGAACGGCGATCACAGTGGTACGCTTGCTATTCCTATTACTGTGCTGACTGTGGCTGTACGGATATTTCAGATTTTGTTCTCGCTGTGTACGCAACATAGGGAGCAGCAAGAAGAGATTAGGGCTCTTAAAAGGCCTCTCATTAACTATTGAATGTTCTCCATTTTTTGTCTTCCAATGGTGTGCCATGAGTGATTGAATGAGATACTCTGTCTTGCATGCTACGTACAGTATTACAGAACTGTTGATCTTAGTCTTGCTTTGTTGAGGTATATTCAGAATAGTAGACAGTTTCAAATAGAGACTAAGTATACAAATTATTCATATATCGGTGTCTGTCGAACTCTGTTGGGGATAATGTTGAATGTCTATATGTGCCCAATTGTAAAGTCTTGTTGCCCGAAACCTAGCTTGGGCTTCCAGGATCAGCATTGCGATGACCTCTTTCCTATAGCCTGCCGGATGCTGTCAACGCCATGGCTGTTGTAGAGCAGCAACAAGGAAAGTCGTGATATGCACGGTATCTTGACTGATTGTGATGGGTGGAGAAATTGTTATATGTATAACCTCGTATCTACGTTCAGATATGGTTACTCCCACGGGGAAATCGAAAAAAGACCATACGCTGAACAGCAGACATATGAACGAAAGAAACACCACCGGCATGGAGCAGGCCCGCGGTTCAAATGTTTACGTATTGCCCAATACTCTCGTTCAAGAAAACATCTTCCAGTAGGTTATCAAGGCTGCCTTCAACTGACCAGGAAAGGTCAGTCAATCGCCATTTGTCCGGAGCTGAATCAGCTTCGTTTGCAGCTACGTTCGTGCCGAGGCTGGGTCGACCCTGCAGTGGATGTGATGCAGAAATCCACCTTGGAATAGTTACATTTGGCTCTAGCTGAGACGACGACTGGATAGTTACCCGGGGTTGCGGAGCCAAGCGGGCGTTACGTCGGACATGTATCTTCCCCAGTAACGGGACTGTAACTGTTAATCGTTCAGCCTCCCCAGCTCGGCCGTCTTGGTGAAGGAGCTGGTCTAACGCGCGAAGGGTATTGTATGCCTCAACTGCAAGTTCGGAATTGGTCGGGTCCCTCGCCCTTTCGCCAAGCAAAGTGATGATCTCCGAGACTACTGCATGGAGGTGCCTTGTATCGACCCGGAGGCTATGACGGTCTGTCGAGCGGACGTGGTGGGAAAGGAGAAGGAGTACGGACGCTGATGTAAGGGCCTGTAGATCCAATATTCGAGACATGAACAAACCCGCGGGAAGCTTTCTCCGGAGCGTTAGAAACCGGCGTGCCACTGATTCACAAGCATCTATGCACGGTAGCCGAGCGTACATGAGCTCATCTCCAAGGCTCTGCTTCAGCACAACCGGTAGATAGACTCTCATGAGGACACAGCAATGTAAAAACTGTACAACATCGTCTGGTGTTATGTGATCTCGTTCTTCGCCTACCCACCATGTATCTGGCGCTTGGCTGGCGAGCTCCCCAAGGGCCTGAGCCATCTCCAGAGCGGCCATTTGCGTTTTCATACTAGATTCATGTGTAGAGCTGACTTCGTCCAGATCATAAACCTTGACAGAAATGTTCAAAAGCCTGGTGAGATAAGTTGTGACGTGGATACTGCCATCAACATTAAGTGGAGAAGCCGTGGTCAATTGATACCGTGCGGTCCCCGGGGGGAGATTTAGAACCATGCCATTTAGCCGTTCTATATTACAGATTGCTTGCCACAGCTGCACTTTGTGAAGTGACGTGTCGTCCGCGCCGGTGTGTTGGTTGAAGCGCACGGCTTGGAATATTTTAGGTAAGCCCATCAATTCTGCAATCGCAATGATGTGGCGTAATTTAATCCAGGCCTTTTGAAAGTTTCCTTGGCCTACTTGCCTTCTACCTGTTAGCATATGGTCAAATCCAAAAGGTAAGCGAACTGAGGCCATATCATGTAGATACGGGAATAGTATAGAAGTCACTTTTGCTCTTGGTGTTTCTTCTATATGGATAACACTCACAGTCTAATGAAATGTAGAGCCATCCCAAGCCCTTGGATGGTTCCCACCAATCGATCATGGCAGAGTAGTGTATCATCCACTATGTGTATAATCGACTGGCAAAACTCAAACCTCCTCTGGCACTTTCTCAAATAGACGTTGGAATCTTCCCGTCCGGTATGGATTTGCTGTGCGGTAAGTGCAAGTGTAAGGAGCCAAGAGGCTAGCAGGATAACGTCTATGTGGGGACTACACATTGACTCGTAGCTATCTAGTAATTCTCGTGGAGACTTCAGCATCAGGGGTTGTGGGAATAGTGCATGAAGTGCAGTCAGCCAATCGTAGGCGGATCCTGCAATATCCGCTACTTCCTCCTTTAGTGGGATCATATTTTGGAGTTTTGGTCGCACATCAATCGACAGTTGTGCAAACAATTTATCCATACGTTGCTGCGCCTGCTGTTCATGCTGACATGGATCAGCACTCAGCCAGTGGTTCTGGAATAGCGATTGCAGGTGTGATGGTTTTTCAGTCATGGGAATATCCGACCCACTACTTTCGCCTTCCGAGTCGTCGGGGCCCGAGAATTGGTCATCTTTACCGCTAGGGATCTGAGATGGCTTATATCCAAGCTTGTGTTCGATGTTGTTCACAACTCCTGTTAACTGCGCGACCTGCGATTCGAGCTGAGCGATGCGACGTCGTGACGGGAGTCGCGAGGGTTGGGATGATCGCGTCCTTTTCGACACCTGTGCAGTACAGACCACCTCTCGATCCTCACATTGTTGACATGTATCTGCTTCTCGAGGAATCCTAATGCAGCGAACTTTCCGTCGTCTGCCTGTCTTCCGGGATCAGACGGTGGGGATCTTGTAGAGTTTTACAACCAACCTACACTCGGTGCAGCTTTTCGTTCCTTTCCGTAAGCCGGAGTGGGGTATGTCGGACGGAGACATCTGCAAGGCCGACGTCCGAAATTCAGGGGTTAAGCTTAGAATTAGGAGGGGGGGAATACAATATATGGTTGTTGAATGGCGGTGGTCGTCGAATGAAGTGAGGTTGCGCGTCGGAGCGGACGAAGATTTTGGTCCGCGGAACCCGAGTTCGTCCGAATCGCGAATGGGATTGGGTCAGCCCTAACGCCAGAAGCGTTCTTATGGTATGTTATTACTTATATGGCTCGCATTGGGAGGTCTCCCTCCTCTCGCTGCAAGGATCGAATGCAATGAAATGTCACTACGACCTACCATCAGATCTCCAAGAAAATCGGTTTTGAAAAGGTTATGAAAATGCCCTCCTCGTTGCAGATCCGCGGCGGGCCATATGCGTCCACAACCGCGGGGATGGGAGGTCTTCCCACCATCATACCAGATGTCCCAATATGTGCAGTCTTCCTAGTCTTGTATATCGCCTTCGCCGCTACCAACATGACCATCTTCCAGAAAAACCGCCGGCGGGGTCACAAGTTCGTGAAGTCTGCGATGCTATTTGGGTTCTGCATGGCAAGAATCACCACCCTTGTCCTGCGCATAGCCTGGGCCAATCGACAACAAAATGTCCGACTCGCCATTGCCGCCAATATCCTTGTCAATGCGGGAGTTCTCGTGGCATATATCATCAACTTCATCCTCGCCCAGCGTATTCTCCGCAGCAAGCAGCCTCACATCGGTTGGCACCCTATCCTGCGCCAAGGCTCCAAGCTGTTGTATGCCTTCATTCTCGGGGCATTGGCGATGGTAATCACATCTACAGTGGTATCCTTATACACGCTCAATATGCATACTCGGTCTCAATGTCGCGACGTCCAACTAGCAGCCATCACCTATCTCCTCATCTTTACTTGTCTTCCTCTTGTACAGGTTTTCATCGCATTTATCCTACCCAGGTCACCACAGGAGGAAACTTTCGGGCAGGGGGGTACAATCAGCAAAGCCACAATTGTCATTTGTTCGTCGTGCCTATGTATTCTCATTGCCGGGTTCAAAGCTGGTGCTAACTGGTCGCCTCCGCGGCCTGTAACCAACCCACCCTGGTATGACTCCAAGGCATGCTTCTACGTGTTCAACTTCGTGTTGGAGATCATGATTCTCAGCCTTTTGACTTTTAGCCGCTTTGACAGGCGGTTCCATATTCCCAACGGAGCTACGCAACCTGGGGACTATACCTGCCTGGCATTACAGCCCGATAAAGAGAGCGACCAATCTCAGTTGAGTGAACAGAAGGGGTCTGTGTCAGCACAGAACTAAAAACATCTCGCCTGGCAGGTCAGCTTCACGGCTACTTCAAGGCCACTTTGTCGCCATCCTATGTTTTTTTTTTTTTTTTTTTTTTTTCTTACTGCCCCCCCAATCTGTACGTAATTCTATCCAATTGATACCCTGGGACATTGAGCATCTTAATAGGTTATTATTTCATTCACTCAAGGCCACCATGCTGTATGTACATGACTGGTAAGACCACCGATTGCTTGCTGCTCCACCATCGCGGCTATTCCATCGCCTGTTATGGCTAGACTGGCCCCTTACCAAGCTTCGACAAGTGGGTCAGGCACGTATTTATATCCGGGCCGTATGGATATCCTTGAGGTTGGTTTTAACAAAAGGTCAAGTGATCCTCTACTTGCCCTTTAAATACCCCGATCCTGAAAATCTGCCGCTCTGCCTGCTGCTTTGTGCCGCCAGTTCCACCATGTTGACCAACATCAACGAAGATGACAACCTCCGCCGAATGGAGCGCAGCGAACTGTACTATGCATTCACTCCACAACTTGTGGCCGCCCGGAAACGGTGTGCAAGTGTCGTCAGCCGCCTGAATACTGCTGGTGATCTAACCCGGCGGCAAATAGCCGAGTACTGGAAGGAGTGAGTTGTGACGGATTTTAGACATATCCAGCAACCAATGCGCCTGGATCCCACCGTTCTCCTACCTAACAAGAATGAAAAACAGGATCACAAACGACGAGAAACCTTTACCACCCCCGGGCACGACAGGGGATGAAGAAGATGCAATCTTACACAAGTATCCGTGGATCGAACGACCCATCAATATCGACTACGGAACGAATATCGCAGTCGGGAGCAACGTTTTTATCAACTTCAACTGCACAATTACTGATACCTGCATGGTGACCATTGGGTCACGAACGCTTATCGGTCCGAATGTGTCACTTTACAGTGCTGGCCACCCCACCGATCCTGATCTGCGGAATGGGACCAGGGGCCCTGAGTGGGGTCGGCCGATTACGATTGGGAATGACTGTTGGATTGCGGGCAATGTTATCATCTTGCCGGGAGTGACGATCGGTGATGGATGTACTATTGGGGCAGGGAGTGTGGTTACCAAGGTATGCCGAGGGACTTTACTTATTGACACTGCTGTTGTATAGAACAGCGGTGATGGTGGCTACAATGAGACTTGCAGCTGACAGCTCTGTACCTCCTAGGATATTCCTGCATATCACATTGCAGTGGGAAATCCGGCCAGGGTACTTCGTTCTCTACATCCAAATATGGTCGAACGCTCCAGGCTTGTGGGAGAGAAATAGTAACACTGACTCATACATGGGCTGTACATCTACATCACGTCGCTTGGTAACGACCCTTCAGTGCTGCTTATATATCCCTCAAATGTTTACTAGTTGCACAAGCTTATGCTACCACTTAGTCAAATTGATCATTCTAGTAACATGCATAAAGGAAACCCTTGCCAAAATTGAACAGACTCATGACGAAAGCGCCATCTCTCAATCCAGGCGTTGTTAGTTGGGAGCCATAGGGTAAAAGCCTTTCGTAGCACCATTGATTTTGGGGTAAAGACCTACCAAGGAATACTGCTACTAACCCCCCTCCCCCTGGAGTAAATTAATCTTCGGTTAAGGTCTCGAAGGAGACAGACCTGGAGATATCATGCTGTTGGTGTGATATGGCTCTGAACATTAATATAGGAGCAGAGCGCTCAATGACTTGACCTGGAACTGCCTCTTCGACCTTTGGGTCTGAACTCCGCATAGTGAAAAACAACATCCTCCTTCTCCTGCCGAAAACTACTGCTCCGTTAGGCAGACCTTCCGTTCTCTCACGCTCCTGCTTAGGCATTCTTGCATCCCTGATCTCCTGCAACAGCGAGTTCGTATCCCAGCAAGATACATGACTTCCATTTCCGTGGTGACAGTTTTGGAACGGTGACCCCGTCAAGGACCAGTACTGCCCGCTAGCAAGACGTCGTACGGCGCACATGGGCCTACCTCCATGTCGGTGATGCAGAATATCCAAGCTGCGAATCGTCGTCGCCAGCCAGTCAAAGCCCTCAGGGAGCCGATTGCAGGGCGACTGTATATCTCTAGACTTTAAACCAACAATAGCATCCCCAAGTTTAGAGCAGAATAAACAGCTGATCTCATTTAACAAGGATGACCACGCCAGTCCTGGTTTGTCAATGCGTGTTTTCTTGAGCTCACTGTTCGGAGAATCTGTAACAATGTCCATGAACTCGTAGCCAAATATGCTAGATCGTCTGGGGGCACGCAAGTGAGCTTTGGCCATGTTGACAGAAAAGCCAAGTATTAATTCCCGAACAGTCAGCTGGTCATTTCCGGAGCCTTCAACCACCCATGAACCACTACCTTGAAGGAGGCGCAACGATTGATCGGCCTCGACGAACGGAACCTCCATTATTGGGACGGTCCCTTTCGATTCTCCGTCTGGGATTCTTTCGTGGTATGCTAGGAGCATTTGATGGAACACGATGATCAAGGGAACGAGCCAAGCTCTAGATTCACTTACATCATAGAGGATAATTTGCTCCGTTACACTGTTGTTCAGACACTTGAGATAGTTTCCCTCAGGGCTGAATCGTACTGTGTTGATTCTTCTCTCGAAGGCTAGACTAGCGCCTACCCCAACCTGAAACGGAGATACCGTCGTTGCTAGAAGCTGCAGGTTTGCCCCAGTGAAACTCCACGTCGTTTGTCTGGGCCTCGCGTCGGTCCATCCCACGGCCGAATTTACATTTCGCGTTCCTAATTGTGCCACTGCCTCTGGGCACCAGCCCAGCAAGACCGTCTTCGTTCGGAGGTGCTTCAACTTCGCTTTCATCATCCACTTTCCCTGGACGGCTAATAGGTCCTTGGTTTTGAGTTGGGAGTCATCGTTCGCGGTTTCCAGGTGCCAAAGGATTGATTCATGATCCACCTTCTGCACAGGGACGAGAGCGGTTGAGTATCCCATGAGTACCAGACCAGAGTTGACTGTGACTGGGTACTCTACTGCTGCTAATTGAAGCATCAGGTAGAAATTCAGCTCCAAGAAGAATCCGTCTCGGAATTGAATTCGAGGGTCTGAGGCAATGACTGCGGTTTTGAAGAGCCTGGGCCAGCAATAAGTGCTCTTTGGCCTGTCCAACTGAGTTAACTCCTTGAGAGTCACCTTAGTCCCATCGATTATCCCGGTGGATAAACAGACATTTCCCAGCACTTGTCGACGGAATGTCAAGCATACCCACAGGAGTAAGTCCCAGAGGTGGCCAAGCGATGGCTGCAACAGAACATAGAGGCAAAGCGGGCGTATCTTAATAACCATGTCATTGTCATCTATTTCATTGTTAGAGCTGATAATGACATGCCATGTAAAAGGCTCACTCACCAGAGGTGCCATCATCAGTCACCAGAGCTCGTACAATATGGCGAAGAAGCCTAATCCCTTCGTCTCCGTACATCTCTCCAACATAGTCCCTACAGGTTGACACCTTAACACTGCTTTCAGATCGTGTCAATGTTAGTGTATCAAAAAGTCCCTTTTCTATATCGATTACATCCATAGGAGCCGTGGGATAGCCCGACTGAGACGAGCCGGAATGAACACCGAGAAGCTCTATAAGAAGATTGGGAAGATCCCAGTCGCATTCGAAGGCATTGGCATCGAGGATTGACCACCCACTCTGGTTAGACGGTGACGATACAGAGGGCGATATTGATCCGAGGATGATTTTGTGCTGAGACTGACGTGGTGAATGTGAAGGGCGAAGCTTCCTGCGATTGTCACGAACCGAATTACGAGGACTGGATCCTTCAGATGGCAATTCATCCGAGCGATAGCCAGAGGGTTGATCCGAGGAGTAATAGCAGGTAAGGCGATTTCTGATGGCGGGGTGGTCCGTGACTTCATCTTGATCCTGGCCAAAGGGGCCACTGACTTTATAGTCATCCATTATGAACTTCACAACACAACAACAGGTGGGGTGTGAAGGTGATTAAGGAGTCAGGACAGACACAGAAGACACAGAAGACACAGAAGACACAGCAGATAGAGAGGATTAGGGAATCGTGGTGGGTGACCCTGCCTTTGAACAACAAAAACAGCAGCAACAACAACAACAACAATATGGCGGTGAGAATGAGGGGATCTAAGACATGCTCAGGTTGACCAGGCTGGGAGATAGGGCACAAATTGTGTTGTATACGGGGTTACGTATGGGATTGGTAAGCCCCAGTCCGGGCCTCTCTAGACCTATGACGAGGAAAGATTTGAGACAAATGGCTAGCCTGGGGTCATTTCTTCTTTTGCTACACAACGATACCCCTATCTCATTTGTAGTGTCGCTGAAGTTGCTGCAACTAGCCTTACCGTAAGAGAAACACCATCGATTGGAGCACAGTTTTCACCGCTCCTGATCAAACGAGGGCTCGTCTACCGAAATCCTTGCTTACCATGACCTGATAATCTAGCGCTTGGCTACACAGTTCACTTCCAGGTCTCAAGAGTCTCTTAGGCACTGGGACTATTACCCGGTGGTCTGTTACTAGTGACCCACAAAGCACAGCTTGGCTGACACCCTCGTCATTATAGGAAGCTGAAGACGAGCGACAGGAACGGAAGAAGCACTTGCGTGCCACCAAACACTACTTCCCAGTTTGATAGGCCTGAGCTGAACGAATGTGCGGGCGACGGTTGAGACATCTTATGTACATCCCGGCCACAGTGAAAAAATGTTTGTACTACTGGCCCGTTGGGAGTTGTTCGGCCCATCCTACCTTCTACTAGTAGATACTATAGGAAAAATACTTAGGTAGTCTGCTCCGTATGCTATATTGAAGTCTGCCAGCAGAAAGAACGTGGTCCCAAGGACCAATCAACATGAGACACACGGACCCACCCGCCCTGCCCGATCAGGGATAGCGCCTCGGCTGTCGGCAGGACCGAAACGCAGCATAGCGACCCGTCATTCAATCATTCGATTTCGCTCCCATATCCATTCCTACCCCGGCTCATGGACTAGTTCATCAAAGCTAGTATAGTAGGGTAGGTAGATCTGCAACATATCCGAGTCACGGGAATCCCCAAGCGCTATCTTTGGGCCGGTTAGATCTGCGCAATCCCATCTTACGTTCACTCGTACGCAGCCACTAGGATCCAACGGGCTCTTGGACATGGGAGATAATTGTCGTATCGACAATACCTTCTTCGTCCCGACCATGGGCAAGGTCTCGACCCGATCTCGAACCGGCTGCTTAACGTGCCGACGCCGGAAGAAAAAGTGCGACGAACGGCAGCCGATATGCAGTGGTTGCGACAGAAATCGACTTCCCTGTGAGTGGGTTTCTAATGAGCTGGTACCTAAAACACGACGGCCACGTTGTCGTCGGCAGCTTGCGGTGACCCAACTACCGCATGAGGCACAGGCAATGGTCAATGTGTTCGCCATTCCGAAGCCTGGGATGGTGCAGCGGCTATTGTCACATTTTATAGATCACAGCCCAAGATGGCTATCAACCAGGACTGGGAAACGCAGATCAGACTTTCTGCACTATTTGCTTCCCGCTGTATCGGGGAACCTATTGGTTCATAATTGTGTTCTCATGATAGCCTCGGCTGATCTGGCCAAATATTGTCGCGACGATGTCGAAGTGCAGGCCGTAGCAGTCGAGTACTATGGGAAGGCTGTTTCCGCTTTGCAGGGATCGCTGAACGAGGAGCTGACTGCTATGGCTACATGCAATCTACCGGGATCCGGTTAGTGATGAGACATGTCATGGAACTTGTCACTTGAGCTCTAACCTTTATTAGATTACACCCCTTTGGCAGTGCTACTGTTGTGTCTGCATGAGGTAGGCGCCAACGCGAAGGAGCCTGTTCCGCTTCGCTGTCCCCAAGTTGGCTTCGGTTTAGAAACTAAAGGTAGCAGTGCCAGAACTTTACGAACAGCACGCGCATAGTACCCCATCTGAACGCTGCCACTGCGCTCCTGCTTCGTCGCCTGCATTATACTCCCGAAGACCTGGCACTACGAAGCTTTTTGTTCGAACTATTTTGTTACTATTTCTCCCTGGTGGCCTTCTCACACGGCTCTAGACTTTCTCTTCCTCAAGCGTCTGCCATCTTCAACTCTCCCATTGTCACCCAATATCTCCAGCAAGGCAATGTCATGGGCACATCGCAGCGTCTCTTCATGTGCATCTTTCGAATATCCATATTGGCAGAGAAGGTCACATCCGAGCGGCAGTTTCACGACTCACCGGCACGGACGGAGCTTACCGTGCTTGAGCAACAATTGCTCACCTGGCGACTGGAGCTTCCCCTTAGAAGAGACGCAGATGTCACCTGGCTTAACGATGCAATAACATCCGAACTCTACCGCCTGGCATGTCTGATATACATCAAAAAGGTTCTAGATCCCGCCTTGTCTGACCACAGTCCACCTATTCAGGCGCATGTTGTAGCGTTTGTCGACCATCTGGGCCATCTACCACCCGATGCACCGTCGAATAACATCCTTTGCTGGCCTCTGGTTGTAGCTGGGCTCTCTGCCGTGCTGAGTACACACCAGCGAGCCATTAGCACAAGACTAGGACAAATATATGACATATGGCGGTCCGATATACTTTGTCAGAGTGCCGCGTTTCTGCGACAGAAGTGGCGGCGTGATCGGAGTCCAAATCGCTGCTTCGCATCAGCTTCACACAGAGAGCAGGAGAAAAATCAAAATAAGTCAACGGTTGCAGTCAATGATATACTCAAACTTCAATTCCCGGTCATTCTGGTTTAGCCGGTGGCATGAATGCAAGTGAGAAATGAGCTTGTTTACATCATTTGTCTCACTTAGCACCGCGAACGACAGCTTGCACGCTGCTGGCCTTCGTCTCCTACATACGGGATGCATATAAGCAACATTTAGACTACACATGTCGCATCCGGCGTCTAGGTGTCCATTCCTCTTACTGCGGCAGGTGTGATTGTGTCTGATTGGCAAGTTTTAGCACATTACTACTACTCCCAGATGCGGCTTCTTTACATAGAATCATCCATGCTCATGTGTAGATGTCATCACGGACTAGCTATTTGCAACTCTATGGATACACACGTATGTACAACGAACAGCCACAGATCCCAAACACCACAAAGCCCAAAACTCAGTGAACAGTCGACAACTGGACGCCCAATGTCCCAGGAGACGCTAAACTCCAGGGCGCCGCAGCATCCAATGCAACAATTCCACCTTCTTCTCACCCTCCCCATCAACACCTCCCCCTACAATCGTCCACCCGCATTTAGTCAACACCTTCGCACTCCCCACGTTGGTCTTATCCGTCACAGCGCGCAAAGTCCCCACTTCCCCTGCAGTTCCAGAGAAACCATCCCCAGGAATCGGCAACCTCCACCACGCCTCCGCAAACCCCCTCAGAGCTTCCGTCGCATACCCGCTCCCCCACGTCTCGGGCAGGAATAGATACCCCACCTCGGGATCTTCCTCGGCGGTAATAGATACGATGCCCATAATGCCAATGACGTCGCCTTCCTCGGACGCCGTCGCCGGGGCTTCACCTGGGATCGTTTTCCGTAAGACGGCGAAATTGTAGTTCGACCGTTCTCCTGCTTCGGTATCATGGGTGAACCGGTCCATCCATTTACTCGTTTCCTCTGTCGTGGCATCGATGCGGCCCTGTCGGGTCCAGCACATGACATCGGGAGTGGTTCGGAGAACGTGAAGAGCGGGAAGATCCGCGGCCCGAAACGGTCGGAGCAGCAGCCGAGCCGTGTGGATCGCGGGCGTTTGGGACTGTTTGGGGAGGAGTGGAAGGATTGGCATGGTTTTGATTTTGGGGTTTGGGTATATGGATGGGTATGCTGTGGGAACTTCTGTCGGTGGGTATCGGCGGGCTATATATAGGTTTACCGAGATTGATAGTAAACGCCGTGTGGTCCGTTGGCCCACTGAATGAGTCATCTCGTATTCAAGGGTCTCCATTCCACTGTCTGGTTTGCCATGTTAAACACTTTAAGGGGAAGGCTAAAGAGCTAAAAGAGCTTGTTGTGTGTGGTTAAATATAAAAATGGGCTGTCCTCGTCAAGCCTCAATGGAGAGTTCTGAAGGACTTCTACTGTGTGGGCCCATACACGACAAGAATGCATGACCCACCTATTGTACCCGGCTAATATAGCAAATGACGATACGCATGGACAATCACTAAACCATGGCAGTACTGCTGCCCTCATCCAAACACTCCTCGCGCGCGTCCTTGATCGCACCAACAATCTGCATCATGGCATCCCAAATCCGAGCGCGATTCTGTAGCCCCTTGAGCTGCTTCCAATTGATAGTAATGTCACGGTACATCTGATACCAATTTGTACTATTATAATCCAATTTGACCGGACTCAGACCGAGAACTTCCAGTCTGTCCGGGTGATCCGGCCATTCCCACCGCGGCTGATCTCGCAGCCATTCAGCCTGAACTTCGGGCATCTCTTCCGTGATGACAAGCCTTTGTTTTTCCATGTCACGGTCCCAGTCTTCCCGGGCCTCCTTTTCCTGGTGTGCGTCGTGGGCGATTACAGTAGCCCAGTAGTACGGCGTCGGATCCGAAGACCACGCTTCATACAGCCACGGCATTTCCCGAATGACCAGCCGACACCATAGCGAATTTGGCAAGTGTGTGAAAGCGCGCGATGTGAGTCGAAGAGCGGCAATATCTGGGGAGCCAAGGTGGTCAATGATGATTAAAATGATTTCAATGGGGACAGCCAGGAAAGGATCCGGGGCGCTTAAGACGGTATTTGTTTGATTCCTGGCGTCGAAGGGGCTGTTGTGTACGCTGAACCCTTTCTTTGTGGAAATGGCAGACTTGATGATCGGATTCAGCGCGGGGACAAATATGGGATTGGCGACTAAGTACTCATGGCCGACGGTATGGTTCCAGACCTGTTCTTGCCCCTCTTTGACATGTTCATGGTCTTCGATTGGAAAGGGCTGGCTTGTCATGCATCCTCTGTCACGAATCCGGACCAATGTGTCCATGTCAACCTCCCCTAGGCACTGCTTGCTCGCCTGGATAAACAACTCAAAGCATGCTGGATGAAACGGTAGCCCGATCTCGTTGAGTTCCTCCTGAGACTGTGGACCAGTAAGTAATCCATGTTCTGCTGCAGCGAGAGGAACGTTAGGTAAGTGGCATACCGTTACGAACATAAATTCAGTTTCTGCCCGAATATTATCAACGCCGTGTCGGACCGGCGCAAATATCAACCCATCCCCAGATGAAGGCATGATGTTCGCGACGCCTGTGAGATGATAGCGACTTTGCTGTTCGAAGCTGAGATCATCTGTCTGAGGTTTCCAATCGGGTCTTTTTGCAAGGATACACTGAACGGTATGGCATCCTCTCATTTCTTCGGCGGAGATATTCCTCCCCAAGTATGCTCGGCTCTTTCGGCAGTCTGGGCCAGCAATATGCTCATAGCATCTGGACTTGTCGTAGGCCGCCCTGTTCATTGTTCTGGAGCCATCCGCATTGATAATCCAAATGCTCTCGTCTAATTGTGTTGAAAGGGGGTAGAACTCGGCATCGTATTCCGGGTGATCAGGTCCCCGTACCTTGAACGTCCACGCTGGTTGATTTGGACATTCGTCCTCGACTGTCTCCATATGTTCATCCTCACCATCGCTTGTCTCTGAGTCGTATTCCAGAGGCTCACCTCCGGAATCACTCTGGTATTCATAGTTGGGGTCGTCCACAGGAATACCGTCTGCGGGATCATCATCATATAACAGCGGTCTCGGACTATAAAACCCAGGAGGTCGCAGAGCCATACTGCATCCCCGCTCGGACGAGCACTCGTCGTCATCGTACATATATTGCGCCTGCTCTTCCTCGTCTTCTTCATCCTTTGTGAAGTTCCGTCCCTGGACCCACCCCCCATGACCACCAGGGCCGAAAGCCGCTGACCTCGGCTCCCATTTCGACCGGATGCGGCAGATGTTGAAGTGCACGCCGCAGAATTGACAGGGTACCTGGTCCTTGGTGTCAGAATTGCTGGGTTGGCTTACTTGGATGTACAAATGGCGATTGTGCAGAGAACACGGTATCCAAAAGTTACTTGCTGGGAATATTCACGAACCTCCCAGTATCCTAAACGAAAGCTCGTTAGTTCTGTGAGCACTTCTCCCGTGCACTATTCGAGAAGTGACATACCCATATTGGTTGTCAGAATAAGCTATGTCAATACAATAACCCTCGCTGTGGTTTACAGTGTGAGGTTGCTTCTCAGGGGCACAAGCTCAATATATGCCTATCTCGTATTCACCGCTAATGCCGATCTGATTTGTTCTTCCAGGAACGGGGCCCACTATTACGAGCTGCACCCGGTGTTGGCTGCCAGGCAATTCCACGGAGCGCAGTCCAAGATAAGATTTACTGAACAGGTACTGCTGACTGAATTAAGGTAACATGTAATATTTCGTAATCTTTCTAAGAATTCATGCGTCGCTCGATGCAGGCTGTGGGACGAATAGGTCTACAAAATCACTAGCGGCCATCTTCTCCAACTTCGGCGAATTTACCGTGTCGAGTATTTGCTCCACCCTCTCTGAGGAAAGTTTTAAGCCCAGGTTCTCCTGGGCCTTCTCCCGGACCAGCTGTAAAGTCTCGGGTCGACGCACATGGCCCAAGGGGAACGGAACCAGTTCTTCCAACTTGGTGCCATCTCGCAATGTCACCTCTAATGCGTTGGCCACGCTGCGGCACTGAGGATCATGGTAATCGTGGGTGAATGTCGGATCTTCTTCCATGGTCGTGAGTGAGCGTAGTGATTCTACGCGAGGATCACGAGCCCAGGGACTGCTGTCCTGGTAGTCGGCGGTCGTGATTTGACTGCCCTTGAGCAGGACCACGGCGACCATATACCGCAAGCAGTGGTCGCGATCTGCGGCGTTGTGCAGTGGCCCCTTCTTATTGATGATGATCATCCCGGCCTCTTGGGTCCGAGCTCGAATGCTAACAATGTCGTTTTCCGGCCGAAGCCCACGCTGCGCCATCTTTTGCGCGATAGTCAATGCTGCTTCCACGGCGGTCAAACCGTGCCCTTCAGCCGTGGAGACTTTGAAGAGGACCGTCTCCATAACCCAGCTCGTGAATGGACGCGGTAGCTCAAAGGTCTGACCACGATACAAAACGTCATAAAATCCCCAACGCGGGGTGGTGATCGCAGAGCGGATACCAGGCTGGCCACATCGAACCAGGTTGGCCAGATGCACAGCACGCATGCAGGCATCCCCGGCGGCCCATCCTTTTCGGGGTCCCGCGTTTGGCGCTTGTCGATAGACCCGTAGTGGGTGGCCATCGGCCCAGGCATGCGAGACTACGGCGCGGGCTTGATCGCGGGATAGACCCATGAGCCAGGACACCATGGCAGACGAGGCAACCTTGACCAAAATGACATGGTCGAGGCCAACCTTGTTGAAGGCGTTGCGGATCTGGAACACGCCCTGGATCTCATACGCCTTGATCAGAGCAGTGAGGACCTGTTTCATGGAGATGACTTTATCGGGGTTGCCCCGAGCAAGGGCCTCCCGACTGAGGATATCGGCGGTGCTGAGGATCGCACCAAGGTTATCTGGTCATCGGTCAGGTCAGACGGACGGCAGGTGTGAATATTAAGACTCATTCTTACCTGATGGATGCCCCCATTCGGCACCGGGAAAGGCATCGTTGTGGTCCAGGTAGCGGATCATTCCCCCAAGGTCAAAGGCGCCCTTGAGAGCATCCACCTGAAAGTGAGTACCGGGCACGCGGAAGCCCCCTGGCACCGTCGCTGTATTGGGCCAGACGGGGCCAATCATGGCGGCACATTCCGGGCTAGTGTGAATACTTTCAATGGCAGCTCCCAGAGCGTCCAGAAGTGCTGCTTTGGCCCGTGTCCAGGCCGCTGGAGAGTCGATCTCATAGTCGTAGGCGTAATCGACGATCAAATCGATCACCTTGTCGTAGGAAGGACAGTTATTGTCGTCTGCCGCTGGAATTGTCATTTTTTTTTTCGATTTTGCGTCATAAACTGTGATTCTTGTGTAGTTCCTCGTTCTCCGATCCAGCCTCATTTTATAAGCAACTAACTAGTAATCCCGAGTATAGAAAGATCAGACGCGATATGTGGTCGCCCGCTCGGCGTTGATGGGCCGCGTCTCGGCTCTCGAACTCCGGCAGCCAGATCCCTCCGAGCGGCCCAGCGTAAGAACCCAGCGTAAGATTTGCTTTGCGATCCCACACAGCCCACGCAGGGAATCTTGAAGATCGGACCGGCCCAGCGTAAGGACCCAGCGTAAGATTGGTTCCCGACCATCATAATCCGCGCGAAGTGTTGATAGAGTAAATAGCAGACGGAATGCCCACATATCTAGTGGCAGTTGAACCAAATAATCGCCCTCGCGCTGTGCTAGAAATTGAAGGACGCTCGGCGTGAAGCAAGACCGACACATCGCCTTTTCAAGCAATAATTAATACACTGTTTACTATTTTTGTTTTGTCAGCGCCTTCACTTTCTCCCTTACCATGGCCTCTACACCCAGCTCTGGTTCCTATGACCTTGCGATCGTAACACCCTCGGAAGATTATTCGTTGAGGTCTTTCTCTCTTGCCCAGGGGAACATCCAGCAAACGTTCCTTGTATCAGCACAGGATGGGGCCTTCCTGGACCAGCAAAAGGCCGCTTTCTTGCAGAACCATTCGAAAGATCAGTCCCTTCTCGCGTTAGTGTTTGCATTTTTAGAATTCCTCCTGGATGAAGATTGCCCACCAGCTCCCCTCGGCGCTTTCCTCGGCGCCATCGAGTCACAGTGCGTGGGAGACACGAATATCCACGACCTGGTTATCCCCGAGCCCGAGGCCAAGAACATTATACGCACCTACTACCGCGCACATGCGGTTGCAGGTCTCAACCCCCGTCCAGCCCCCAGTGGACTGTTCACCACCATTGATAATAACAACGCGAACCGCATTTTGATGGCCTTCGGGGGTCAAGGGTCAACGAATCTTGTCTGTGTTGACGAATTGGCCGAGCTATATTCACTTTACCAACCGTTACTGGAGCCGCTGATCGCATCAGTAGCGCCAGCCCTGGCAAGTCTTTCTCGGGATCCGTCCACGTTGCAGCACTACCTGGGTCGTGAGATTGACCTTGATTCCTGGTTGACCAACCCCGAGTCTCGTCCGGACCGGGCCTTTACAGCCACGGCCGCAGTCAGCTTCCCAATAATTGGCTTACTTGACATGGCCCATTATTACGTCCTTGGTAAATTACTCGACTCGGATTCCCCGAAGCGACTAAGGTCAGCGCTGCATGGCCTCACCGGCCACTCGCAGGGAATTATCGTGGCTGCAGCCGTCGCTCAAGCAGACTCGTGGGCGTCGTTTTTGGCGCAGGCACAATGGGCCATCCGCCTATTGTTTTGGATGGGTTATGAGTGCCACACTGCCGCTCTGGCCTCCCCATTATCGTCCGCCGCCATCAAGGATAGTATTGAGCACGGCGAGGGATCCCCCTCGTGGCTGCTTAGTGTCCGCGGCCTGCGATATCCTGCCCTTGAGGCGTTAATCACGGACTGTAATCGCCGTTTACCAGAATCTGAGCACGTGTCCATTGGATTGATCAACACTGAAAGGAACCTTGTGGTAGCCGGCACTCCACGTTCTCTCCGAGGCTTATGTCTGCGGTTGCGAGAGATCGAAGCTGATGATGGACAAGATCAAAGTCGGGTTCCTTTCCGTCAGCGCAAGCCCGTTGTCCATCATACCTTCCTGCCTGTCAGCGCTCCTTTCCATTCCAGCCACCTCCGTGCCGCTGCGGACCGCGTCAAGGCACGGTTTCCGGATGCCTCGTCGCCCAAAGTGGGCGATCTTCTCACTGCGGTCTTTCATACACGGACTGGCCAGGATATGCGCGAGATGCTCAGCCCATCCACTAACCTAATCCAAAGCTTGGTCGAGGCCGTAGCCTGTGAGACTGTGGATTGGCCGGCAACGTTGCAGGTATCGCGTCCCACGACGCCCTCCCACATTGTGCTTCTCAGCAGCAGCCGCCTCAGTGATCTCGTTTCCGAAATTGTCGATGGCCGAGGAGTTCGTATCATCGCGGGGACAGTGCTAGCCCCAACAGACCCCACGGTGCTGGGTGGAAAAGCGGAGTTACTAACCGCGAAGCCCTCGCAGTCGCCGGTCCCCTGGGGGGACCTTTTCAAAGCTCGACTGGTGGCTGGCCCACATGGCAAACCTGTCCTCGAGACGCGACTCAGTAAGCTGTTGCAAGCCCCGCCTATTATCACAGCTGGGATGACACCTACTACGGTACACTGGGATTTCGTGGCTGCGGTGATGCAGGCAGGCTATCACGTTGAGCTGGCTGGTGGTGGATACTTTGACGCGGCTGGCATGACAGCTGCGATTGAGAAATTAGCGGTCCACGTTCCACCTGGCCGTGGCATCACCTGCAATCTCATCTATGCTAGCCCTCATTCGATTGCATTCCAGATCCCACTGATCCGCAACATGATCCAACGGGGAATCCCCATCGATGGCTTAACAATTGGAGCTGGGGTTCCCTCGCTGGACGTAGTCAATGAATGGATCCAGACCCTGGGCATCAAACATCTCTCTCTCAAGCCGGGGTCTATCGCGGCCATACATGAGGTAATTGAAATCGCTAAAATGCACCCATCGTTCCCGATCATCTTGCAATGGACTGGAGGCCGCGGTGGTGGCCACCACTCTTGTGAGGACTTCCACGAAGCACTTCTGCAGACGTACCGGGATATCCGTCGCTGTTCCAATTTGTATCTGGTTGTGGGCAGTGGATTTGGCCAGGCGGACCAAATGCACCCATATATCACGGGTGAATGGTCGCTATCATTCGGTCGCGCTTTGATGCCTTGTGATGGTATCCTCATCGGCAGTCGGATGATGGTCGCCCGGGAGGCACACACATCTACGCAAGCAAAGAAGTTGATCTTGGCAGCTGCTGGAGTCGCCGACTCGGAATGGGAGCAGACCTTCAAGAAGCCTACCGGCGGAGTATTGACTGTTCAGTCGGAAATGGGCCAGCCGATTCACAAGCTGGCAACTCGTGGAGTTCGGCTGTGGCATGAGATGGACAAGACTATCTTCAGCTTGCCCCGGGACAAACGAGTTGCGGCACTCCATGCGCGTAAGGCGGAGATCATACGTCGCCTCAGTGCTGATTTTGCCAAGCCATGGTTTGGCTACAATGCTGCCGGTGATGCCGTCGACCTAGAGGACATGACGTATATCGAAGTTATTGCTCGTTTGATCCGGTTGGTGTATGTTGGTCACCAGCACCGCTGGATCGACGTATCGTACCGTCAGCTCGTTTTAGACTTCGCCTACCGAGCGCTAGAGCGTGTCTCCGATGTCGATGCGACGGATAAGCTTGACCTCAGTCGGCCTGAACAGTTCGTCGAGCAGATGCAACAACTCTGCCCTGCTGCGACCACACGTCGTCTACATCCAGACGATGTCCGCTTCTTTCTCACAATCTGCAAAAAGCGTGGCCGAAAGCCCGTCAACTTTATCCCAGCTTTGGATGAAGACTTTGAGTACTGGTTCAAGAAAGACTCCCTGTGGCAGTCGGAGGATGTTGATGCCATCATCGACCAGGACGCTGACCGGGTCTGTATCCTTCAAGGCCCTGTGGCCGTGCAATATTCGCGTCGGGCAGACCAGTCAGCTAGGGATATTCTCGATGAGATCCACCATGGGCTTGTAGATCATTTCGAGGAGGAGCGGCTTGAAACGGATAGGCCTCAATTAGCCATATCGGAAATGGTCTCGTCCCAAGTCACCATGACAGAAAACAACACCCATCGTATCATCCGTCCTACATCTGAGAAACTGCCCTCTGTCGAAGACTGGCAAGCATTCCTGGCGAGTCAAGTCACGGGTGGCGTCCAAAGCGTTATCATGGCTGAGCAAGTCACACGAGGTTCCCAGAGACAAGCGAATCCTTTGCGCCGAGTTCTAGAACCACGGATAGGGCAATCCATCCAACTTCCCCTGGACGGTGGCGATCTACTTCTGGTAGAAGATACGCAGAACCGCCCCCTGGTCCACATCAAGCCCAGTGGTGCTCAGGAGGTTGCTGTAGACTTCTATTATTATGACTTCGTGGAGACCCCTGCCATCCTCCGATTCACGTACCAGTGCAATTCGAAGAGTCTTTCCCTGGTAGAGAATCTCGAGGGGCGTGAGGACCGAGTTAAATTATTCTATGCTCATCTGTGGCTCGGTCGTGCCGATCTAAGTCACCACCGGCTGAGTGACATCTTCGAGGGCGAAGAAATCACCCTCTCGTCTGATCTTCATCGCCACCTTCACAATGCTCTCCGTCATACAGTGCCAGATGCCACTGCATCTGCCACAACGAGCACCTTACCCCTCGAGGCCGCGATTATTGCTGCTTGGAAACCCCTTATGGAGCCGCTGTTTGTTGCGGAGCTTCAGGGCGACTTGCTCCGCCTCGTCCATCTCTCCAATAGCATCCGGTACGCTCCTGGCGCTGCTCCACTAGAGGTCAATGATGTCGTCACCACCAAATCGCAAGTTCGTGCAGTGACCATCAAGGAAACTGGCAAGACGATCAGTGTCGAAGCGCAAATTCTGCGGTCCAAGACGCTAGTGGCCACTGTGACTTCGGAGTTTTTTATCAAGGGTTCATTTTCCGATTACGAGACCACCTTCAGTCACCAGGATGAAGCCGCGACTGAACTAAAGGTGCAGTCAGCAATAGACGAAGCCCTTCTGCGAGACCGTGAGTGGTTTCTCTTGGATGACCCTACACAGTCATTGATCAACAAAACCCTCGTCTTCCGTCTGCACACCGTGACCCGGTGGAAGGACCAGTCTACCTTCGCTAGCCTGAAGACGACTGGATCGATCTACGCCAAGCATTGGAATGGCACCGAGCAGAGAGTTGGAAGCGTTGCGTCTGAGCTGGCTGAATGCCATGGCAATCCCGTCATCGACTTCCTGCAGCGCAAGGGCACGGTGGTCCAAGAAAAAGTGCCTTTAAAACACCCAGGCCTGATCGATAACGGATCGAGAACCATCCGCTTACCCTTTAACAATGCTCTCTACAGCTCCGTATCCAAGGACTACAATCCCATACACACCTCATCCGTCTTTGCGCGTTTCGCAGATCTTCCCGGTACTATCACGCATGGCATGTACACCGCCGCTGTTTCCCGTGCGGTCACGGAATGTTTGGCAGCGGACGGTGAGACGGGTCGACTGCGAAGCTTCTCCGCGTCTTTCGTTGGCATGGTGTTGCCAGGCGACCAACTCACGGTCCGGATCCGACATGAAGCCATGTGCCACGGCCGCATGGTGCTCTCCGTTGCTGCATACCGGGAGGGTACCGATGAGAAGGTGCTTCAAGGGGAAGCCGAAGTGGAGCAGCGAACTTCCGCGTACCTGTTTACCGGTCAGGGAAGCCAGGCACAGAGCATGGGGATGCAATTGTATGAGTCGAGCCCGGTTGCTCGAGCAGTATGGGATGAGGTTGACCGCCGTCTCCTTGATCAATATGGTATGTTATACTCTCATCATTCACATCCCTAAAGACTCCCTCTTTCCATGGCTACGACGATCGTGATACGTAGGATAATCTTCCGGAATCTAACACTAACATATCTAGGCTGGTCAATCCTGAACGTTGTCCGTGCAAACCCCAAACAGGTCACCATCCATTTCCGTGGGGCTCGTGGCAGACGAATCCGCGACAACTACCTGGCGATGAGGACAGAAACCAAAATGCCAGACGGTTCCACTAGGCTCGAACCGATCCTTCGCGATCTAACGCCCAAATCGGAGTCGTATACCTTCTTCGACTCCCGAGGCTTGCTCTATGCCACGCAATTTGCTCAACCCGCTATCCTACTAATGGAAAAGGCGGCATTCGAGGATATGAAGGCAAATGGTCTCATCCAAGAGGGGGCTGCCTTCGCAGGACACTCTCTGGGCGAGTACGGAGTCCTAGCTCCCTAGTTGACTTCTTGCCGTTTGAGATGATGATGAGTGTCGTCTTCTATCGTGGATTGGTCATGCAGTTCACCATGGAGCGCGACTCCAATGGCCATACAGGGTTCTCTATGGTAGCGGTCAGTCCGAAGAGGGTGGGCAAATGTAAGTTTTGTTTTTGTTTCGCTCGGGTTTCACCAGACTCACACCGGTACAGATTTCGATGAAGCCATGCTACGCATTGTTGTGGACTTGATCCACAGACAGAGTGGCAATCTGTTGGAAATCGTCAATTTCAATGTTGAAGCCGAGCAATATGTTTGTGCCGGACACGTAAGTCTCAGCCCATTACGTTGCCCACATCTCGCTCATGAATTCCAGGTCCGCAATATTTACGTGTTGAGCGGCATCCTCGACCTTCTATCCCAATCCACCACTGGCCCCCAGCTCGTAGACTCGCTCCGCCGCGCTTCTGATCCCGCCATCACTGACGTAGCTAAAGAGATCGCCGTCCATCTCGAAAAGGCACCCCAACTTAACAATCCCACTGAATTGAAACGGGGTCGAGCAACTATCCCATTGCAAGGCATCGACGTTCCCTTCCATTCGTCACACCTTCGCTCCGGGGTGTCCGTCTACCGACGATTCCTGGAGGAGCGGATCCAAGCAGAGAATGTGCAGGTGGACCGCCTGGTGGGCAAATTCATTCCCAACGTCATGGGGAAACCATTCGCTATTGATCGTCCATATCTAGAAGAGGCCGCGGCGGTCACGGGAAGTTCTGTTTTGCGGGAGTTGGCGTTAGCAGCATGATGTATTATGACTAGTATCTAGATAATCAGAATGACATATTTTACCATAATTGACGATGACGTATAACTTGTGCAAGCTTTTCCACGGAACTAGCGACGGCCTTCCACCAGCCATTTCTGCTCATGGCTTCGAAAGTATTCGGCTGTCGTGGAGGTAGGACAAAGTTAGGCTCTCAAGGCGAAATTTGTCGAGAAACCCACTACAGCTCTTCCTGGTTCGGCGGACGGGACCCTCCGTCTGTCTCACTGTATGATTTGTTGTTGTGATTGTCGCCACTGCCATGGTTTCCCTTCTGGCTGCCCTTGGCAGTGCCTGTCAAACTATACAACGTAAGGTAGTCAACTTAGCAAGCGGCTTGAAGCTGAGCTGCCGTCGTCTGTATCCCTGGGCAACTGGAGTTCAGTTGGCCTCTTGCGGCCGCACCCCTGCAACAGTAATCATTTAGTGTTTGTAACGGGGGTTTTGTGGGCTAGAATGACTCCCAATTTCTTGAGTCAGTTGAAGTGTTCACAGACAGTTTCATCTAGAACCATCACGTGGCAAACCACACCATAAGCGCGTCAGGCTGAGTATCGGTAATACCGTAAGCTAACCCTCCGACACCCAATGATTGGCGGTAGAGGTAATATTCTCGGTCATATACTAGTACCAATGCTGACGATGAGCCTCGTTTCTGAGTCTTGGAAGACAGCTTTATAGCTTGCAGATCTGGGGCTATTCCGTTCCACAACAAATTTCACTTTCGGCTTGAAATTACTCGCATCGGAGCGTTATTGTCCTCCGTGTACATAACATGCACCCTGCATGCTTCCCGGTTGTACTGATCGGACTTTCCTTCACGCGTGCATGATGCAGGCCCTTCTCCGGGACCCGTGGATACTTCGTTAGCAATTACTGGCTCCTTCAGTTAACTATAGAAGGAATACTACTACTACTAGTACCCTCAGACCGTGCTGCGCACTGATCTAAACTCCACTCCGAAAGGAAGCTGCTAGCATTCTTCAGTAAAATCCTTCGATCGCGGCTCCTCCCGCCCGCGTTCATCGTGGAAACACATCAGCCCCCATATGTCGTATTTGACGCGGCTGAATATGACGCGAAGGATGATGAGTTGCAGTAGTAGCGATACGACGGTAGAAGGCATCAGAGGAAGCGGTCGTACTTTTGTTTGTCTCTGGTAAAACGCCGAGACAGTAGAGATGGTCCATACTCTGCCAACCAGATCAGTAGAATGCCAATTCACCTGATCTTGAGGAGTGATTTCTTGCTTGAATGAGGCAAAGCTAGTAAGGATGGAACATACTCGTAGAAGTACTGTAATTGCGGAGCGCGAAGACGGGTACCAGACTGGAAAGGTCATTTCAATCCCCGGCCTGGGCCGAGTCTGGAGGTACACGAGCGGCTTCTTCCGGGATGGACATGACTGCCTCAGGCACCTTCGCCATTTCCCATCTCATTTCCCTTTGTCTTGCTCCACCGCTTACTTAAACAGCTTCTGTGCACTAGTTAACTAACGTAACTACTGACCAACTTGGAACTGTGCGCAGGTCCACGAGTTGATACCTGAATCTTGTGGTAGCCATACTCTGCTCCCTGTCCGATCTTTTCATTATTTATATTTTCCTGCGTCCATATCGCGCCCACTCCCTACTATGGATTAACCCCACCGATAGCGTGCCGCCTCGTTCCCTCGGTCCTCTTCTGTTTCTTGTCAACCTTCCTCCCCTCCCTCCCCAACCCTTTCTTGCATTTCTCCATGACGGCCCGGACGCCTAGCAGGGCGACTGGTGCCCCGGATAATGTAACTCACACCGCTCCAGACCAAACGCAGCAGGATCAGGGGGAACGCAGGGAATCGCCAGCCTTACCCAGCCTCACCAACAAGAACGCCCACGGTCTCAACCAGACAGCACCTCCAGCCCTGCCTGCAACCAATGTCGCACGCGGAAGATTCGCTGCGACCGACAGCAACCAAAATGCTCCAACTGCCGCCGGGCGGACGTCGAATGCGACTTTGCCACGACCCCGAAGCGCGTCGACCGCACCAAACAACTGCTGAACGATTTCAACGGGGTCGTGGCCCGACTAGACCGCGTTGATAACTCGCTGGCGAAGCTATCGGAGCAGCTGCAACAACAGCAGCCATGCCGATGCTCTCACTCCCCTGTCCCATCGCAGGTCGATAATCCCTGGGGAGCGCCCGAGCCCGCAGCCATATACACCACATACACCCCGAGGAGCTGCTCCACCTCGTGCCGATCCCCCCACCTGATGGATGTCGACAGTTCCGAAGAAGGCGATCCGGAGATTCCCCACGGCGATCTCGTCGACTTCGACCAGGGCGGCCAACGCTTGCTGGACTACCCGGCCGCACTGTCACTGTTTCGAAACCTGCAGCGCCAAATCACCCAGCGCCTGACCAAGGATGTGCCGCACGGGTCGGACTTGTGGCAGGTGGTCGCCCAACAACCTGGGTTCAAAGAGAGTTTGGAATTTCAGCTGGAGCAGTTTCCCTTTGGCGGTCAATGTCACGAACCTGTCATCATGACCGATCACCGACCCATCAGTACACCTCCACGCTACCTATTGGAGCTATCTTTAGACGGCTTCCTACGCTATATCAATATCCACACGCCCATCTTCAATGATTCCTCTCTAGAGAAAGCGATCGATACACACTACCAGTCTCTGTCAGCGGGAAACAGCGATGCGTGGGCCCTTACCTTCACCAATATCATTATTCTGACCGTCGCCCTGGATGCCCGTGTCGCTCGTGCAACCGCCTCCCATCTGGTTAGCATGAACGATGATATGCTCCCTTCTTTCCTGAAGAATTGCGACCGAGCGTTGGCGGATTTGAACCGGTTTACTGGGCCATGTGCCATCAATGTTCAGGTGCTCTTGACTCTGGTAAGGGCGGTCATTAAAATCCCCAGAAGATCAACCTTGGGTATGAAAAGACTACCAGGTGGCTAACCGTTGATACCAGGCTCTCGTGGCTAGGGAATTTTATAGTAGCGTGGTCTTTGAAAAGGTCTGCCAGACAGTGTGCCAAGTGGCGCGCTCCACGGGTCTCCATAGGGCTCACGGGGCACGAAGCGTGAGATGGGAAAAGATGCCGGAGCGAGAACGACTCTTCTGGGTGGTCTATACCATGGACAAGCAGCGGGCGTTCCTGACAGGGCAGCCCTGTGATCTATACTTGTTTGACTCTGATATCCAATTGAGGAGCTGCGGGGAGCGTGCACCATTCCCGCTGCGGCTGAACGCCGCCTACGTGCATATGATGACGATCTGGGAACAGATTTTCATCAATCTCTATTCTTCCCGAGCGGTCCTCGCCGACGCGGCCGACCGAAGTCGGCAGGTGCAGCAGCTGTGGGGTTCATTGAATGAATGGAACATCAAATACCATGCTCTCCTAAGCTCGCCCATCGTCGAGAAGATGGCAGACTTGGCGCCCATGCAGCTCGAGTTGAAATACTGTCTCATGGTGAGCCAGGTCCTCGTACATCGCTGTGACCGCATCGCACGCTCCCAGCAAAGGTATCGGGATCCCGCCCGCAATGCTCTCAAACTCATCAGTCAGGTTGCCGGGGACCACCATAATGTTACGCTCGCGCGATGTGCTGTCTTAACCAGGTTTGTTGTTGTATTCCGTTGAGGCCTCCATCAAGTCGCTGACCCCTTACTAAGGATGTATCGAAACTATCCCCTTGTCGCCGTCCATGACCTCTTCTCTTTCTGTCTTCTAGACGGCGAGCCGGACAACACGGAGGATGCAAAACTCATCCATGAGACTCGCCGCCATCTCGAGCTCCTCCACTATGCGGACTTTCCTCGAGCGTACTTTGCCCGGCTTGAGGCCGGGTTGAAATGGTGCACCGACATGCTGGATACCATCAAAGATTGCTTGTCCCGCTCGGCGGCCACCGGCGACTGGGGGCCGATGGATGGCTCTTCCACCGGCCTCTCCGACCGCACGCCCCCCTCAGAATCTGAACTCTCGTCGATACCCCCGGACGCGTGGGCCTCGCTGAACCTTCCGATGGGCCGCGACGAGATGCTTTGTGGTCTTAGCCCTTCAGTACCCTCAGAGGGATTGCTGGACCCGGGGTTCCCCGCTTTTGGATTGACTACGTCGTCTACAGGTGATGGTACCGTCCCGGCGTTCACTCACGGTGGTGATAATCCGGCAGTGACGATGCAACCACCGATGTGGGTACCGGCTGAAGTACCCTGTAGCTCGTCTGAACCACTTTTTGACCCCGAATTTACCCGAAGTATAATGTCATGATAACAGTTTTTATTTGGTCACTATTCTTTAGTCACGGCCCGGGCGGCGTTCTTTTTCCCACTTTCATCACTGTTTCACACCCATTTTGAATGTACTGTATATGAGTTTATGATACCTAGGATCCTTTAGAGCGATGTTGATAACCTACTGCAGATTAAGTACAGATGTGTGGCAAAAGGGTTGGTCACCGCGGCTCTAACATCAAAATATATATACCCGCTTCAATGATTATACAAGCCGTTTCGAATTGTTTAATATTAATTAGTGAGTAAGAAAACCGATAGTTATCATATAACTATGACATAATACTCGTCGGATCAGAAAAACATATTCTATCATATTCATTCGAAGTGCTCAATACATACTCGATGACAATAAAGTTCCCGTCTCGACATAGTAGGGTTGGCCTAGCTAAATGCCCCTGACGGACACTTCGAGGCAGTGATATTAATTCATGGTGAACATCTATAAGTAGAACAGTCTTAGCACATTTTAGTAAGATGTACGGAGTGTAGGAAAACAGCTTCAGCAACAGCACATGCTACTATTCGTTCACTTTTAGGCTGATTCTGCCGGTATTATAAACGCCCTTAGCCCATGGAGATAAAGGCGGTAGGTCAGTCGGTGAATGTACTTGGCCAAATATTTTAATTGGCAATGCGGTCTTGTTCATTATTAAATTATACTCATCACTAGTACTTTCTTAGGGTCATATCAACATTTTGCAAACCAGACAATGCGAGTCTAAACTGAGAAGGACAAAAAAAAGAAAAATAAAGAAAAACCCGCCCGAAACCGGGACAGAGGCCAAAAAAGGACGACAGATAGGAGTGTTCGAAATAGCTGGTCACCAACCCAGCAAACGAGTCTTTGTCCTCACGTGTGCTTGCTATTCTTGGACCACGACCGAATCCGAGCACCGTAGCGATAGAAGAGCACGGGGATCGGGATCATCGCAATGCTAATGAACCCGAGGGTGCTCGACGCCCAGGCAACGCCAAGATTGTGATACATGAAAGGCCCAAAGAGTGGGAATCCGGCACCGAAGAAGCTGCGCACAAACGTGTTGGCACCGATCGCACTGTTGGCGATGGTCGGGTACACGTCGACCAGGTAGTTCAGACACTGCACGAAGACCATGTACATGCCTGTGCCGACGGGGGCACTCCCGATGACCATGCCCGCCCAGTGGATGTTGGGATTGGACGTCCAGGCGAAGATGAAGAGTCCGACAGGGAGCAGGCATCCTCCGGCGATCATGAGGGGCAGTCGCTGCTCGGGGACTACTGCCTTGTTCCCGTCGTAGTTGCGCCGCGTTTGTATGACCACAATGGCACAACCGATCAGAATTCCGACCATCATGCCGATATACGGGAGGGCGCTGATTCCCAGGGACCAGCCACGAACTTCCCGGAAGGCGATAGGGTACGAAACGAACACGAGGTATAAGATGCCATAGATGAAAGCCTAGTACCCTTGTCAGTACAGGAGTGTGTCAACGTTCTATAGCGGGTTTCCTTACCTGGTAGATGGTGACCAAGAGAAGAATCGGTTCGGTAACCAAAAGCCCTGTGCACCGTCAGTATATTTCGAAAGAGTCGCACGAGGAGGAAAGTACTAACCAAATGGTCTCAGCAAAAAGATGACGAATATGTCTTTGATTCCCTTTTGCTTCCCGTCAAACACCGTGTGGGCGTCCGGGTTGCCCGCCTTGCGTAGGGCTGCGGCCTTGTTGCGCAAAATGGACCCGGCAAAGGTCTCAGGCAGTCCAAAAACCACCAGAACTGTACATGACCCGCCCATGATACAACTGAGCCACTGTGTGAACCGCCACCCCAGATAGCTTTCGACGATAAAGTTTCCCATCAATGGGGCTAACACCGGACTACCAAAGATTGTGCCAATACAACATGCCATTGCAACACCTCGCTGCGCGGGGTTCCACATATCCACCAACGAACCTCCGACAAGCGACAAAGGAGCCGCACCAAAGACTCCTGTCAGGAATCGCCCGATGAGGACCGTTTGCAGATTTTTTGCCACGGCCACGGGTATACAGAAGATGGTGAAAAGAGCCATGCCGATGACCATGGGCCATTTGCGGCCGAATCGCTCGGACAAGGGACCCCATACAGGCGGACCAACAGTGTAACCCTATCCAGTCAGCGTTCAACTCAGACGGGGAAAAAGCATGATGGATGCTACCTACCAGCAGGAACAAACTGATTCCAAGTGTCACCACCGTACTGCCGACATTAAACCGTTGCGCGATTTGGCCACTTCCGCTGCTGAAGATACTACTGGCGATACATGTGCAGAGATTTCCATAGACCCAGATGGCTGTAACGAACGCCCGGTATCCGAAGGACCAGTTTTGGGGGTTTGCTGGATCATCTGGTCCATTCCAGGTGACTAGGTTTGGGTCTGTCTTGGGTTCAGCGTTTGAAGGAGCTTTCTGGCTTTCGATGTCGGTAGGCTCTGATGATAGCCGACTACCCGGATGAGGAGAGGGTGGAGAGTCTGGAGAGACCACAGGCAATTCAGCTGCAGCCATGGGGGACGAATATGTAGAGGACGCAAATTAGAATCGGTAGGGATGAGAGGTTTTCGACTCGGATCAAATATCGTTGAAGAGCCGGCGTATCAAGAACAAATCTAAAAGAAACAAAAGTAAAAACCACCAAATTAATAAAAACAGGTGAGCGGAAGGACTCAATCCAGAATTAAGCCTTCCTTGTCATGAGAATAGTGTTTCTGGTCCTCCTCCAGCCTTTGTCTTGGCAACGGATGGACAAGTACTATATACTCCCATCAGCTCTGGCGATCGTCCCGTACACCGCGTACGTACGCGGTGCTCGGCCGCCGTCGCCCGAGCCATTAATCATCGGGCTTGTTGTTCCTTCGTCAGCATTGGGAGTATTCCATCTCCACTTGGCCCGTGTCAGTTGGGCATGGTAATCATACCATTACTAAATTCTTAAATGAGTCGTTAATTGGCTCCCCTTTGAGGGTTCAACTGAATGATTGCAACGTTTCATTTGCAACTTTCCGACAGACCGCGAGGGCTTTGGTCAAGCACGTGACGCCAGCTGATCGTCGGCACCCTCATCCGTCCTTAGTCATCGTCTTCAGGTGCTTGCTTCATGTCTACAATCTATGTGGTCTGAATTCAGTACTAGTATTGTATAGCTGGGGCTAGTTGAATTAGCACCCGTGGAGATGCTTGGAATTCATTTACATGACTTTCATATTTCAAGTAAATTGGTAGTTCTCTAGACGGATCATAGTATAGTCCTAACCCTGACTCATGTGGCTATACAAAGTGTGACGGGCAACTGCTATGGAATTGGTATTTTCAACTGTTCTCAATCTTTCCATCCTATAGAGGCAACACGAGAGTCCAGAGGACGGGCCGCGATAGCAGAGATAATCAAACTGGGTTGAGATGTCAAGCTTGGGGTTGAGCAGCCCGCAAGGATGCTCAGAATGCCAGGCAACGTGCTCTAGCTTGGTGGTCTATACCTGAGAAAGGATGGTGTGGAGGTATTCAATATATTGCTCGTCGTCCTGTGGGAGATTATAGATTACCAATCGTATATTACCAATCCAGGAAGACCACTAAAGGCTGGACTAATTTCAACAGAACGGATCTCTACTTGACTGAAGTGGCCAGTCGACCTCCGCCCCTGCATCGGGCCCAAATTAGGCTGAAGAGAAATATATTGCCTGAAATTCGAAAACTAGATTATTCTATTGCTAATTCGTTGACATGCCAATCATTACTACTTCCTGTGGATATCACACTGCTACAGCTCACCGCTGATCAGTGCCAACAATTCTGACACATCAGCTGAATTCTCCAAAGACAAAACCGAGTTCTCGATTCTCTGCAGTCTCTCCGAGTCAATTACGGAGCTCGCCAGCTTGCGCCACTTCTCACGGATCTCCTCGTCCGTGATGGGTGGATCGAAACCCTTCGGCATGGCGACCACATCCTCCACGGACTCCCCGTCGTTAAACTCGACCACAATGCGGGCCCCGCAGAGATGTCCCGGCTTGTCGAACTCCGAGCTATGAACACAAGTCGTCTTGTCAATGAGACTCCACACTGCATCATTATCCAAAGCATGAGGCTCAAACTGATCGAGCAGCACCTGTCCGTACACCAGCTGCGCGGCACCGATGTATGCCGCGTTCATCTGGCCGCCAGTCGCAGTCAACGGCCGCTCCTCCGGGGCCCAGCCATCGTGCGCAAACACCGGCTCAGAAAGGGAAACTGTAATGCGACGGATGTTCTGTAGCTGGTCCACGGCAAATCGGTCAGGGTAGTTCCGCTGGAGCTTCTCCAGGGCTTCGATCTGCCCGTGACAGCCGCCGACACAGGCGTGCAATTTCACGCGGATATTCGTCGTCTGCCACTCCGTTCCTAGTGCAGTCGTTACCTCGGCGGGCTTGTACTGTGGGTTCCGGCCATTTCCTTGTGTGAACATGGTGAGAAATCCGCCATAGCTGCGGTCGAAGACCTTCTTGATTCCCACGTAACCGTCGCGAGCTAAGAGCGCGCCGAAGAGCCCGTTGCGAGCGGCAAACGCGTGCTGCACGCGCTTCACCATTCCTTCATACTGCGCTGCCATCAGCCCGCCAGCCTGTGTACAGGCGATCCCGACCGCTGACTCGGTGTCATCCGGACTGAGGCCCAGTAGCTTCGAGGATGCAGCTGCCGCTGCCGGGGAGCCGAAGACCGGGCCTGAATGCCATCCCCGCGAAAGCAGATCTGCGCCGTACATAGCGGATCCGACTCGAGGTCCCGTTTCGAATCCCACGATGAGGGCAACGAGGAAATCGAGTCCCGAGACGACGCTCTTCCTGTGTCCCTTGGACTGGACTTCCGCTGCGGCGAATAATGCAGGCAAGAGGACGCTAGCGGAGTGGAGTGGAGCGGCACTGTGGTAGTCATCTAACTCTACGGCTTGGATGAATGAGCCGTTGAGAATGGCCGCCGCTTGCGGGCCGTACCGCTATGTACTACGATTAGCCATTGAATTTATTGTGTGGGGATGGGATGAAAACATACCCTGTTGTAGCCTATCACACTACAATATCCTTCTGGTTCATAGTCGTCGATCGCCTGGGCGGCTTGCTCGGACCACGGGACGTGAGATCCGACTAAGCCACAGGCGATTCCATCGAGCAGTAGATGCTTGGCTCGTTGGAGGACGTCTGCAGGGATGTCTGCAGGCTTCAGGTCTGTCACCCAGTTGCAGAGTTCTGCGGTGACGTTGCCTTCTGGCGTGGAGTCTGTGACGGTCATTGTGTATTGATCGCTGTGCTGAATACAGGGAATATGGACTTTCACTCTCTCATTGGGCAGTAGAGGTCTTACATAAATAGAGGTATGCGGCCGTTGGACCCCGAGATAGTTCCCAGAAACTCCTCAACGCGGGTCCTCGGGGGCGTACGCCTCCCCTTCGCGGACCGGCGTCCGAGTCGCGGGAAACATGGCGTTTCTCCCAGCCGAGCAGGGCGAGATGGCATGTCGACTGGGGGCGTCATCCGCCGAAGGTCAAGCAGTGATGATAGTTTAAAAAGTAATGTTCACCAGACAGACAGAAGACATTGTAACAGATTCACTCATTCTATGGAACAGATTCAAAGATGCTCTCCTATACTAGCCACTGTCTGCAGACCTTGCTCGGGGTCGCGTCCCTGCCCTACCGGCAATACTTGGGGTACTCCAGTCCTCAAGCACCCCTTCAAGCAGCGCAGAGCGGACCCCCAGTCACCACGCTCGTCTCGTCGTGCGCGGGGTTCAGCTACCCGGAGGTTGCTTGCATTGATCGATACGGATCGCTCCTCGAGGGCGGGTTCGAGCGCAAAGTGCGTAACGTGCTTGGCGACGCCGACACCTACATCTCCACCAATGCGCCGCAGGAACCAACCTTCTCCGACCTGCTCAATGCCGATTTCCTGGTGTGGAACCAATCCGCAGCGAAGGCCATACTCGGTCCCAACCCCAGTGTCGAGTTCATGTTCAGCATCGAGGACTGCTCCCACGAGGCTCCCGTGTACGTCCCCACTACTAACGAACTGTACTTCTCCCGCTTACAGCAAGGATTCCTGCCTCAAATGGTGATTAACCTGAACAATGACCCACCTACTTTGGAAGAGAAACTTGCCCAGCCACCCATCTACGCAGCCACAGGAGCTCGATTCCGCGACGGGCTGCTCTATCTCGCCACGATAGGCGGAAACGAGTCACTCGCGGGGTACACCTTCCGGCCAGGTCTGTATACGTTGAACCCGACTACCGGGGAAACCCAAGCTCTTCTGAACAACTACTACGGGTATTACTTCAATGCAGTGGACGACCTTGACATCGATCATGAGGGTCAGATCTGGTTCACCGACAATGGTAACCCCTTCCTCCCCTCCCCTACTCCCCTCTTCCCTTGGCAATCTACATAGATAGATAACCTGTTGTTTCTACAAACAAGACTACGGCCGCCCATGCCAAGTGAACACCTACGCGCCGCAAATCAACCCAGCAACCTACCGCTTCAACCCGAAAACCGGGCTCGTCACCATGGTGGATGACTCCCTCCTCGAGCCCAACGGCCTCACCTTCTCGCCGGACAACAAAACCGTCTATCTCACCGACACGGGCGCCGGATCTGCCATCATCGATCCGAACATCTACCCGGCTCCGCACATCGCCTACAACTCCACGCGCAAGGGCCGCACCATCTACGCGTACGACGTGGCCCCATCGCGCAAGGCGCTGCTGAACAAACGACCCGTCTACCTCTCCATGGAGTATGCACCGGATGGAATCAAGACATCGCGGGAGGGATATCTTGTGTCGGCGACCGGGAAGGGCGTCGTGGTTTTGACGGACGAGGGCGAGCCCCTGGTGCGCGTGCAGACTAATTTCACGGTGATTAATGTTGCATTTGCTGGGGCGGATCGGGACGAGCTCTGGGCCATTGGGAAGGGAGGTGTGGCCAGGATTCGATGGGGGCTGAAGGGATCTTACGCTTAAAATTTTGGCTGACGACTTTGGGCTGAGTTCTGTTCGTTTAATATTGGTTTTTCTTTTTTTTTTGACGACTTTTTCATGTTGGGGGTTCCTTTTGCGTTCCAAGTGAGATTTTAGGTTGTTTTCTTCTTTTCAATCAGCGAAAGAGATCGATAGAATCAAAGAGATTTTCATTATCCCTGAACAACAGGCTTTTTTTTGTTTTTCCGTTGGCTTATTCTTGTAGATGGTGGACGAGTCCTGTGCATTTAGGGTTGGTGTGATCCCTAACCCCGCGCCAGAGGACCGCGTACACGGACTAGTTCTCGACGATATATCAGATCGTTTCACCTAGATTGAGCACTGCACTCCGCTGGGGCGGAGTCAGCCCCGCCGGAGATGGTATGATGCTTGTACATACGGCTCAATTAGATACGCCGCGCGGAGGCCAGCTCTCGGAGAAGATATGCTGCTTTGCATACGGTGGAATCCCGAACGTTCGGGTAGAGAGTTAGGCCGTCGGAGATGATTTGGTGCTTGGCATTAGTACTCCTGACCTAACGAAGCCCCGTCGCTAAAATTATCGTCACTCAGCTAAGTTTCCACTCATCGCCCCCGATCATACAATCCCTTATCTTCTGGCCTTGCGGAGTGCAATGACGTATGCAATCAGGGGCTGGTTTGGTAGTATGCAGTAAAATGGTCGTTTCGCAGACTTCACCAAATCCGTTTCTTGGGCTCTCTCGCCTTTGTTCTCCGTGTCCACATAGTCCCACTGGTCAACTAGGCCCCTCGTAGTTGGATTTGTGCATATCCAGAAGCTCAACTCGCTCTGACCGCTTCGTTGACCGCCTCTAGTAGATCGGGGTTTTCTGTAGCTTAGTAAAAGCCGGCAATGAATTCTTTAGTTATTTTCTTCATCACTTCTGTATACCAAGGGATATAGGTTTAATTTCTTGTATATGGGTTCTTCATAGACTACTTCATTGACTCTGGTAATAATATCAGGAAAAGTGTGAAATTTAATACCGATTGATGAAGTCTTTACCCTACATCTGCAACCTATATAGAGGAATATATATTTGTGGTGGCACACGACAAACTAGGGCAAGCATTCTGAGGACTTCCCCCCTGAGTACTATCGACCAAGGACTAGAACGTGCAATCCATAACTGCATACTGCTTGCTCTATCAAGCAGGTAGAAATTAGGACATCAAAGTGGCAAAACCACGCTTGAGCTCGCTCAGTAGACTGTAGGATGATGACGTTATATTGCCAACAGTACTATCTTATCTACGATCGATCGATAGCCACTAAAGCGGTCAGTCAGGCGGTAAGGATACTGGTATCATGTGGAGTGACGTAATGCTGCAAGTGCACCAACTAGTTAGCTATTTCTGAGTCTAGACTCTACGGGTGGGACATTGCGACCCATCTACTACGTAGTATATTCAATGCCTTGAGATGGAGTAATACATAGGTTCAGATTTGATAAAAAATCATAGAATTCACAATAAATATTCTTCCTCACGGTACTCCGTACAAGCATATCTAAGAAACCATTTTCTCTTCATAATCCCATTCTCAAAAGACCAAGAAAAAGACGTAAATCAGTGCTTCACCTCACCCAAGGACTCGCCCAAAGCTTGGCCGTTGACAACGACCGGCTTGGCATCCAGGGCAATGTACAAGGCGCGCGCAAACTGGGTCTTGCTGGGGTTGCGCCAGCAATGGTTGGAACCTCTCTGCACCGCAATATCACCCCTCTTCATCAAACGCTTCTCGCCGCCCTCCACCTCCAGCTCGAGCTCGCCCTCGATGACCACGCCGAAGTCAATGGTCACAGTGCGATGCCACATGGGCTCACAGCCCGGGTGGTAGTCGACGTAGCGCACGACGGCGCCGCCGGGGATCATGAAGGGAGGGTGGTTGACGAGGTGCTCCTTGTACTGGTTCAAGTCGGCATCGTGGCTGAGGGGGGCGGGAAAGCTGCCGAGCGTGTAGGCGAGGAAGAAATCGACGCCAATGTTGGTGCGTTCCCATTCGATTGGCTCGGGGACTTTGGTCTCGAAGGTGGGGGTTCCGTCTTCCTTGTGGGTCGTGATGAAGCGGTGGACTTGGGGGAAGTCTTTCTCAGGAAGGGAGCCCATCGTGAAGTGTGGTATTGTGTGGATGGAGGGGGTTTGTTTCTTGAGTAGTTGAGTTGTTCTTTGGGTAATTGATCTGTTTGCTTGAGTGATTGATTGTGGTGAGTTGAGCTGGATGGCAATTCTCCATGATTGGGGATGTTATTTATGTGTCCCATGGTTTGGGACGGTGTCGGTCCTCGGAGGACGATGGTTCGGAAGCTTGTTGTTCTGCTCGGCGTCGATTGAACCGTAGGCGGAGGTCGGCGCCCGAGCCCCGCATGCCTTATGCAAGCATGGGGATTTGAAACAATCGTGGGTGAGTAATCGGGCACCTTTGCTCATGTAATTCGTCTTAGCTGAGAAACCGTTTTTCTTTCTTTCTTGGTCTTTCCTTTGTCACTTCATTAGGTTTTAGTCATGATGTTACTGTTTTCTGAAGTCAATATTGGTAGGCGTTCTCGATTGCTGAGGCGTTCTTAGGGTTAGGGTTTTCCGCCCGCCCACGTACGTGGCACGTCTACTGCTCTACATAAGCACTATATTTGTCCTTCTCTCTAAAACAAAAAGTCTCTTGACATTTCGTTCGAAGGATCCGTCCTGATCGCCGTGGTAGAATGGCCCCCGATCGATGGACCTTGATCTCTACCAACCAAATTTAGTCCTCGACCAACAAAAACACAAGGACGACCCAGTCGATTCGTCACAATACTACTCTAGTGCTTATGCTTGGAAAAAAGTCAAATAAGGAAGCCGGTGACGGTATGATTGAATCTCTATGAAAAAAAAAATATCTTCACAAAAAGGGTAGTATCCACCTCGATGGGGAATGGATCACGAATAGTCTGACAAAGGTCTAAAAATATCTATGAAGGGAAAAGAAGGGGAGGTAAAGAAGCGAAAAGTAAAGAAAACAACAGAAAAAGAAAAAAATTTACATAGGAAAGAAAAAGGAGGGAAAGAAGAGAAACGCAATCACAAATCCAACTCTTACTGCAGAGCAGGACCGGTCAAGTTCAGCTTGGCTCGTGCCACAGCGCCATGCCCAACAATCCACAGCTCATCCAAGTTCTTGCCCCCAAAGACCGTGTTCACAGCCGTGAAATTCGTCTGGATGCTCACCAATGGTGTGCCAGTGGTATCAAGGATATCAACGCCATGACCCGCGCCGGTAATCACGTATCCGTTGCTAGCCACCTTCAGACCGTCAGGAACGAAGTCCTTCGCCGTGTAGATCGGTCGGCGGTTCTTGAGGTACGAGCCGTCCTCGCTCACATCGAATGCGTAGACGGTGCGTCGGTTGGTGGAGTTGTACTGGAGCGATGGCACCTCGTTCAATGGCACTTTCGGGTCAATCATGGTGACACCGGCGTCAGTGTCCGTGAGGTAGAGTGTTTTGTAGTCAGGCGAGAAAGCAACACCATTGGGACAATGCAGTGTGTCATCGACGACCTTCACTTCCCCGGTCTCGGGGTCGTACCGATAGACTGATGCCTGGACCTGAGGAGCGACGGTTGAGGTACCGAAGTTGCGGGCAAGGACTGCAATTGAATCAGTATTGGACACCAATGAGATCCCTAGACCAGGAACTTACAAGGATCACTGAACCAGATGCGACCGTGCTGGTCGATATCCATGTCGTTGGCCTGGAGCGAAGGTTAGTCCGTGAAATTCACTCGTCGTGCATCGGGGACTGCCGGTGGGCATGCATACCTGGTTGAAGTACCATCCAAAATAGTTGTTGACCTCAATGGTCGATTTGCGGGTTTTGGGGTCCACCGAGTAGATTCCTGGGTGATAAGGACCCCCCTCCAGAGTGGAATTGCCACCTCCAACAGAGAAATAGATCTTTCCATTCCTGTAGCGGGCCCCGGATGGAGCATACATAGGTGGGTCGGTCAGAATTGTTGAGAGGGTAGGGGAATCGCCATCCAGACTGATGACCTTCTGGTGGAGCTCCCCGGTACCTAATTCAGAGAACCACACCTCGTTGGTGTCGGGGACGTACACGGGCGCCTCGTGTCCGCCAGTCGAGACGGTAAACATAATATCATACACCGGGTCGGATCCTAGGATCTCGCTACCACGCTGCTGGTCCCAGACGAGGAATGTGGCTTTGCCAACCTGCTGGAACGAGTCGTCATTGGGCACCTCGGTCGACGTGTAAGTGTCCACGCTACTCATGTCCGTGCTGGCCTTGCGGTAGAAGTCCAGGGGCATTTTCGATGCATATCGGTACATGCAGGCGACACGTGGGAAGCTGTAGCCAGTGCAGGCTTGAACCAGGGGGGTGGAATTGTTCCCGGCAGATGCTAGCGGGGCTATGCATAGCGCCAGGGAGACCAATCGCAGAGATAGATGCATGATCAAAACACGTGGGTGCTGCGCGGACTGTTCTGAAGGATATACACTGAAGGAGCGGATGTTGATGCTACCCAAATGAGCCGAGAAACTACCCACTACTTATACTTCGTTTTCTGTCTCCTGAATGACCGACTCAGGTCCAGCTGAGCAACAACACTGCCTTCCAATCTCCTGTTGGGGGCCGAATCCTTCATCATCTTACGTTTGAGATGAGATCCGTCGAGGCTCGAGCACTAAGTTAGACTTGCGCCAATGCATCAACCACATGGCGCACCCCGGCCAGTCCACGTTGTGCCAGGGGCTAGACAGGGGTGGCCTGAAATGCAGAAATCCTGCAGGATTCTGCAGGATTCTGTGACACAACTCAAATGAGGCTGACGATTCGCGATGCATGGCGTCGGAGGAAGTAGGTTGTTCGGAGAAACTATGTCGTTCGGAGCACGAAGGCCGCTCGTATCCGCGTGTCGCTCGCCGAGACCCCCGTCCATGACACTCCGCCATGACGCTCCGCTCTACGCAGGTCCACCAAGCTCGTGGGACGTACGCACTGTAACAGAGTCCGCGTATGGCACTCCTCCTCCATGTAGCCCTCGTCGCGCAAAGAGACATGCTGACATGCAGACATGCAGACATACTCCGACAGCTGCTTCATGGGACCGCCGTCGGATGAGATGGGACAATATGGCATGATTCTACGTTGAAATGAAGACATAAATAGGCTTCTCATTGCCATCGGTTTGTTCTTATCATCATCACGACAACCATCAGAGCAAAGCAACCAGACAAGCAACCGACTCAAACTCAATCTTCATTACCAATCTTCAACTTTCACAAGATGCACTCCACCAAGGTCACCTACCCCGAGCCTATGCAGCTCACGGGCATCCTCGATGAATACGAGTCCTTCCAGGTTACACCCTGCATTGGTACTGAGTTCCCCAAGGCCAGCTTGGCTGAATGGCTCTCCTCCCCCAATGCCGATGCTCTGTTGCGCGACCTGGCCATTACCAGTAAGGATCATCTTAGCTCGCAACAAAAATGTTGGAGACACACACACACTAACCAGTCATGGTAGTTGCGCAACGAGGCGTTGTCTTCTTCCGTGCACAGACTGGTCTGGACGGAGAACTCCAGAAGGAACTCACCCATCGCTTGGGTGTGCAGTCCGGCAAGCCAGCAGGCCACCGTCTGTCCAAGCACCCTCTCCACCTCATCCGCAAGGATGACCCTGAGATGGGTATCCTCGACCCAGGCCGCCAGCAGAAGCTGCACGGTGTCGAGAACACACAGAAGCGCCAACGCGCCGTCCTGGAGTACCACTCCGATGGCTCCTATGAAGTCTGCCCCCCTGACTTTACCATGCTTCGCATGACCGAAATCCCCCCCACCGGTACGCTAACCACTACCAATCTCCTGCACTCCATTGACTGACCAATCAAGGTGGCGACACCCTCTGGGCCTCTGGATATGAGCTTTACGACCGTCTCTCAACCCCCTACCAGAAGTTCTTCGAGTCTCTTACCGCCCAGCACGAGGTTCCCTCCCTGCGCAAGCTGGCCGAAACCGAGCCCGGCATCTACGATGGCCCTCGTGGCGCACCCGCCAACACCGACATGCAATTCAAGCAGTCCCACGTACGTAACCTGCCGTCCAATTGAACCCCCTGGGATTCCATCTAACCTTGTACAGCCCATGGTCCGCACTCACCCGGTAACGGGCTGGAAGACCCTCTTCGCCGGTGGCCTTCACTGCCGCCGCGTCAACGATGTCACCGACTTCGAGAGCGAGCAGCTGCTGAGCAAGATCATCTCCCTGGTCGGCGACAACCACGACCTGCAAGTCCGCTTCCGCTGGAACAACCCCGGCGATGTTGGTGAGTTAAACCCTCCCCCCCGAACCATGCTAAACACCCTGTCTGACGTCGATAGCCATCTGGGACAACCGTTGTGTCCTGCACTGTCCTACCCAGGACCACTACGGCCTCGGAGGCCGCATGGGATTCCGCACCATGGGTATTGCCGAGCAGCCTTACTTCGACCCTAACAGCGTTTCCCGCCAGGAGGCTTTGGCTGCCGCTGCTAAGTGATTACGGAACGCGCATGTCTGATCTCTCTTTGTTCCGCACTTGTTGAGCTTGCCTCGTGGTGATTTAGTATGAACTTGTCTGTTTTTGTTAGTCGATTGGCCTGATGAATGTTGCGATATGTTGATTTTATAGACTTTGCATAGAATGAGAACAAGTGCTTTTATGTTTTGAAATTTTTCATACACCTTTCTTTCGTATAGATCGTGCTGCGCCTCGTGCACGTAGATTCTAGGAAGTCGGTGCAATCGTCGTTCATCCAGTTCAGACTCTTACTTTGGGCTTTTGTTACTAAGTAGTAACATACAGATCGGACTGAAAGAGAAAGCAGGGATATCCGGTGTAAGCACGGTAGGGGATGTATACATCATGAACCCATAATGTTATTAAAATATCATAGTCAGACTCTACTTTGAGGACGTTTGGCCACTCTACGTGTGTATGCAACGACTGAGAGAAAGTAGCAAACAACTGAAATGAAAATTCAATTTATATAAGATCACAAACCAACATGTTTCGTGCAAAGGCTTAACGAGTGCGAAACATAAAGGGGGGGATGCTTGGTGGTGCCGCGTGGCATAGAAGTAGCATGGTTTGCCAGTGTGGAATAAGGATGTGTGCGTGGACATATCCCAAGAGACGAAATCGATCCCAATGAAAACATTGAGGAGGTAGATAAAATCCTGTAGACAACTAAACTGATACCATCTACTTAAAAAGGGGTGGATTAATTTAATAAAACGAACAGTGGCGGTTCGAGTAGCTTGTGCTCGTAGGTAGATGGCGCTCCTCTAGGGCATTTAGTAGTAACTATATATATCATTCGTGGATGATGGAGGAGGGGGGTTATATATTTCCAATGTCTAGTGGATACAGGAAAAATATAAGGAATAAACAGAAGCAGTCATAGCGTCGTCTATAGAAGAACTGGATTTGCAAATATCATTCTAAACAGAAAGGAACCGACAACACAAGCAGATTCTAACCCCAACTTCAACCCTTCACCAACAATTCGCTCCCCCCCCTCATCGTCTATCGTGAACATAACCTCAACCAGACAGCCATCTAAATCTCCTCAAGAATGCCACTCCGTTTTCGCAGAACTGCCCCATACCGCCACAGGAGGACCGGAACCAGCCCGCCCATCACCAAAGCCCACAGCGCCAGCAGAGAACTACCCCATCCATACCCAAGCGTCCTATAGATCAAGGGAGCCAGAATAGGCAAGACAAAGCCCAACAGCGAGCGCAGGATCGTCAGCGCGCCCATTGCCGAGGCGGCATATACCGCGTAGCAGTCCAGTACATAGGCCTGGATACACTGGTAACTCATGATCAGGCCAAGGGCGTAGATGCCGATGCCGATGTTGGGGATGATCCAGTGGCTGTGGGTCTGGGCGGACCAGCCGTAGATCAGTAGGCCGGCGGGGACGAGCAGGGCGGCGGGAAGCATCAGGATTGTGCGCAGCTCTGGGGTTCCTTTGCGGGGTCTTTGGAGGTGTAGTGGATGTAGATCTGCGAGGGTTAGATATCTGGATGGATTGGAAAGGGGGACAGGATACGGTACCCGATCGTTGAGGGAGCCTGTGATTTGACTGCCGAGGATGAATCCACCGGCGATGGAGATGTAGTTCAGTGCGGCGCGGGATGGGGTTTGGTTGTAGATGTCTGTCCAGACGGACTCGAACGTCGTGATGGATAGGTGGTTGAGGCCAAAGAGATAGCCCATGAAGAGGGATAGGACTTGGATGATGGGCTGCGTTCCGAGGAAAGTAAAGGGCCGTCGGAGATCCTGTCGGAAAACATCTGCTAGGCTCTTATGGTGCTGTTGCGCAGAGCCCTGCCGCTGACCGTTGCGGACCGCAGCAGCCTGTTTACGCTGGATGAGGACTGGCCGGAAGGTCTCGCGAAGGATGCAAAGACCGAACACCCATGTGACGAAAATGTACAGGGAGCACCACGCGAAGATTGCCCGCCATGACGTGTGGGACACGATGTATGCACCGGTGATGGGTGCGATGGCAGGACCCAGCAGGGGCCCCAGGGTATAAAGGGAGATGGAAAGCCCTCGCTCTTCTGGAGCCCATAGGTCGCCGATGATCCCTGCCCCGATCTATTCGATTGATTAGCGATCCCCATGGATGACTGGATACTACGTACCGACAGTGGAGCGCTACCAACGGCTCCTGTGATAAACCGGAGAATGAGCAACTGGTAATCAGTCCGGGCGAACGCGCACAGGGCGTTGAAGACCAGAAACAGGCCATGGCCGGTATTCAACAACGAGATGCGTCCGTAGACTTCGGACAAGGGACCGACCACCAGGGGCGCGAAACTCCAGCCGAGAACATACACCGAAACGAAGGCTTGCAGCATTCCTGGGTCGGTAACATTCAAGTCGGCGGCTATCTGGGGCATGGCAGGCACAATGATTGCCGCGATGACTGGACTGATCAGTCCGTAGATTGAGATCACGGCAATGCATAGCCAGCGGTATGAAACCGTCCAGTTGCGAGGCTCTTCCCACTCTTCCAAGTCTTTCAGGGGAGGAGCAGAGTCCTTGGAGGCATTAGTTTTACACACGACTCGACGCTGAGTGACAAACTCACATCGGATTGGGACAGCAGTCGCGTTCTTTCGTTTACTTCTGTAGCCATGATGCGCCGTGATTTGGGCACAGATTGTACAACGGTCTGTTGGCTTGTGGGAGAGGATCTTGGCTCAATATCTACACTCAAACTGCCATTCGCGGGGAATGAGGAAGATGGTCAAGATTTGTATAAAACGGCGGCGTAATGTACTGTGGCTAGAAACTACGATAGTGCTCTCTATATACCATGATGGCAGAATCCGGAGTAGAAAGACCGATGAGAAATGGTGTTGCTGCGTGTCGGACGCGATCCCCGAGAGCAGGTCAGCGCTAGACCCGAGTACGAGGAGACGAGGCACGGTAGAGATGCAGGTGGACCCTTCGGAGGACATTGGGAGAGTTTCTACTCTAGCGCTCAATTATTATCGACCATCCACAATGCTCCGAACAATCCAGAAATTCCCGAACACAGCGTATGGTTCGGGTGGAGGCACATCAAGCAAGAACTGGTTCACTTCAACTATCTATCGTACTGCAAGAACGCCGTCGCCGAATAAGGGGAAAGGAAATGTGTCAAGGAAAATTGCAAAAAAAAAAAAAACTAAAATTCGGAATATACAAGGACCACAGTAAAACTCGCGTGTCAAACTTGTTGGGCAACTGGCCGGAGGGACTGCAGCAGATAAAAATCACTCATCCATGGACTTGTTCAAGTCACCGGTATAGATCTGACCAGGCCGCCAGATTCGGGGGGGATTGCCTATGCCCGTGTCAGTAAAGAGGTTTCGGAAAAAAAAGATCCAGGGAGAGTCTGGCATACCCATGGCCTCCCTCCAGTGGGCCATAAACCCTTGTGTACGGGAGAGAATCGACAGAGGCAGGATGAATTCGGGCGGGAAACCACTAGAACACAGGATTAATACGACTGGGATCTGAACACCACGGGGGAAAAAAAGGAACATACAGAGCCTTGTAGACAAACGCAGCGAACAGATCCGCGTTGGGGCGGAGATTCCTCGAGGTGAAGTACTCATCCTCGGAGGCAACACGGTCGACTTCGAAGGCAACCTTCAGCAACGGGTCCTTCTCCACTTCCTCAGACAGCTCATTGAGGATCTCGCGGATGAAGACGAAGCGGGGATCCGTCACACGATACACTCGGTGGCCGTAGCCATACAGACGTTCCTTGCCGGCCTTGACTCGTGCGATCTTAGCCGGTACATTGGCGAGGGAGCCGATGCTCTCGATGTTCTTGTAAGCCACTTCAATGGCCCCGCCATGTAGAGGGCCGTACAGTGCCGAGATGGCAGAGACCATGCAGGAGATGACATCCGGTAGGGCGGATGCGGTTTGAAGAAGGGCCGCGGTGGAGCAGGTCATTTCATGATCGGCAATCAGGACCCAGAGTCGCTCAATGGCATTCACGTATCGTGGATTGGGCAGACCAGTGGTCGCCTCCACATGGCCGGTCATGAGCAGGAAGTTCTCGATGTACGAGAGCCCCGAGCGCGGTGGGGTGAAGTCACGCCCGATGTGATGGCAGTATGCCGCCGCGGTCAACATAGACATGCTGGACATGACGCGAATAATCTGCTGGTCGGCCAGCTCGGGGTTATTCAAATAGATCGTCTTTCCCACATGAGCGGGAATCGCCTCCATATCACTGGACTGAAGGGCGGATAGACCAGCGATGACCATTCCCATGAGGGAACCATCTCGTCTGTGGCAGGTCAGCAAGGAGCACACGGGGGAGGGACCATCTTGGACAAGCCATACGGAAAGGATTTGATCACATTGAAGACAAAGTCTTGAGGGACCGGAACCTGGTCGAGGCGTTGTTGAAGGGTTTCGGCCTCACCGGCGGAGGGCCAGTGGCCCCAGATCAACAGATGCGCGGTATCGATAAACGTCTTGCGCCCGACAATGTCGTTGATGGAGTACCCGCGGTACTGGATGGTGCCCTTGAGTCCATCAATATAGGTGATCTTGCTGTGACTAACGGCGGTGTTGGAGTAGCCTGGGTCGTAAACCCGCAGCCCATTCTCCGTCTGGTTGGCCGGATAAGCTTCGTCTTCTGGTGCGGTGACCTTCTTCAGGTCGCTGGCCTTGATGGCATTGTTTTGAATGGGAATCGAGTAATACGCTCCGGTGCGGCCATCAATAATGTGAAGCGATTCCCGGTTGGGCGGGGCCTGTTCGACGACGGTCATGATGGACGATGAGTTTAGTGGCAATGCAAGGCGATGAGGATGTAATTGGGAGTCGATTTGTCGAGATCTGGCGGTCTCAACCTGCCATATTTATGTCATCAGAGTAGAAACGTGTATAGCCATGAATCGGATCAATATTGGGCCCGACTTCTACCACATTGTACGGCGGATCTATCGTGAATCCGGGTTAGAATGGGCCTCGTATGTGGATCTCGGCGGACGGCGGCCGATGAGCGATCCAACGACCTCCGGGGGGGTTTCAGGGCCCGCTGTACAAGAGTCCGCCGTGCCATCCTTATCTCAGGTTCGAGGCGGCTCCAAGGCCCAGGGACCACGGATTGGCCATGATCCTTCCTGGTCCGTGTACCGGGGATCTGGATTCTACCATACGCCGGCTCGCTGTCGCTATCTTGCCCCCACGGGAACGCTGTACATGTGGCAATAAAAGGCCGATGGGACCGAACGATGCTGCCAAAAACGCGAAGATAACGTTATCCTTAGTGTCGCCTTTATATTGTGAAGAAGCCTATTTAGATGTTCATGCCCCCATACCGTTAATATAATCAATTCCGTCTTGCGATAGCCACGACGACCACCAGAACGACGCTCACGATAACCAAGACAACAGCCACGCCAGCACGAGACTCGATTCATTCTACAACAGCAATGGTTCAACGCAAGGAGCCACCGTCAGAGCAGCTTAGAGCCTACACATTACTCATTGAACTCTTGTCGTACGTTCCCTCTCCCTGGAAACGTGTGTGACATGCTAACATATCATAGCTACCAATTTGCCTTTCCTGTTCGATGGTGAGACTCTCTCCTCACCAACAGAACACTTAACAGCTGACTAGGGTGACCAGGATTGAGACACAAAATGACCTAATCCAGCGGAATAATACTATCCAGCGCTTCATTGAAGTCGGACCTTCCAATGTCTTGGCGAACATGGCGAAGAAGACTGCCAAGGGCCAGTACGGCGAACAGGACCTGGTGCGCTGCATAGACCGTCAGTACCTATCGCACGCCGACGATGCCCAGCACATCTACTACCACTATGATGACGAGCCACCGGTGGAGAGCACTAGTGATGAACCGGCCCAACCGGCTGCTTCTTCCACCCCGGCTGCGCCGGCACCAGTGGCTGTGCCTGCTGTAGCAGTCCAAGCAGCCCCCCAGCCCGCTGCCCAGGAAGCCGCCGCCGTACCCGATGTCGACTTGAGCCCAATCGACGTTGTTATTTCCATAGTGGCTCAGAAGATCCGGAAAGCCTTTGATGAGGTACCTGCGGCCAAGTCTATCCGCGATCTATCTGCCGGTACGTTCCGTGTCGATACCTGTCCATCGTGTGTTCACTCTAACTCGGCTAGGCAAATCCACATTACAGAATGAGCTCATCGGACAGCTGGACGCAGAGTTTCGCGGTCTGCCGGAGGGAAGCGAAGATCTCGCGCTGGAAGCGTTGGCAGCCCACTTCACAAATTTCTCTGGACAACCGGGAAAGGTGATGGGCGGACATGTGGATCGTCTTGTGGCTGCCCGTATGCCTGCAGGCTTCAATCAGGCCAAAATACGGGAATATCTCTCCTCACACTGGGGGCTAGGACCCAATCGGCAGACCACCGTCCTATGCTTTGCCGTGACAATGGAACCAGCTGCCCGTCTGGCAGATGCCGGCCAGGCAACCCAGTTCTTAGACTCAGTGGTGAGCCGATACAGCGGAAGGGCCGGTGTAGCTTTACAGAAGCGGGCAGAGGGCGCAGCTTCACAGACCTCCGCTGTGGCCCAGGTCGACATGGCTAGCGTCGAAGCCCTCAAGAAAGACCAAAATGAGTACTTACACAAGCAGTTCCAGCTTCTGGCGAAGCATCTGGACTTGGATGGCGTGGCTCAACCTGGTCAGGTACAGGCACAAGGAGAGGAAACTGACAAGCTGGCTGAATGGGACGCAGAGTTTGATGAAGAGTTCCTCACGGGCATGCGGACAATCTTCGACCCGCGGAAGGCTCGTCGGTATGATTCATGGTGGAATACGGCCCGAGAGGACCTCATGGCTCTGTTGCACGACGTCCGTCCTGTTACCGAGGACAAGGCCTCGCAGCGATACCAAAGCCTTGTGAACCGGTGGTCATCGGAATTGGAGCAGATGCTGGACCATACTGCCCAGGATGACACCGCCAAGGAGAAGGCTCAGAAGCTGATTAAAGATGTTCGTGCTTCGGGTGTAGCCGACGGGCCCGTGTTTCGTTATGGCCAGCCGGCTATGGCTCCTGAGACAAAGGTTGATGCCAATGGACGCATCCAGTACTCTGAGGTGCCTCGCCGCCAGGCCAACGGTGGAAGCAATGCTGCCACCTTGAACTACGCGCAGGTGGTTGCAGCTCCACACCGCAACGTGCCGTATGCGCACCTCCGCAGCCGAGCCGGGGTGGATTGGACGTATGACGCCCAGCTCACTGACACGTTTCTGAATCTCCTATCCGCCGGAGCGTCTACCGGACTTTCGTTTGCTGGCAGAAGAGTGCTGGTGACCGGTGCTGGAGTTGGTTCGATCGGAGCAGACATCGTGGCCGGGTTGCTGGCCGGTGGAGCGCGCGTCATCGTCACCACCAGTCGACAACCTTCAGATGTCGCTGCATCTTTCCGCCAGCTCTATGCGAAGGTTGGTGCACCCGGGTCAGAGTTGATTGTCCTGCCCTTCAACCAAGCGAGCAAGCGCGATTGCGAGGATTTAATTACCCATATCTACGACGAGCAGTCTGGATATGGGTGGGATCTCGACTTTATCATCCCCTTTGCGGCCATCTCCGAAATCGGGCGGCAAATTGACAAGATCGACTCCAAGTCAGAATTGGCCCATCGGGCCATGCTGGTGAATCTGCTCCGCTTGTTGGGATGCATTAAACAGCAAAAGGAGAAACGGGGGTTTGATTGTCGCCCAACAGGTGTCGTGCTGCCCTTGTCTCCTAACCATGGTAACTTCGGTGGAGACGGATTGTATTCCGAGTCGAAACTGGGACTGGAGACCCTCTTCAATCGCTTCCATTCCGAGGGCTGGTCTGACTTCCTCTGCGTCATCGGTGCTGTAATCGGCTGGACCCGCGGCACAGGCTTGATGAGTGCGAACAATATCGTCGCCCAGGGTATGGAGGATTCCTTGGACATCCTGACGTTTTCGGCTCCTGAGATGGCGTTCAATATTCTCTCTCTGCTCTCAGGAGATATACTGGAAGTAGCGGACGACAAGCCAATCTATGCAGACCTCAGCGGAGGCCTTCAAGGGGTCAGTGACCTCAAGGAGAAGATTTCGGGAATTCGCAAAAAGATTGTCTCGCAAAGTCGGATCCGCCAGGCGCTGGTCGCCGAGAACCTGCATGAGCAGAAGGTTCTCCTAGGGACGAAGCCTGCTGATGATAGTGTTCAGCCTCCGCTGAAACGCCGCTCTAACATCGAGCCCGCGTTTCCGTCTCTGTCAAACTACAACTCTGTGACCGCTGGACTGCAATCCTTGCAGGGGATGGTCGATCTGTCTCGCACCGTGGTGGTGGTAGGCTACTCGGAGCTGGGCCCCTGGGGGTCTGCGCGTACCCGCTGGGAGATGGAGCATGGCGGTCGCCTGTCTCTGGAAGGCTACACCGAGCTGGCATGGATGATGGGCCTCATTAAGCACTTCGACGGTGACCTTAAAGGCAAGCAGTACGCCGGCTGGGTTGATTCGAAGACCAAAGAACCGGTGGATGAGGCGGATATCGAGGAGAAATATGGTCAGCACATCCTAGGCCACGCTGGCATTCGGGTTATAGAACCTGAGTTGTCGGAGGGATATGATCCTGCCCAAAAAGAGATCATGCACGAAGTGGTTATTGATGAGGACCTTCCTCCCTTCGAAGCTCCCCAGGGTGTCGCCCAAGCATTCAAGCTGCGCCACGGCGATAAGGTCGCCTTGACACCACTTGAAGGTTCCGAGTCTGTCAAGGTCGTGGTTAAGCGTGGAGCTGTCTTCATGGTCCCCAAGGCAATGGCATTCAATCGGTTTGTCGCTGGTCAGCTCCCATCCGGGTGGGATCCAACTCGCTACGGTATTCCAGAGGACATTGTCTCCCAGGTGGACCCTATGACTGTCTATGTTCTATGCTGTGTATCCGAGGCCATGTATAGTGCTGGGCTGGAGGATCCCTTTGAACTGTACCGCCACATCCACGTATCCGAGTTGGCCAACTGCGTCGGCACTGGGGCTGGAGGTTTGCTGGCTATGCGTGGAGTGTACCGAGACAGATATCTCGATCGGCCTGTGCAGAGCGACATTTTGCAGGAATCCTTCCTCAACGCGATGAATGCCTGGACGAACATGCTTTTGATGGGAGCTGCAGGCCCGATCAAGTCACCCTCAGGTACATGTGCGACCTCGGTGGAATCCATGGATATAGCCTGCGAAGCAATTCAGACGCTCAAGGCCAAGGTCGCCATTGTTGGTGGTTCCGATGACTTCCAGGAGGAGATGTCCTATGAGTTCGGTAATATGAAGGCCACGGCAAACGCAGAGGACGAGCTGGAGAAGGGATACCTCCCTTCAGAAATGTCTCGGCCTACCGCATCTTCTCGCAGTGGATTCGTTGAGTCTGCTGGGTGCGGCATCCAACTGGTTATGAGCGCCGAGCTAGCTCTGCAGATGGGTCTTCCAATTTATGGAATTGTCGCCTACTCTCAGATGGCAGGCGACAAGGTCGGCCGGTCTGTACCTGCGCCAGGTCAGGGTGTACTCACAGCTGCCAGGGAAAGCATTGACGCGGTACAGTCGCCGTTATTGGATCTGCAATACCGTAAAGCGCGGTTGGACGAAGCTGTTTCTGAGATCAAGAGCTGGCGACACAAGGAGTCCCAGAAGCTCATCGCGTCCGCAACTTCTGAGGAGTTCAAAGATCTCGACGCGCACCTACAGCATATCAACAACATCGCCGCCACTCGTATCCGGGACGCCCAGTGGACATGGAATAATAACATCCGTCATATTGATCCCACCATTGCTCCCATGCGGGCCGCCCTAGCAACATGGGGATTGAGCGTCGACGACATTCAAGTGGCGTCATTCCACGGCACCTCGACGAAGGCGAACGACAAGAATGAAAGCAGCGTAATCAACCAGCAAATGACCCACCTCTCACGCACGGTTGGCAACCCACTCCTCGTCATATGTCAGAAGTCTCTGACAGGCCACCCCAAAGGTGCCGCAGGCGCATGGATGTTCAATGGTTGTCTCCAGGCTCTCCAAACCGGCATCGTACCCGGCAACAGGAATGCAGATAATGTCGACGTTGTGCTGCAACAGTTTAAACACCTGGTTTATCCATCGCAGACTATCCACACGTCAGGAATCAAGGCATTCATGTTGACATCGTTCGGCTTTGGACAAAAAGGAGGCCTGGTTGTCGGTGTTGCCCCTCGCTATCTCTTCTCCAGCATTACGGCCAACCGGTTCGAAGATTATCGGGAACGGGTGCTCCAGCGCCAGCAAAAGATTATCCCCGTGTTCCAAAAGCGCATGGCCGAGGGTCGTCTCTTCCAGATCAAGGATCAGTCGGCTTGGACAAGCGATCAAGAAAGAGACGTCTTCCTTGACCCCCTGGCCCGTGTCTCCCAGAAGGCTACCGGCGAATACAGCTTCCCAACGACAGTTGCCTCCGGTACCTCGCCCCAGCCCGCAAGGACCGTTTCCGATGATAAGCAGCTTTTCGCCAGGTCTTCTGATCAATGGCTACGGGACAGTATAAGCAAGGAGCAGGGCAATGTGTCCGTTGGTGTAGATATCGAGTCCATCTCGAGCGTCAATATCGAAGATGAAATATTCTTGGAACGCAATTTCACACCGGGGGAGATCAAGTACTGCCAAGGTAGCCCAGATAAGCAAGCGAGTCTTTCGGGGCGCTGGGCAGCCAAGGAAGCGATCTTTAAGAGCCTGCAGATACCATCCGAAGGCGCAGGCGCTCCGATGCGAGATATCGAAATTGTCAGCAATGGTGCGCAGCCTCCAACCGTCCTGGTAAGTACACTTAAGTCGTTGCCGCTTTTCATGTCCCCGTAACTGACCCTTATCCAGCTTCACAATCGGGCCAAATTGGCTGCCGATGCTCAGAAAGTCGAAGAGGTCCAAGTTAGTATCACGCACTCCCCAGAGAGTGCCATGGCTATTGCTTTAGCCCGACGTCGGTTATAGAAGCAGTCTTATTGTATTTCATGTTCCCAGAATGTTTATATGGAGTTTATTGTTTATATATAGAATGTGATACATAAATAGACTTGTGCTTTACTCTAATGTGTCAATCGACGTAAAATTAGCGCTGATTCTACACGGTTAAACACTGCGCAATAGTCTTGCTTTACGTGCAAAAACACTGTATATATAGGTACACCAAGTCTACTACACCGTCGAACACCTAGTATAATAGAAGTGTCGCGGATCTCCTGTGTCCTGTATGGGCGTCTGACGCATCTATTATCTATGCTGATGTATTACTCGGACTCCATGTCCCTCAAACACTGTGACCACAGAGAACCCTAAGTAGCATGTCGCACGGTTTCACAAACTCGCGTACATCATTGTAAAAAATTATCTCCGTTTAGTGAGGATCTAAACTCTCTGTTCCGTACTATGGATACCCATCATCCTTTGTAATCAGACCTTCTTAATCCACTCAATGTCGTCTCCCATGTGCCTGTTTGCCCGTAGATCGCCAGAACGCGCATGCGCCTCGAATCTCTCAGCTCGTGCAGCTCGTCCACACAAACGGCCGAGCTTTCCACTGGCTTCCGGCGACGTGACTTCTTGGTAAGTGCATGTTTTCAGATATTTCCCAACCCACAGACCACCAGTGTATCGAGCAGTTGTCCGAGTCGGGAGGACGTGATTCGTGCCGATTACCTAACATAATCTGTCAGTCTCCCTTCAAGATTTTCATCCCTTCATCGTCCAGCATTGCGGGTACCTACCTTGTCGCCATATGACACGCATGTGTTCTCCCCAAGAAACAACGCCCCGTAATTGGACATTCTGTCTAACGCATCCCTAGGACTTTTCGTAAACACTTGAACATGCTCGCTTGCGTAGTGATCACCGAGCTCCCAGAGCTCCTCCATCGTGTCTACAACAATGACCTCCCCAAACGCATCCCATGAAACCTTGGCCACGTCTGCAGTTGACAGACCCGACACAGACAGCAGCTTATTGACGATGTCAATCGTCTCCCGCCCAACCTTAGGACACGTCGTAATCAAAACAGCGGGTGTATCCGGCCCATGCTCAGCCTGGGAGATCAAGTCCGTGGCCACCGTGAACGGATCAGCCGTCTCGTCCGCCAGGATGAGGATCTCTGTCGGGCCCGCAAAGAGGTCAATACCGACTTCGCCAAACAGCTGTCGCTTACCCTCCGCCACGAATCGGTTCCCGGGACCAGCCAGGAAATCAACCTTGCGGATGGTCTCGGTACCCACGGCTATGGCAGCTACTGCTTGCACGCCGCCCAGAAGGAAGATCTCGTCTGCTCCCGCCAGGTGCATAGCGGCAATTGTGCTATGCGGGATCTCGCCGTTGATCGGGGGTGTGCAGCCGATGACGTGCTTAACGCCAGCAACTTTCGCCGTCAGGATTGTCATGTGGGCCGATGCGAGGAGCGGGTAGCGGCCGCCTGGGATGTACCTATACACTCGCAATAGCGTTAGACATAAGCAACATGTAATCCTAGGATATCTGAAGGCAAACTGAAAGGAACATACGCGCCGACGGTATTAATCGGCACATTCTTCTGTCCGAGGTGTACTCCAGGCTGAATTTCAATTTCGAAATCTTTCAACGAGTTCTTTTGCGCTTCTGCGAAGGCTCGTACGTTTCTCTGGACCTCTTTGATGTCGGCGATGGTTTGCTCGGGACAGATGGCTATCGCAGCGTCGATGTCTGCTTTCGATAGCTTGAAACTGTCTGGTGCCCATTTGTCGAATTTTGCGGAGTATTTTCTAACAGCCGCGTCGCCATCCGCGCGGACTGCGCTGATCACTTCTTCGACGACGGCGGATACATCAACTGCGTGTGATTGCGTCTGGTCTGAGGGAGCGGCGCGTGGTTTGAGATATTGTCGCGCCATGTTTGTTTCTTTTAGATACGGTTCAGGAGTGAGGGCTTTGAATCGTAATCCACAGAATGATGTCTACCTTTGCTCGTGTTGCTCTACTCATGGAATTTATACACATAGCAGGCGCACATGATATATCGCACTTCGTTGCGAGAGGATCTTCATATCCCGTCGCTTCAAAGGCCGAGGGTAGCCAGGTCAAAGCTACAGATCGGACAAGTGGGTCGAGCGAGGTAGCATTCGGCTCGATGCCCATTCTTAGGATTTGGAGCATGGTTGCAGCTGTGGGGCAACCTTCCCCGATACATTGCCATTAGGGTTTCTGTATGTTCGGTGAGTAGGCCGATACCTGGTGCTCTCTGGTGAAGCCTTTCATTTGGTCCATTCGTGTGGTGCTTTGCCTCTCTTATTCGGCGTTCTGGTCTGTAGCGGCCGATACTAGTCTAGAAGTATCCCTTACGCTGTAGTCTTGGATACTCTATCCTCGATATATCCAAAGTATAGAAGTTTCTGTTAGCAGCCTTGGGCTCTGTATCGAGAGGCAACAAGAGCCTCGACGTCAAGCCTCAAACGAGCGTTTGTGTTACAGAGCATGTTAGCCCGATCACAGTAGTCCAAGCTGGAAATTGGTATTCGAAAGCTATCCATAATCCATAGCAAACCGTTCTAAATGCACCGTACTATCTAAGTATAGACTTCAGAGCAGACATGTCCAACACCCGACGACCCCCACGAAGTTTCCTCGCATCGCACCCTCTCTCGACTGGATAGAGTAAATCAATGCTTACCCCCGATCTCGCTGGCCCACTCGGCATGCTCCACCGCGCCAACCGACAGAGCCCTCTTATCCACAGCAGCAGCAGCCCTCTCAATCTCCTCCTCCTCCCGCTGAACATACTTCTGCGGCCGCCGTCGACAGATGGCATCGGGATCTTTGGTCACTATGAGCGGGGGATTGGACCGGTAATACTCGTCCATATCCTCGAGGCTTCGGTTCGCTGTACAAGACCATGAGCATGTAAAACTTTGCCGTCATAGATAGACTAGACCAACCTGTTTCGGGGTAAAGGAAGTACAGAATCGGCAAGAAAGCAGCATTAGTGACTGTCCATACGATCCAGAATTTCCAGTCTATGTTCTTGATTCCGATGGGTGTTATCTCGACCACGACGAAGTTTGTGATCCTATTCAATTACCAGTTAGAAGTATACATGGAAAGAAAGGGGCGAGAAACAAACCAGTCAGTAGCTGTCGCGACAGCCGCTCCCTTTGTTCGCATGGGAAGAGAGTTGATCTCTGTGGGATACAGCCACGGCACGCCGAGCATGCCGATGCCGAATGCGCCGTAGTAGAGGAAGAAGAACGCAACGGATGCTGAGGCATACTTCTCGCCGCTGTCACTTACACGGGAGAACCGAAGGAGAATAGTGATGACCAGAAAACAGAAGAATTGCCCGAATGTGGACAGGAGCATCAGGCCTCGGCGACCCATTCTCTCGACGAGAAGGACTGCGAGCCCGGAGAACACAAGATAGGACAGGGCGTTGCATGCTGCTAGCAGACGGGCCATGGTATCGGAAAGACCGACCGACTACGTGAGATCATGCGTTAGCTCGTTCGACAGACATAATTATACAATGCGACCGCTGCCTACATCCATAAGCACCGTTGGCAGATAATATGACATGATATTGATCCCGCCAAATTGCTGCATGAATTGACTGCCCGCACCGAGGAGAAGTCTGCGGAGAGTCTTGCTGTCATTCCCCTTTTTCTTCCAGAGGTCTCGCCAGCGCGTTGCATTCTCGCGCTCGTACCGAACGCTATATTCGATCTCGTTGCGCTGCGCAATCACGAAGGGGTCGTCGATGGGCTTAGCCTCGAGACAGCTGAGTACCACTGTGGCTTCCTCTTGCCTGCCGTGGGCTATGAGCCATCTGTATGTCGTTAGCACCGTTAGGTATAAGATTTCGGATTGGAGCAGCCTACCGCGGTGATTCAGGGAGCCATGGAGTAGTGGACCATAGAATAATTAAGAAGAAGAATTGGAATGCCAGCGGAAAACGCCAGGCGATGGAGCCACCGACAAAAGACAATCCATAATTGATCCAGTTTACGAGACAGAAGCCAAAGATATTCATCATCATCTCGAAAATGACCAGTTTACCACGCCACTTCAACTGCGACGTCTCGGTCTGCCAGATAGGCGCAGTGGCGGTATTGATTCCATTTCCGATCCTATCGTCAATCCAGGCATTAATGCGACGGAACCGAGCCATGTTGATAGAATTAATAATGCTATTCACTCACCCCAGAACAATACGTCCGACAAACATCTGGGCCAAGCCGAAGGAGGCAGCCTGCAGCACAGCACCCACAGCCATAATCGTGGTTCCTAGCAGGATCGCCTTTTTCCGTCCAAGTTGCTCCCCGATCGTAAAGGCAACAATTGCACCGAAGAAACAGCCCACGTCGTAGATAGCTGTAACCGTAGACAGTGTCTTGGTTTTCTCCGGACCTACCAGGTCATGGACTTCGAGAAAGTCTCGTGTGATCACCACTCCACCTATGGCGTGTTAGAGGAGTCCACATTGGATTCATTGTGTAGTAATCTCACTAAAGACACCCTGGTCGTAACCGAACAAGGACATATCAGTTGCGCAAGCAACCTAAGGAATTGTCAGCCCCAGCAAGAGACGCGAAGGTGTAGAGCCGCCATACCGTGACCCAAAATGTAAGCCATCCTCCCGTCAAGCCAAAATAGGGCTTTTTGATTTCGTTTGATACTGTCATGCTGGACATACAAGCTGCAGCGCCTCAATTGCGATCAATCAGCCGCTGGGTCCTGGAGACGACACGCCACGTGAAACCGTGCATTTTCCCGGCTCCATCACATCTTATATACGGTGGGATTGACATCCTAGTTCCCACTTCGAACGGCATGCAAGATCCACTCCAGGGCTCGAATAGTCCCTACGCCGTTTGCGGGCGTGGGGGAAATGTGGAGAGAGTCCGGGGTAAGAGGGGTTTCATAGACAAGCCGGAGTTGGAAATTAGGGTCAGGGTTCGGAAGAAGTCCGCGATGCAGGAATGAACGACGGACGGAAATCAAGGCGACCTTCCCTCTCGGCTGGATTACCCTCCTAGTGTCCCTCCATGTGGAGCACGGATCACGGTGATTGCCAATAGCATTTCTTGTTTCATAGTAGTAATGTCGGTTGGGATACCCTGAACATCACTGGGACGTCGAGGTACACAGCGTCAATGCTTGGAACAGTAGATCCTAGTTCAGTCGAATCGACCACCAGTGTATGTCTGCTGACCATGCAGAGTCCGAAATCTCAGGTCGCCTAATGGTCGAGTTTCGATCTGTCATGCAATGCAAGGGTGCGCATGATGTGTTGTTCAGCACGCCATGGTGTCTACTCTGGAAATCAATTACCGAGAGCCACGTCTAGACCTTCAGGGCCTGCTGTAAGGATGAACATAAATAAGAAGCAAGCTCCGGGGGAACACCACGACTTCATTCATACTCAGCAAGACGGAATCAATCTGAAATTCGGTACAAAATTGCTACATGATGACCGCCGAATCGTCCCACTCCGACCGCACGCTCCCTTCCCGTCCAGCGCCGTCGAAAAGCGCTGCCGTAGCCGGCAATGAAGAATCCAAACTGACGGCGCTCGAGAAAGCCGAACTGGCCCTCGCCGACAAATACAGCTCGCCAGATGTCTACATCAACGGAGAAACGGATACCTGCTGGCACCCGTGGATTAGCAATCTCGAGCTCAAGCCATTGCGCTTCGAGACCCGCACAGGTACCTTTGTGGTCGTCTTGCGCAGCTCAGAAGACACGTGGTTGGGTAAACACCGGCACCGAGGCTCTGTCACTGCAGTTACCTTGAAGGGGGAATGGAATTACAAAGAGTATGTAACCGACTTCGTTAGATGCCTTCAGGTCAGAGACATGTGCTGACTGACATAGGTATGACTGGGTCGCGAAGCCAGGGGACTATGTGGTGGAAAACCCAGGAACAATCCATACGCTGCACATGTCCAAAGGCGCGGAGGTGGTTTTCACTATCACAGGCAGTTTGGAATTCTTTCATGATGATGATACGCTGAAGAGCACGATGGATATCTTCAGCTACGCTCATTTATACTACGAACATTGTGAAAAGCAAGGGATTAAGCCAAATGATGGGCTTTGGTACTAGTGTATGACGAACGGGATGCAACTTGTTAAATAGGAAAGATGTTATGTTTACTGTAATTGTCTGTCTCCCAATAATCACCTCAATAGCATTGTCTCGGTGTCGTGTGGGATAGCTAACCTTACGTCTGGTGAGGGTGACTATTACTGAGGCCGTAAATGTATACATCACCCTGTCTGATTCTACCAGTCTGCGTCCAAACCCTAAACCGTAGGCACCAAGCTTCACACAAGCACCATAATAGTAAATTGAGAATAAAAAATAAGTAAAAAAATAAAAGTTCAAATAGAAAATACTAGGTTCTTGTAATTACGCCCAGAAAGAGATTTACCCCGCCTGCAGCAACCGTGCAAATGTCGAGTCCTTGACGAGCATTGGCCCAAACACGAAGAACAGGTTCCACCTCGGCGTGATTGCCGATCCTGAAATATAGTCTGTGTCCGCCCAGAACTATTCCCGCCAACGGCACTCTGCTCTCGTCTGGCCGTTCTGGCCATCATAGCGATAATGCGTACTTGGACTGGTAAGTGCCTGAGACCATTACATCGGATGTCCCCTTCTGACATGATTATGACGCAGGATGGTAAGTCAACAGGGAAGTGAGAGTAGCTCGGCCGAGCTAAAGCAAGTATCGCCAGTTTAACATGCCGGGCGCGCAAGGTCAAATGTGACGAGAGGAAACCACACTGTCGAAACTGCGAGAAATCTCGAGTTGAGTGTGTCCCCAGCGATTTGGTTTCCTTCAGGCACTGGCGACATCCGTCACCTAGCAAGCATGGATACTTGGGTCTCTGGGAGCCGAGCCAGACCTGGGTGGAGGTCAGGATCTCTGCCTTGGAGGTAGCGAGCTGTATGAGTCCTAAGATATGATTATATGTATCTGGCAAATACTAACATTAGTGAATGGGATGCAGATGAGTTTGTGGATGAGACCGACACGATAGCAGAGGAGTACGAGATTATCTGCGACGAAGCCATCGTACGAAGTCCTGCCAACCATAGCAGAATATGTCGCACGGTAGTCCGCAGTACAACAGGCCCTGATGCACATGGATCTTTTTCTGAGCCGGGCCAGGCACGTATAGCAACATTACCATCGAGTCCAACTGACTGGAACGAGACTGGAGATGTCATAGAACATTCAACGCCGGCGGGGGCCGAACACGCATCTTGGCAAAATGGGACCTCGATTGTACAGTCTCGAGGAGAGTGCGATGGGATGAACGATAGGGAGGCGGCTCGAAGTACTACTACAAGTAGATCCAGCAACTGTAGCGATGACACGGGACGGATAGTGAATAAAGGAGCACAGGCTTTGTTATCAATGAGGAGCCATGCTTCAGACCCTCGGTTGACCTACACTTCGAGTAGCCTCTCACCACCCATATCGGAGAGCTCACAGCGGTATTGCAGCCAGGATAGGGCCTTCACCTCTGTCGCCCTCCCAGGGATCCCAGAGAGGCTAGCACGGGCGGCTCCTCTAAGCTCACAGGAAGAGGCATGGCTACTGCGTCAATTCAGCGCCGAAGTAGGTACCTGGATGGATCTCTCAGACCTATCAGAAACCTTCTCGAAGAAGGTTTGTCGCTTGGCAACACAGGATCCTTTGCTCAAAGCAGCAAGTATCGCATGCGCTGCGAAGCAACAGTTCTTGATCGGAAAATTACCAGACGGCATGCACATTGCGCGACAAAATTACAATACCGCCATTTCTCTGCTGATAGACAGACTGGGAAAGAACGATGAACCATTGGCCAGCTATGGCTTTGCAGCCACGGTCATTTGCTCTTGTTATGAGATGTTAGATGCGCCTGCCTCAGACTGGCAAAGACACCTCGACGGGGTTTTCTCTTTCAGCAAGTTACGCCGGGTGAACGGATCCTCCGGTGGAATCGAGCAGGCGGGATTTTGGTCGACAGCGCGACAGGATGTCGTCTGCTCAATTATGCACAGATCAAAACTGAGGCTAGACCCCGATTTGTGGGCCATTGACTTGGACCGTATAGGCCAGGAAGGGAGTGAGGACTTGATTAACAACCAGTGAGTGGGTCGCTGCGCCCATACTTGGATCAGAATGGTTGACACTGATGCATAAAGGATCCTCACGATTCTTGCAAAAGTGGTAAATTTCATCGCGTGCTCAGACGGCACTTCGGCAAGTAAAGGGCTCGACGAATGGTACAAGCTGCGTGACCTTCTCGACCACTGGAACCACTCTGTGAAGGGCCGAAGCTTCATGGACCCGGTCTCGGTATACGAGGAGGACGGTCAGCCGTTCACAACAATATGGTTTGCGAGGAGTGTTTGTGGTAAGGCAGTCTCACAATCCACCGCATGCACTTGTTGACGACGTGCAGCTTCCTCATGGCAGATGTTTCATCTTGCTCAGATTTTGCTCCTCACCTCCTGCCCTACGCAAGACCGTAGTTGTCTGTTTGCCTTTCGGAGAATCGAGGTTCGCATGTCCACGATCACAACCTCGCAAACGGAGCTAAGCGATCGTTAGGGACAACTACTGTACCATGCGAGACAAATATGTGGCATAGCTCAAAGCAAACCAGACGGAAGCTGTCGGGTAAACTCCGTTCAGCCCATTTACTACGGTGTGTGACGTTGGCTGGTCTGCGTCTGTTAGGGCTCCACTGATGCATTTCCAATATAGCTGGATGCTGTTTTAGCAACAACGAGGAAAGGAGAGCGGCCATTATGCTTCTGGAAGAAATCGAGAATAGCCTCGGCTGGGCTGCCAAATATCGCGCCTGGGATTTGCAAAGGCTGTGTACGGACCTCTAGTTACTCTCCAATTTGTATACGTGTCATCAGAGGCACGGCGTGCCCTGGGCATTTCGTCACTCGGTAAGAATTATCTAACGACTGTTGCTTGACATTGTACTATAAAGTATAGAGTTTCGATGCTAAAAAGAGATCGGGTTTCTCCAATCAGCGATCGATGTGCATTGGACAGCGTCGTCCTCAGCTTCGATCTGATATGGAGTTACATAATCGTCGCATGTGAATCAAATAATCAGTCAATAACATTCTGCACAAAACGCGCAAAGACCGTGGTATCCATGACAAATTGGGTACAACGCTGGGATCGAATCACTCAAAAACAAATCTAGTCGGCGCGCATGAGCCGCTCCAGTCGGCACCGCAACGCATGCTGGAACCATAGAGGATAAGAGCGAAGACGCTGCGCGAGAGTGCCCGAAGTGCCAGGTAGCAAGACATGGCCGCTCTCACTCGTCAAAACCTGATCAACAATACCCTCAGCGACGGTCTCCGGGTGTAGGAGGGGATTGATGAAGGTATCCTCGGGGGTCAGGTTGCTAATCAAGGCGGTCCGCGTAAAGCCCTGGGTAACTAGCACAGTTCGGACGCGTGGAGCCTGGTAGCGCGTCACCAGCTCCGCCGCCAGACCCTCGTGGAACGCGATGGCAGCGGCCTTGGAAGCCGAGTAGTCGACCATGTTGGGGGTGACGGTGTAGCCGGACTGGGAGGCGACGGTCACCACCATCCCGTGGTTGCCCGCGATCATGTCCGGCAGGAACTCTTGTGCCAACCAGTAGTGCGAGAGGGTGTTGACATCAAACAACCGTCGGGTCACGGCCTCTGTGGTGCCGAGGATGGTCTTGCCGGTGAGGATGCCCGCATTGTTAATCAGGATGGTTGGTTTGCCGAACGAGGCACGAATCTTGCTGCCCACCTCGGCGATGTTTTCAGGAGATGTAATATCGCATTCGTAGTAGCGAACACTGCTTGGCAATGAATCCGCCGGGGGCGCAATGTCGAGGATGGCGACTTTGATGCCGCGATCGCCGAACAGCTGCGCGACTCGCCGTCCAATCCCACCGCTGCCACCGGTCAGGACCACCACCTCCCGGTTCCAGTCATAGTGATCTTTCTGGCCATTATTGATCACACGACGGTCCAACCAGCCGCCGAGCCGACTCAAGACAGCCAGCGAGGCCAGTACTTTGAGGGCCTTGAGCACCTCCGGACGCGACTCCAGGATCTCACGGCCCTTAGCCGTATACTGTGCTAATGCTAGCAGCGGCACCATCTTCCAAGGGCTCAGCAGGGTGCGGTGGAGTAGGTTGCTGAGCACATCGGCCGTGAATCCTGGGTTCTGTTAGCGCAGCCGTCGAATAAGAAATCAGCGCACCTTCTCGCGAACGCCATCTCTTCGCTGGCGATGCCATCTTGCAGGGGTTCGACCCGCGCGTTGAATATCTATCGCGACTCGTGGATCAGTATGGATCAGATCAAGAAGCAACAGGGGGAGTGACGAGGACCGCATCAGGCGGGACTTGATGGATGATCGGCGGCACTAAAGATGGATAATGCGGGGCTGCCGAGGTCCGCGCATACAATGCATGCCTGCCATCCTGCATAAAAATGTACACTGCCAATATCATTAAACGGAGCATGTGCCAGAAGTATAACTATTGTTAGTCAAGCTAGGTAAGCAACCAGGTGGGAGCGCCAGGAGACTACGTATATATGGAGATCTATTGATATAGCCCTAACAATTAAACCAATTCACTATTCTCCTTCATAGTGGTTCCTACGGCTGTGATAAACAGCTCAATGCCATGACAATAATGCTGTTATTAACTTCCAGCATGAATCATATACAGTTGATCTATTATATATTAATATGGGAAAGGTTTTTGGCGCAGTCATCGGCAATGGCTCGCTCCCAGAGCCTTCGATTCCTGCTCGATAATAGCCCACGCCGCTCTCTGCAACATTCTCATCAGCCGCCAATTTCCTGAGAAATCCTTTCCTACAGTGTTTACTAAACTACACAAAGACCACTCGTCAGAGACACAGTATTGACGTACGACGCTTTTCATAGCCATTTGTGCAGTCTGCCCCCCCGCGCCCCCCGGAATTTCCTTCGTTATGACAACGGCCGAGAAGTCCACGTCAAAGAGCCTAGCTCGGTACCAGTGGGTGCAACCGAGGAGGAGGCTGCTCGGTGCAGCATATATTGGTGGATGGCCGACCTTCGACGGATGATCTCACTCAGGAATATTATTGATAGGTGACTATCGCTCTAGAGAGGGCTTCGAACAACGAAAGGATTTCAGTAAAGAAACGGTAGCAAAGCCAATGGCCAGCAAATAGCTTAGTGATGGAAGTGGCCAATTTCATGGTTTGCATTCGGTAGGAATAAAACGTACTGATCCATACAGAATGAACTACGCTGAAAAGTCAGAAGATAGACATGAAAGATAAAGCAAAGAACTAGTAGGATGGAGAGAGAGCGAGACACCAAGGCCTATATCGTAAACCAGGGATACCGCCTGTACTTGCTTTGGTAAGGAACCCCCTCTTGCTCCTCTTTCCCGCCACTGCCCATCCTCAAGAGGCACTATCCCAGTACGCTAACTGCACGACATGAAGCAGTGCGTTTGGCCCTGGGTACCCAGCTCATCCAACGCAGGATCCGGCCTGCGTAGCCAGTTTGCCAACATGTTGGTGCAATGGTCGGTATGCTTCCGGTCAGCCAGCATCGTGTCGAGGCGATCTCCACGCATGTGCACATCATGGGCCCGTCGCAGAAGATACAGGCAATGGACCAAGTGCTCGCGGTTCGAAGTCCAATAGAAACCATTGACGTTGCGGCCAACTTCGTCGTAGTCCTTCATCTGACGGGTCATTTCCTTGTCGTAGTAATATATAAAAGGCTGGCCATTATTAAACTCGGTAAACTCCTTCACATAGTCGTGCGGACACTCCCGGTGAAGCCAGCAGGCAGAAAGCGGATCATACCTGCAGTCGAGCGCCTCAGCCTCCTCGGTGGAATTGCCGCAGGAGAGTCTGGTCCGAGGCGCTGTGGGGAAGCACTGTCGCTGTCCGCCCTGGTAGGAGCTCGAGTAGACAGGCGAGTACTCCAGACTTAGGGCCTGTCGGACTGGCTGGAGAGTGATTGCTGCAATCAACGCAATTACCAAGAGCAGCAGAGTGAGGAGGAGCCCCGTGATGGTGACAGTTGCCAGATTACGCTTCAGGAGCTGCTGTACGGAGCGGCGTCGTGGCCGCATTGTCAGCGTGGTGTCACCGTCGCCGGAATCTCCCCCATTGTTGTCTACCTTTGGGACAGGCTCATAGTTGCGTGGGGAAATCTTCTCCATTCCGATATACATCTGGTCGATGGTGGTGAGAAAGGGTTACTCTCGCGGAACTGCGAGAACAGGAAAGTATTCACCTCTCCTGCCATTCAAGACAAGCACAGCGAGTCTACTACCGATGTTTATGCTTGCAGGAAACATGTGTACTCATTGACTTAGTTTGAAAGCATGACAAAGAGAAGCACGCTTGGGCAGACCAGATTGAGATGTCAATAAGGCTCGCAGCCACAGGAACCAATCGTATCGGCGACGGAATAGATCCCGCTTTGAATAACATGTCAATCAAAGTGGTTCGTACGGGGCACCCAGATGGCTTTTGGGTCGAAACCGAGGAACAATGAAAATGTTGACGAACCGTGGGACCTGCATTCTCCCTGTCCAGTCAAGGGTCAACGCCAAGGGGCCCACGAATGTTACGGCACTGCTTTCAGTTCCAGTTTGGCCAATAATAACCAGAATACTCCGTAGTCGGTATAGTAATGGGCTATGGCTGCTGGAATTAGTTTACTGGACATAGAAGGTGACTGGGGAGTTTGACGAACATGTCCACACTTTGCTACTCCCCGGCTGCATATGTCTCACTGCGGTAACATATATATGCTGGCTGAATCCTAACACGCGCGATAAGAGGTGGTAGAGAAATGAGGACAACAGAGACATTTCCCATGGTCTTCGCCAGGATCAGTCACCTGACCATCACCGGACTCACCGTTTCCGCAACCGCGCTTCGCTTCCCTCGTGGATATCCCAGCCATATCTAAAGACTTGCATTCAAGGGCGTCCTGGAGCCGCCCGGGACAGCGATCTTTTGGACAATAAGCGCATGAGTCAAGAACCGGTCGTACAATTTGTAACATGGTAGTGATGGGATCTCTGGTCAAATCGAGATTCCGTCTCCGCCATTGTCAAAATTATAGCTGGCACTTCGGCCCCAACCAAGCGCGTTCTTCAACACGCCGGCTTCTTTACTTCTTGAACTTGAACTCTCCTTTCCCTGGAACTGCATCTAGCTCAGCTATGGCCTCTAGAACCTTTAGTATATCTGGTGGTGATGCTAATTCACCTATCTTTGAATACCACCCGATTGAAGGGGTTGAGAGACTTGAAAAATATCAGCCTGGTGGCTATCATCCAATATCAATAGGTGACGAGTTGCAAGCGCGATATCGGGTAGTTCACAAACTCGGCTATGGTACCTACTCAACCACATGGCTCTGTCGTGATGAAAAGTCCGATATCTATGTTGTAGTTAAAGTCGGGACAGGCGACTCAGATCCCCAAGAAGCAGCCGTGCTTGACCTTCTTAACAACACTTCACCCCCGCTTTCAAACCATCCGGGCAGAGGAATGGTACCTTTGATCAAAGACCGGTTTGTCCTTCACGGTCCTAATGGCACACACCCTTGCTACATCATGACACCAGCAAGATGTAGTGTCTCAGGTTCCAAGGATGGGTCGTACAAACGCCTGTTTCAGGCTGATACCGCTCGCTCACTGATCGCCCAGCTCGTTCTAGCGGTTGAGTACACCCATGCAACAGGGGTTGTTGTTCATGGAGATTGGTGAACCCGTTTCGGCCAGCTAGTAATATTGCGCTAACGCGACATATTACTTGCAATGTTTGCATAAAGACCTTCACCTTGGCAATGCTCTCCTGCGCCTTCCGGCCGATTTTGACAACCTCTCAATCGAAGGGCTGTATCACACATATGGTGCGCCTACTACGGAATCTGTCGTTCGTCTTGACAACCGACCACTGCAGCCGAATGTTCCATCCACAGCCATTCTTCCCATGTGGCTTGGGAAACCGTGCGAAGAGTTTTCGGTTTCAGAAGCCCAGCTCCTATTGTCGGATTTCGGAGAGGCATATTTGCCTTTCACCGGGAATCGGTGTGAGTCCCGCACACCCTTGGCATTCGCGCCACCCGAAGCTCGCTTTGAGCCAGAGCGAAATCTGTCCTTCTCGTCTGATATCTGGACGCTTGCATGTGCTATATGGTTAATTCTTGGACAACGTCCATTGTTTGAAGACATCCTAGCCACTCAGGATGACATCACAGCTGAGCAGGTTGATGTCCTGGGAAGGTTACCTTCAGAATGGTGGGAGAAGTGGAATGAGAGACTCGAGTATTTTAATGAAGACGGTGAGCCAAATGAAGATCGAGACGTAAGGTCCTGGGATGATCGATTTGAGACGCATATTCAGCGCCCACGAAGGAAGGCTGGCATTTCCGAATTTGGGTTGGAAGAGAGGACTGCTGTTATCGATATGTTGCGGTCCATGCTTTCTTTCCAGCCTGAAGCGCGACTGACGGCACAGGATGTATTGAAGTGTGATTGGATGGTGAGATGGGCGCTACCGGAGTATAAAAAGATGTTTATGAACAACGCACCAAAATGATAGTATCGTTCAATCACAACATGCACAACATGTTCATGTACATACACCAGGATCGGTGAAAACCTGGCCATTGCACACCGACTGCATCACAGACCCGTCACAGGCCATTCTCCCACAATCTTTCCACAAAAGCGTTGATATTCCAGACGTGAAAAAAGGTTTGATGGCCCTGTATGACAACCTTTGATAATATCAGACTACAGAAACCGTTAGCTTTGCGCTGATTCCTTTCCTAGGACGTTTAACATGACAGGGTCAGTTCCCGTGCGTGACATTTAGGTTGTACAGTGCGTCGGGCACCTTAGATTAAAGGAGACCCTCACTCTACCCAAGGCCCACACACACACCACAAAGAGTTTTGACCATGGGGCCATAAGCCTACGAGAGGTGGTACTTGCGACCCCTGTCCGAGCGATATTGCTATGTACTATCAATGACGCCCTACTGGCCGAATGGTCGAAACGGAATGTCAGCTGCGCACGTCCTGCTGGAAAGAAGGAAACATCTTATTCTAGCCCGATATACAGAGTACGGAGTACATGGTATACTTTGAGTAGAGCTTTGGTGCCCCGCCGGGCGCACTTGCCCTCCAGATAATGGAGGCGTGAGGTAATATTTTGATTAGCCGAGCAAAGTAAACTGGGTATAAGATGATTGCTCACATCGGCATCAGTCACTGCTTGGAACAGCCTCTCGCACATGTTAGACCTGGTGCCTCAAAGAAAACAATCTACCACATCCATGGCTCGAGACAGCACCCTCAGCATGGCAATTTCTTTCGCCTTCGTTGCAATATGCCTTTTCCAAGTCCAGGCGACGGGTGTTGACCCCGGTCCTCCCAAACCAGCGTTCCTAAGCTTAAGCTCTGAAAGTTGGTTGACCTCTCCGTGGAGAAAAGCTATTCTCAAGAAACCAACACTCACTAACCGTCCGGCTTATAGAATTACTCGAGGGGTATAAAAAGCTTGAGCAGGGCAGCAAGCTTGAAGGCGCAAAGTTCCCTGAGGTTGAATTCAATGACGAAATATACTGGGACGGAAAATTTGACACTACCTATTCGTTCAATCAAGAGTACCCTTTCGATATTTGGGAGGACGGTGTGGATACTGAAGAGGATGAATACAATGGTGCACATCCGCATTTCCTCGCCTCTCGCCTCCCTGGTATTGGAAGCAGCAAGGATATCTACCCTTACATTGCTAGCACTGTAAGTCACTGCTGATCCTGTCAACGTTCCCTAGCTGACAATCATGAAGTCGCCAGTACAGCATGGCCGTTCTCATAAGTTCATGTATTGGGATATGGTATGGAACCAGGCTGAAAAAGAGAAACACGGTGATATCATCCTGGTGGACTTGGCGGACTATGCCCGTGGCGGACAGGACAAGAACCAAGGAGATATTATTCCGTCTGTCACCACGAAGAGCCTAAGCTTTACGCCGCCGGAAGACAAGGGGAAAAAACAGAATATTCCACCATACCGGGGAACATATTCTGTGCATTATAAAGGCAGCAATGCCAAATGGGCCCATAGCGATATTGAGTATCGTCAGATCAGCCTGGAATACCATGACGACTCTAAGAAGCCGGCTGGAAGTGGTCCACACAACGTGCATTACTTTCACATTAGCTCTTGGAAAAACCGACAAGCAATTGCTCCAGAGAAGCTGCAATTCCTCATCGACGAGGTCGACAAGAAATTCAAAGGCCAGAAGATCATCGTGAACTGTCTTTTGGGGCTGGGGCGTACAGGTTCCTTTATCGAAGCAAGGGAGATGTATCGGGAGACAGTGAAAGCGAAAGGTACTAAATGGCTCTCGTCCTCAGGTGACCCGATTGCGGAATATACGGCCACGCTGCGCAAGAGACGGGCGTTTATGATCGACAGTGCCGCGCAATATGAGTTCTTACATACCTGGGCAGCAAGGCTGTGGGCCATGACAACTGAAGGTAATGCCAAGACCGCAGGCGGCTCTGTGGGCAATCCGCCCAGCCAGGGTCGTCGGCCGCCAACACCATGATAATCTGAGGTTTCGTTGTGTCTACTGTGAACGTCAGCCACAAATAGAGCGACGCCCGAGACGGGGAGAATGCTTTGTATGTAAGGATATATGTAGCTATGGAGCAATATCCATAACAACGCCGCAAATCAAGCTCTATAGGTATATAACCATGGCAGTCGTCTGTTGGCTTGCAAGACCCAGCGGCCGCTGTACCACCAATCCGTCATTCTCGTGTACGCTCTACCCTCCAAGAAGGACCTATTCCGGTGAGTCAAATTATCAGATGGGCACATGGTGCCTTTCTCAAACTGTGAGCGGACGTAGGCATCGGAAATAATCATCTCGTAGTTTCGGAAATACGTGGTGCCTGGTAAATGTCTTGTCCATCGAACATCTGTCGGAACAACACCCCCCGGTCCCAAGTCGAGCCATTTGGTTATAACAAGGGCGACGCCTCCAGTCGCAAAGGTAATAACATCAATTTGGTAGTCTAATCCGCACGTCACACAACAATAAGTATCTAAGCCCGGTCGCCGTCCGCGTCGAGTATCGACATTGGCATCCCAAAGGGCACGGACAACCGTGAAAATATAAGGATCCTGCAACTGGATGTGCGCAGAAATCCGTGTGTGTGTCACGGTTTGGGAAGGAAATTCTGTTGCTAATATCTAAGTTTGTATATGAAGCTAGAGGCTCGAGTCTCGAACAATCTGTGTGTCGACTGATAGTAAGGAGGTAAGAGGTTTCCGTAATGGTCGAACCTCAAGATAAGCTAATGAGTTTGCCGACGCACCGTGTGCAGGGCTGCAACGATGTCTTATTATTGGTAGCTGTAGATAGATGCGTTGACATCGATACAGTGAGCTCCACTCTACGCTGAACGGATACCACCACACGCGGGAAAGACCTGTGTGCTTGACTTGACATCTTCTAGGCCACAACACTGCACCCGGAGGTTGGATATAGTCCCAGCGATGGAATACCGAGCATATATGACAGTGAATGTGATCTGCTAGATCTCGGGTCAGTCTTTTGCGGAAAATAGATGGGAGTTCGGTCTCCAACAGACTCTGAACACCGCTTCCTAGGATATTTAGTAGTTGATGATTACAGAGGGCCAGACACGCTCGGTCACACGGAGTAAGATAGTCGGCAATCCTGTACACCGGCTCCGTTGGCTGGTGATCAAGGTTTGGGCCCCTGTAGCTCACCGTCTCGATCTGCATACGCCGGGGATGCCAGTAGGATGACAGCCAAGAAGACCTCTGCTACCGTGCTGACGTGGCTGTCAGTCTGCATAGTCTCTAGAAGCACATCTGCATTGTAACACTCTTGCACGGGCAAGAGAGAACTCCAGACCTCTGTGATCTGCCCCCCCCCCCCCCTAAAACAATTACATCTGTAGCCAAGCGCACCGCCCGCCTTTGCTGCATAAGCCAAAGTTTGCGTTGCCCAACACTTCCCGTTTGCCCCATGTTATCATGGCTCATTATATGTGGCGCTTGCCCCCACATCAGTACCATCTGTCTAAGTATCACGTTGTTTTTAAGCTTCTGTCCAGCACCCTGATGACCTTGGCGAAGGAAAGAATCCTAAAGATTGTTGCTCATTCAGTTAAGACCACTCCATATAGCCCGACACATATACTGTAACCGAAGCCCTCTTGGGATCGAGCCGAAAGCGTCCATACTGTTCACCTACTGGTCAGCTCCAACTCTGTCCCTTTTCTGTTCAAACCCAGTAAGCATGTACTGGCCTTTATTGATTATACTCCCATATCTCTCAGCTCTCACGGCGGGTGGGATACCCATGTATGGTTCACAATCCCAGTCCGAGAGCATTGCTGGACCTCCTTCGAACATCGATCCGAAGGCTGAAACGTCCAACCTCCATCGTCATTGTAGGGGTTTCATCTTCCTGCATCCTCCCGAATATCGACCACATCTTCCATACCCAGATCCACAGCCCAATTTACAACCAAGCTCACCACAATCAAACCGGCCAGTATCACCGGGCCCAGGGCGTCCTGTACGTCGTGCAGCTGCACCACCTCCGGTATATATAACGGCAAACTGCAAGATGCCGAACGGCAAAGATGAGCTCACAGGAATCAACCTGAATAAATGCCTTGGCTGGGATGACCGTCGGAAAGTTTTCACCGCAGAATATAAGTATGTATCATCATTACAATAATGGTGGCCACGGCCATTGCTTCGAGCTATCATTTTATACCTAATTGCTTACGACACCAGCGCATATGGAATTGCTAGGGGCAATTGCTGGGACTGCGGGTACAAAAAGTACCGGAAGCCCACTTCTAAGTTTTTACTGGGTTGCAAGTGTAGCACCAATGCACAGGATCGAACACGGTGGGAGGTCAAAGAGTTCACCCAACGTGAGTATCTGGCTTGTATCGAGCTAGCAATTCGCTAATGAGCTTTGTAGCTGGCGTTCTAGTATTCAACGAGAAGACAGGTCAGATGGGCTGTCATGGATATTTTGCAGTTCTCATGGTACCCGAGATAGACTAGCTTGCTCCCATATATTTATCAGGGGCGAAAGGATGATTGGCGGTATCATACCTGCTGGGAACAACAGCTGAAAGTGATGGTTACTCTGGACTGTTTGTGGATTTGGAAACCGTTAGTACAGCAGCGCGATGCGGTGCGGACGCAGGATCGGACATCTAAATAGACTTGCTCTTCTCCTTTTCAACCCTGGCTTTTTCACTTCCACAGATGTATGGTATGTGTGTGTGACGAACGCTGCCGTTGGCATAGGTGGCTCATTTATTATGGGTATCGTAGTGTCCGCTCCCCTCAATTTACCTTGGTTGATCTAAAATGCGATGGATTGATAACTCACTCTGACTCTATGCCATCCTGGGTGCTGCTTGTATACGACACATATACTTGACGCATACTCCAGCCCAATGTAGACCACAGTGAAACCACGCATATCCTGCAAAATATTCATCCAGATGTTACAGGGTGGCGCGGAAACACCTGGAACGGATTGACATACTTGCCATATCACCCATCATATTCACATTTTCCCAGCTTAGAAGAGACGGTGTGTTTTTCTCAATAATCATCAACCTCTATATAGACCAATACAACTTACCCAGGAGCTGAACACAAGAATGTATAGTTACAGGCAGACATCTTCCGTACCAGTTAAAGGGGTGGGCAAAAGTGTGCAATTCGACGGCGAAGAAGACAACCAAAGGTACGAAGAGCTCTTTTTGAGATTCATCTTTCGCATCCTTTATTAGACTTCCAGGTAATTGCTCGGTATAAATTTACAAGAAACTGCGTGGAAGGATCAATCCTCACCCTAGTATACTTACTCCTGATCCATGACACAGAGCTTTAGGGCTCGAAGTACTATCCAGAGGGGGACTGTGTCTAGATCCGGTTTAATATCATAAATAAGCAGTACTTGATCCCGGGAATAGTATACTCGGAAGAGCTGGGTGGTTTGGTTTATAGCAGGAAAACATATATCCCCTAGCGGATATGTCAATCTCGGGGAAAATTCGCTAAAAGACATTGTTGATCTCCCTCATGCTAAACGTAGTAGTTATTTTGCCTCACTCAGCACTATATTAACGCACCATGAATCGTACTGAACTATCGCCTATATCACCCCGCTGGAATCTGAATGCTTTATAGGATCCAGTTATGTATTTCGGCTGACGTCGTTTGACCGGCGCTAGTGATTAATATATGGACGGACTCTGACAGGCTGACGACGTAAACAAAATCCAATCCCTGTTCGTCTAGTGTAGGTGATGGCTTGTTCTGTTTTATTTTTATTTTCATCCTTTCATTCCTGTGTGATTACCCCACTGGTATCCCGATCCCTGCATATGGGTTTTTTTCTCCATTCTCCGGATGCGAGTTGTTGAACTTAACCCACCCACGTCTGCTTCTCTCATTCTTTTTCCCACTCCTACTTGGGCTCACAGACTCAATCTAATTCTTGTATTCTACATACAACCGCCATGTCGACAACTGTTTCCGATCTTGCTAGTACGTACGGGGCCCCAGTGGTCCTGGTGGTGGCCGTGGTGATTGTGCTGCGATTCTTTCACGAGATGTTGAAAGTACGCCTACTCTTCTATCGCCTGCGCAGACAGGGCCTAGTATGCTACCCGATGAAGGGCCATCTTGAGTGATGCAATGCTAATATTGAGTCACACAGCCGATGCCGAAATGGGATTTTGTAGCAGGAAATCTGCGGATGATCCCAGACCTAATGAAGCGGCATCCGAAAGGATCGCAACAGTCAGAGGCTTTTACACTCCTGTCTTACGAATTTCCTAATTTCGACAATTGTTTCTACATTGATGTCTGGCCCTTCACGAAGCCTTTACTAGTGGTTACTTCCCCGGACCTGGCCGTCCAGGCCTGTCAAACCTATGTACTACCTAAACCACCTGTACTTGCGAAGTTCTTCAACCCCTTCGCAGGGGGGCCCAACATGTTCGTTACAAACGGGCCCGAATGGAAGCGTGCCCGGGGGCTTTTTAACCCTGCCTTCAGTGCCAGTAATATCCTCAAGCATACTCCCCATATTCTCGAGGAAGCCCAGGAGTATGTGGAGGTTCTCCGCGAGCACGCGCGGAAGGGGGATACCTTTATATTAGATAGAGTAACCTGTGACTATGTCCTGGACATTATCGGGCATGTTGCCATGTGAGTGTCTTTTGTAAGCAAAGACGCGATTCGTGAAGACGAATACTAACACGCTGGACTGCAGGATGGCCCGCCTGCACTGTCAGCGCGGGTATAATCCGCTGGCTGCGGCAGTGAGAAGTCAGGTGGAGTGGCATTGTCAGGATGAACAGATGAATCCCTTCATCCGATGGAATCCCATGCGGCCGATCATGCAGTGGTTGAACGGACGCACGATGAATCACTACATTGGGATCGAATTGGACAAACGATATGAGGCCTGGAGGCAGCAAAAGCCCTCGACCCGGGCAAATTCGATTATCGATATTGTACTCGCGGAGTACATGAGTGGACAACCGGCAGGGGCAACACTGGACCCGGAGTTTAGAGCCTGGGCTACTATCCAACTCCGAACCTTCCTGTTCACTGGACACGACTCAACCGCAGCCACAATTGCTTACAGTATCTATCTGTTATCGAAGTATCCTGACATCCTTTCTCGGGTTCGCACTGAGCATGATACAGTATTTGGGACAGATATTTCGGCTACAGCTGGCATGGTCAATCAGCACCCGGAGTTGATTAATCGGCTCCCGTATACACTAGCGATTATAAAAGAGACACTCCGTCTATTTCCCGCTGCTTCCGCGTTGCGAGAGGGCCAGCCCGGTGTCTACCTGCAGGACAAGAACGGCACGAAGTATCCGACAGAGGAATTGTGTATCTGGGTCATCCACGGGGGCATTCAACGTAACCCTAATTACTGGCCAGACCCGCATGCATTCAAACCCGAGCGCTGGCTGGTTGGGCCAGACCATCCCTTATATCCCCCCAAAGGTGCTTGGCGTCCCTTCGAGCAGGGTCCGCGGGATTGCATCGGCCAGGCGTTGGCTCTAGTGAACATCAAGATCACGCTGGTGTTAATTCTCCGGGAATTTAACTTCCAGGACCAGTATGCGGAATGGGACCGCCAGCATCCCCGGTCCGGACCGAAAACTGTCTTTGGCGAACGCGCCTACCAGATTCCACAGGGTGGGTCGCATCCTGTTGACGGACTTCCGTGCCGGGTCAGCCTGCGGAATCAGATAACCACATGAGAGCCGCGGGTGAGAACCATTGGGCTGTGGTGATGTCTTGAATCGGCATCGATCATGTGGATACGGCATCAAGTTTGTATTGCAGGTGTTGGATGAATGTACATAGGTAGTGAGAACACTAGAATAGAGTCAGAGACGTGTTTATTGCCCTGAATTGCGAACCCCCTCTGGGGTTATCCTCGCCTCGGCTACCTCGCTTGGCTTTCGTTGTTTCCCCGTTAGACCCACCCGCCCTAAGGTGAAAATCCCCGTCAAGTAGAACGGTTCAGTCCCTTTGGCGCCAATTAACGTAATCTAATATACCCCAACCCTGTTTGATGCATTCCCCTAATGCACGCTCCCCTCGCACTGATTCGTAGTCCGTTGTTGGATCATATGGTACGGTGTCATTGCTCGTTTGAACTTCCGACTGCTAGCGCCATGGCACCTGCACTCCCCTAACGTTTTTTTCACGAGGCTGTACAATCGTATGCCATTGAGCGGAAAAGGCAGAGTAACTGGTACGCAAATCCAGCCCCTGTGAGTCGCAATGACTGATCATAGTTGGCCAACTCAGCCATTACGCACCTGTCTGACCCTAGTAGGGCTGGGCGTGTCAGTGAAACCAGTACTCCGTACTTTTCGAGCCATATAATTAGCCCTGGTAGTGGAGAGCGGATCCCCCTAGAATTGGCCCAACCACTGGAGTCTGGCCTACTCTTTCTTCCTTTGCTACCATCTCTCTCTTGATGTAGGCCAACACAAAGCTTCATTGGGCGGCGATTGATCTCCTTTGGATCGCGAATTAAACACCTATCGACTGCCCAGGTATCTCCATTTATATGAAACAGGTCCGCCACATCTGACATACGTAGCATGCTTACGAGGTAAACTAACACTTACTAGTAGCTATTCCTGATTAGACGCTCGATGAAATATTACTCTATAGGAGCACAAATCCATCCGGCTTGCTGTTCCACGGATGAAAAAATGCACAGCTCAGGCTCGTTATAAAGGACAGCCGCTGCTCTTTCCACTCGATGGCCGTACCCTGAAATTTCCTCTTGTTTGCCACTTGGCCCTGGTCTCGTCGAACAATTGCCGTGGCGTCTTTCCAGCTGTATTCGGTTGGTCCATCAAACCAGGCCGTCCAGCTTCCTGCAAAATCCGAATCATCTCATCCTGCGCACTTATCTGATCAGCCAACGTCACAGGGTCTTTGGTTTGGCTCATTCGGGGCCAGACACCCCCAGACATTGCATCATGCAGAGGTGTGTTTCCCACTGCATTTACTGTGTTAACATCAACACCTATGTTGATCAGGTGCTGAACTGCCCCGACCTCCTGTAAATTTCTTGCCATTACATGGAGAACAGTGTTGCCTTTGTTATCGGCGTGGTACGCGTCGGCACCATGTTTCATCAGGAGGTCTAGCAGAGCAGGATCAATGGGACAGCCGGATAAAGAGTGGAATGCCAATATATGCAATGCAGTCTGTCCATTATTGTCCTGTAAACTGGCATCGGCCCTATGTTCACATAGGAACCGAATCACAGTGTTACGGTGACCGGTACCACATGGAGCGTGGGTTCCAACTGCATAATGCAGGGCTGTTCTTCCCCCATTATCCGGACTATTGATCGTGTTCAAACCATTCGACAAGAGAAGCTCAAAGGTACGAATGATGTCAGAAATAAACTGGTCCTCAGGGAGTAAGTTCTCATCACAATCGCGAGCACCTTTGGCAGCCCAGTGGAGCGGTAGACATCCTTCGCTATCACGACATGATATCATCAATCTAAACTCGTGCTCACCTAGGTGATCAAAGAGAGCTCGAATCCCCTCTACATTCCAGAACCTGCTAGCGATGTGAAGCTTGGTGACATCCCCAATGAAGTCCCATTGCCCACACATTTCAGAATACTCTTCCCTTTCAAGCGCATCAGCCCCTGCATCTATGAGGCGTTTCACCAACGCATAACTGGCCCTTGAGATCGCCCGACCGAGAACAGTGTCCACTGGCACCGGCATTAAGTTGATCTTCTCCCTGCCCGCGACCTGGTCGCGCATGTAACGAGCGGGAGCGTCACTGTCCAGCAACAGATGGATCAACTCCTCTCTTCGAGCAAGACGCCTATCCATCCACTCTGGAGCACCATGATCAATCTCATCTGCATCACTCCCCAACGTAGAAAGAGACGCCGCAGCGGCCAGCAACGCCGTCTCACCCCAATCATCCTTCGCATAGACAGACCCAAGAGGAGGTTCTCCGTCCAACAGAAAGCGGACCATCTCAATATGGGCGTGATAGCATGCGATATTCAATATCAAAAAGCCTCGTTCGTTGGGTGGCACCAAACAGGTTCCGTCTAGTGGTATAGAACCGGCGTTTTGGTAATGGTGTTTAACGAGCATGCGCAGGGCGTTGAGGCTGCCGTTCTTCGCAGCGATGTAGAAAGGGTCGCAGAAGTCTCCCATGCTAGGGGCAATGGCTGCCCTAGGGTATTTCGCGAGGTATCGCGTTAATGTAGTCACATCGTCGCGCTTGATGATTGCGCATAGCAGGCCGTCGTAGTCTGTCTCGTAGAGGATGGAACCGTCCGTGTCGAGCAGTGGGTCGTTGTCTTCTGCCCAGGGGTCGGAGGGACATCCGTGGAAGTCGCTGTATGCCATTTTGTATCGGGATTCCAGTCTTTTCTACATACGTATCTTTTTAAAGTCTTGACAGTTGGAGTAGAAATAAAGGTTCGTTAACCAAGAAAAGAGGAAAGGAAGGTGACAGAGATAAACAAGAATCAATCTTAGCGCCGCCCCACTAGCACTAATCAAGTCGAAATATTTCCGTTGATGCGAAGGCCCAGAGATGAGTAAATGGCAAGCCCTTCATATGACAGTAGATAATAGACCGAGAGAAATCATTGCCTCTATTGACATGAGCACGATGCAAGATATGAATCCCGCTGACTTTATGCCATGCCGATACGTCGCAGTGTCAGCACGAGCGTTTGCGAAAGGAGGTGGAACATATCAGATTCAACCTCTCTTAGACATTCACTATACTGTGGAATGGTTCAATTTCCTTGGGACTTTGGTTTGATACGTTGCACGCAAATCCTGGGAGAAGAACATTGTTGGCGTTATTATGCAACCAGCTGTAGGAAACGGGTCCAACACGAGGAGGATTCAATACAATAGTTATATAGTTAATAGGAACTAGGCTTAGTAAAAGCAACGTATGTCAAATAACCAAATATTATATGAATTAGATGCCATGCTGAAAAACTGGACATGAAATCACACACATGCGTTAAGGAAAGACATTCATCACCACTTCACCATTACTAGCAGCCCCGGCCGACAACAAACCCAGGACGAAGGTACCCTCTTGCATTGACCGTGCAACAATGTGTTAAGCGACAAGACCGCCCCCATCAGACCTTGACCTCCATAATACCATTGTAGTTGCAGCGCTTAATAACACCTTCCATAGGGTTCTCCTTGCACTCCCACTTGGTGCCGGGGGCACTGTCGCTGAACGACGCCTGGCCTATCTCCTTTATTGAACCAGAAACGCGTTCGAGCTCGATGGTGAATTTGCTGAATTGGTTGATTCCATTAGGGAACCGGATATAGTAGTTGCCACCGAGGCAGCGGGCATTCTCGTCGGGCACCGAGTTCCAGGCCCTATGGATTGGAGGTTAGTATCAGCAGAATAGAACCGGTCCAGCATATGCACCTACCAGATAACGTTACAGTCAGTCGGGGTGTCCCTAGGGTAGTTGGGGTCGGTGAGAGAGAAGTGTAAGTTGGCCGTGCCGTCCTTCGAAGCGTTTGCTGTGAACTCGGAGATTTTCAGGGATTCGCTTCGGACGTTGGCGGGGCTGGCCAGGGCAGTGCCGGCGGCCAACAGGAGAGAGAAGGTGGTGAACTTCATTGTGAGCGAGTGAATCAAATTGTATTTGAGTTGGTTATAGAGAGGTATAACGAGAGTGGACTTGACTGGCTTCGGATGTCTTGAGGTCTTTTGGATTGCGGGATGAGAGATATCGTATCTCTGTTGGCAAGGGACAACCTTATATACCTCTGATGACTTGGGCTCTGCATAATCCCCAAGCACGTTTTGATATTCCATCAATAGATAGTGGCACCACCTGTCTGGGATGTCTCATTGAGGCCAGCCAATATAGTTCGTATCCAGAAACAGCTCACGCCAAGAGGAGGCGGAGTAGGGCTGGATGCGCTTAGTAGGGTCGCTTGTTGGGCGATCCGGGGCGGGCATGACTGCCGATCATTCTACTCTAGGGTCTCTCTCGTCTATTCTAAGTGCCGTCCTGCAAGGCCTCCCATTTTCCCGGGGGCTCGGCTAGAACTACACCAATCAAGCCGTTTACTGTAGGTTGGCTGGCAGCCAGCCTAGAATTGTAAACCCTACTGACTCCTATGAACACATGTACCTGGCACATGTCACTATTGGCTCAGCCTCTCGTACCACTTTTCGCTGCCAGGCAGGTCGTCTCACTGTGCCTCGTCGCCAAAGGTACCCTTCGCTGGGAGTCGCTGGTCTAGAAAAGATAAGATCGTCAAAAAACTCAGCTCATTGAGGAACGACTGCGGTGCGTCTACCGGCAGCCCAGAGCGGTGGCTAGTGTGGGAAGGCCTTCGGCCATTGCGGCCGTCGGGACTATACAGCCTCGTTAAAACCGATGAGGAGAATTGTTTAGTCTTTTTTTTCATGAGACTGTGAGCATCATTACGCGGAGGAGTATGTTGGGCGCCTGTCGAGCTGGCTGTCTGTCGTTCGGACAGCGCTGAATCATGCGAGTAAAACCGTCTTTGCTCCCATGCGTAGCTGCCATCGCTAGAATATTGACAACTCCAGGTGCTCGCCATCTCACTTAACTCTTTACGAGCGTTCCACATCTCAAGCTTGGACCCAGTCGATATTTATCCAGCTTCTGCCAGTGCTAACTTCTTGGAAACACCAACAGTTACTTCATTCACCCAATACTACTCGCCACAACCAGGACAAGCCCCTCATGTAGTTTCCTGAGTGTGTCTATGTTTGGGATATGAATTGTTGAAATATCGATATCGACTGCTATATACAATTGGGTGGCCTTGCCTTTCTGTTTGGGTTTAATATCAGTGATTTCCAGTTTCTCTGACACACTATCACTACAGACAGCGGAAAGGATATTTAAATCTCTCTTGGAGGATGATAGGTTTCAGCCGCAGTTATAACTTCTCCTAGCTAAGCCATTTTGGCAAATTGGGGTGATAACCCTTCGAATCACCAGTCCGTATCTTCGGGTTCTGAACCGTTTGTCTCTAAGAATAGACCCAAGACAGAATGTATGAATCAAATAGGAACATCTGCCTGGTCCACCATTTCAAGAACCGTGAAACGAATGCGACCTTCATTCGGAACACTGTATGGCAATGCTCCTATCGACATCGCATCGTCCACGCCGTCCTCTGAGGTTTGACCCCGTAACGACAATGCCACAATACCCTTTTGCTTGCCATCGGGTCCGTACACCAGCAGACAGCACTTATCTCCCTCACGCATGGGCCCCTCTCGGTCCTTGTCGCGGAATTCGAATAGTGTCGCCTCGTGCTTCGATCCAGCAGCCAACACCGTTACCTCCGTCCCTCTATAATTGACGATTATTGCGCGTAGCCACAGGCCCCTTTTGCGGTTAAAGAGATGGTATCGTTGGCCATATTGGAGCTAGTCTCCTGCATTAGTATACGTGTATAAAAGGTTATTCTCGGAAACGTACGGCTGGAGCTTGGTTCATGAGGGTTTCCACCTCGACGTCAAACACCGTTTCGTCACTGTTGTCTTGGAATGTCACTCCAGGGTGGCCACAATCATAGAGCGCCTGGATCTCGGAAGGGACTTGTATATCTAATCAAATTAAGTTTTAAACTCTCTTTACTCAGTCAGGGGTGTACTTACTCGCCCAGTTGGCTAAATCGAGTGCAAGCGACCCGCTCTCCTTAAAATCGTTCAGTATTCGTTTGGCGCACCACTGAGCAACATCCTGGCCTGTTGGGTTTAGAAAAAAAACATTCAAATAGTATCCAGGGGGCCATACGAATTCTCCACGCGTGATGGAGGGCTAGATACTCTGGCTTGTTCTTGTCTGCGCGTTGCCATGCATCTAGTCCAAGCCGGAAGCTGACCGTCTCCTTCCTCCTCGTGATTTCAGCTAGTTTGTTGAACTTTTCAGGGATATCTTCATAGCCGGGTATCTGGCCGATGAAGTCCCCGAGGGGGATAACGTCTTCTTGCTAGAGGACATTAGCACTGAGATAGTTGAGCGATCGTTGGGATCCACCAAGATACCTTGATGACACGCCAGTTTTGGAACGGAGCGACCGTCGGACACCATGCGGGAGGGCTATACTGGACCATTAGCACTTATTTCCTATACTCAGGACAAACTGAAAGAGAGACTTGCTTGTTGCAGAGAAGCGTATCACCGCCTTGGGCTTGCCAGGAGATGGAACCCTGCAAACTCCGCCTGGAATCGCTATCTTGCGACGACTGTGCATTCTCCTGGCCGTAACTGGCACTACCAGACACATACTTGGATGAGAATGAGGCGCTAGCTGAGATCTTCATCTGCTTTGTAGCTTCACTTTCGCTACTGGTGCCCAGCGTGCTGAACTTTTCGGATGAAAAGAGTCTCCCACCGAGCTCGATGCGCGTGGCGAAAAAGTGGCCTGTCAGTGTCAGTGTCAAGGCTGCGGGATGCTATTCAACATCGCATCCATACCGTATTTGTGGTGAAAGGCAATCAGAGAGTTGACATCCTTGACCCTGATAAGATCCTGGCCACATTCATCTGACAGTTCCAAACTGTACTCATCCAAATGCAAGACCACTCGAGGGAACTAACGGGGTCTGGTTAACTGTGGGCTGAAAATGTACATTGTTATATGCAAACTTACATTGTAGGTGATGTTCATTGTGCTGCTTTCCGCCGTACTCTGCTTGCTCAATGCGTTACTCTCACTCGAGGAGAAGCCCGCACTGACAGCGGCGCTGAACCCAAACGCTCCTCCTTCACTATGAATTGTCAGCACATGCATCCAGGGCGATATGGAGATCGTTAGGATTTAACGGTGGACTTCATGCATACATGGAAGCCTCTGCCTCAATGGAGGAGAAGGAGCTGCGAGCCATGGCCGTTGCCACGGACGATTTCGTCTCAAACGTATCCACGTACGAATCATCGGCCACAACAAATCGGGGGATGTGGAATTGTTGCTACTCAATTAGCGTCGCTCTTGTCATTCTCGCCATCAAGAAACAAACAGGAGAGATTACCTCAACCTTGACCTCCGAATCCGAAATTTCATGCGGCTGGAACTTCCTTGGTTTCAAGACAAAGGCTACACCTGTTAAACCATATCCAATTGTGATAGATATCCATTGTCTTTAACATACCACTGTATGGCGCACGTTCGATCCGACGAAATTTGAGCTTTTTACTTCCATCTGAAGCTCGGCCCAGATTGGAAAACACCAATCGCGAAGCGCTTGTGAGGCTGTTGTTGCGGATGACAACATTCCATTCTTTCTCCGACATATCGGCGGGGTTCCTAGTAGAGTTAGTAAACCAGAGATATATCGAATGTTGGTAAAGTCCTACGTAGCATTTTCAGCAGCCTCCGCCACCCAGTCAGCCTTGCTGAAGGAACTGGTGAGCTGGTCCAGTGAGGTTTTGAGCAGTTCCGGTTTATCCTGAATGGTCAGCTCAATGCATATATGTATGCCGTGCGTCGGGAACATACACTGAGTTTGAGATTGAGCTCCTTCTTAAGAGTCTCCTTGACCTCGTCACTCAAGCCCGTGGTGGTCTTCTTGCTCTTGAGATAGATGTAGACATTGTATGTATTCTTCTTTTTCTTGTCATCGCCCTCCTTCTCCTAGAGGTAGTGAGCACTTCACGTCCCAAAACATCGTTAGAATCAGCAACAAACCTCTCCTCCCTCCGATAGAATATCCACATAATCCGAGAAGGACGAAGCATCATTGACTAGCGCTCCGGAAGCTGAGCAAAATGAACATCCAACCCTATGACACAATCAGCGCCATGCAATAAACATCGACAGGAAACATACTTGCTGGCATCCAAGCCACCATTCTTAATAAGCACTGATCGCACGTCGGACAGCTTCTTGTCACTTATGTCAAACTCTTTCAACGGAACACAGTTCGTCCGCTTGACTGTGTCATCTTTGGCATTGAAAAGGTTGACGTCGAGGCGGATGGTAGTCATGGTGTCAATTCCCAAGGATAACAGAATCGAGAGCTGGGTTGATGACTAGGGGAAAGGAGCGATTCCCATTGAGGGGGACTATCTAGAATTTAAATGTTTAGTCTCAGCTGCCAGCTAGCCAAAGGACATTGACCCCCCGACGCTGTTCAGCTGGAAAATTAGTGCGAATCCACAAACCATAGCCAAACCCCACTATATAGATGTCTCGTGCAGCTAATTGGTCCCGCCAAGATGCAGATCTACCGCGAGTGCCAAATCTCGCAAAAGGAGTGAGTTGTCTGAACTCTACACGATCCACTCTGGTCTATGATAGGTCAAATAACCCATTCTTCACTTCCGGTGGCTTGCCGTGCGCTTGTGTATTCCAAATAGCCTGGTGAAGATTAATATAGGCGTATATAAGGGGATAGATTTGTATCGTGTATCCTACCCAAGCACCTTGATGGACCAAACGAGTCTCGGCACTCGAAGTCACCGACATGTTCCACATATGTATATAATTGAAGCTAGAGCTGCTCATCTTGGCAGACGTACAACACAAGATTTAAAGATATCCTAATTTCCCTCGTCGTCCCAAGCGGTAATACCTGTTCTCTTTCCTTTTTGTTCTCAGTCTCTTTCATTTACTTCTGCAAGCTTCCCTATCGCCATTCTTTTTGTGATGTTCTATTATGAGACAGACGGCCTGTCTTTACTCATGGAGAGTGCTCTCCCTATAGAAGTATTTTCTTTAAAACTGGTTCCAGAAATATGAGGTCATATAGATATCGCTGTGTGTGTTTGTATATCTGTGTTGTCGAAAGAATATCCAATACTAGTCGATTTCGATGATACAAATAGAGTTATATCAGAAGAAGAGATCATTTGGTTGAAGGTGAGATTCCTAGTATGGATAGTATAAGGTACGGAGTATGATCTTCTTTTCTGGATATTGGAAATATAAATCTAAAAATATATTAGATGCGCCAGAAATATATTAAAGAGGTGAGGATGAAGATAGTGTTCCTGACGTTTAGCGCTAGATTATTAGGTTGGATGGAGTAGAACGGAATCCCGCATCTCAATACCTTATAGGCTGTGTTATGTACTCAAGGTGGGTCTCGATCTACTTGAGCACGTTTTATCTTGATGCCTACAACATCTACACTCGATATCTACACTCTATAAGAAGACGTACTCGTTGTTGCCTGATGTCGCAAAGCGTCATCCGGCTGTCGTGCCGCACATTAAACGGCTCCAGGCAAGTATATTTGAGCCGTTGGTTTTCCTTCTCAATCCAAACGAACGCACACCACCTCTCCTTTTGTAACTCCCTTTAACAATTGAAGCACAATGACTGCTCCCGGCTACACCATTCGTCCAGTCGAACTCTCCGACATCCCTGCACTGGGGGACCTTCTGTACACCTCCAAGCTGGCCCTAACCATCAACCGCCTGTTGTTCAAAAGCTGGCCGAATGAAGCTGCCCAACGGCAAAACTACCTCAACGCTGTGGAAGGCATCGAGGTGGATTCTCCCGAATCTCGGACTGTAGTTGACAACGTCTCGGGCGAAGTCATCGGCCATCTCGCCCTTAACCGCCGCCGACCGGTAGAGGATTCCAAACAGCCCCGAGGGGGGATCAAAAGGCAGGATCTCCCTGACTTCTTTACTCCTGAAGTCGTGACAGCGGTGCTGGAAGCAGTCGCCAAGATCAACCAAGAAGTAGAGGCCATCGACCGCTATGGCAAGTGTCTGCCTTCGTTCGTGTCCCGATAGTCCCTTCAGAAGATGGCTAACATGCTTCTGTCTCTATCAGAGATTACGTACATCGTTGTCAAGTCCGAGTATCGTCATCGTGGCGTTGGAAAGGACTTGATGGACTATGTCTTCGACAAGGCCCGGTCTGCGGACGTGGCTGTTGCCGTTAGCGCCGAGCCGCAGATCTATGAGTTTTTCAAAAAGTGTGGCTTCCATGATACGAAGCATGTGGATTTTGATCTTGCTCAATGGGCCCCACCACACTCGGGCTTTGGGAATTTCAGGTTGGCCGGGTTAATATGGCACCCTTGAGTAGAAAATGATGTTCTACAAACAATTCTCATGAAAGATGGTCTTTTGCATTTCTCCGGTGGCTCTCAATGATCTTGGGGAAACTTGGCTTCTCTTTCAAGCCTTCATGCCAAGAGACACTAAGCCCTACCAGTGATCTGAACGGAACAATAATCTTGCGTTCATGAACTGGAACGCGTAGTGGACTGAATTATTTCGTGACAGGGACTGTGTCTCGTAATTGTATCCTTAAGCCTTGGGTTAGGCATGTTCGATGCCTTTGCGAGTTGAACTGAATGATAGGAGCTGTGTTGTATACTTTCCGTTGTTCTTCGTCTGGGACCGATCTCGCCCGGGAGGGTGGCGAAGGCTTACGTACGGGAATGGGGACTGTGGCTGTGGTGATATTCCTCCGGCGTGTCGATCGGAACAGAGTTCCATGATGCGTTGTTCAATGTTTACCCCTCAACGCCGTCAACCCCTCCATGGAAACACTCCCGGGAGGCTCAACCCCTTATCCTGCAAGCCCCCTGGAAATGGTCAAATGGCGTGAGAATGGCTCCATCTTTGCCTTGTGGACGCTCAGCTGAGCAGCGGAGACGACTCGCGATCCAATAAAAGAGGATACCCATGGCCAGGTGGATATCGTCGTGGCCCGGTGGTGGATACAATCGTATCTCACCGCAACGATCGATTTTTGAGCTGGGCGCCGATCCATTCGGTTAGAGTGTTTTGGGATCTATCTAAATAGCCCCCCGTCTGCCTCTCCCCCTCCTCTCCTTTTTTTTCTCTCCTCATCCATCACACCTTTTTCTGAGTCTTTCCCCAACACACCACTCTCATCCACACAAAATGTCTTGGTTCGGTACGTTGTCCTTGCTCCCAGTCTTCCCTTGCTCTCAATGATGTACTGACGGTAGTTGCTGTCTACTAGACGAAGACCACGATAACGCCCAGGCCCACCGCGAGGTCAACGAGACCGAAGGCCACAAGGGACACTGGTCTCACGACCTCATCGGTGGTGCCGCCGCCTACGAGGCCATGAAGGCCTACAACGACCACCAGGAGAAGAACGGTATATTCAATCCCCTGTCTTGGAGTCAATTGTTCACATGGGCTGATTTTATTGTTCCCGTGTATAGGAAAGCCCCAGAGCCATTCTCAGGCTAAGGAGATTGCCGCTGGTTTCGCCGCCGCTGCTGTCACTCAGCTCTTCGAGACCAAGGGTCTCGACTTCATTGATCGCCAGAAGGCTGAGTACCACGCCAAGAAGCAGGCTGAGGAGGCTATTGAGCGTCACTACTAAGGGTTGACTTTTACCTGTTGTTAACCGTCCATGATGTATATACCATGAATACCAATTAACGTTTTAACGCGAAGTGTTCTCTCTTCTGTCTCTTCCTCACCCTAGATCGTAAATCCCAAAATCGTTTCATCACGCTATTTTCTTCACCTTGTCCACCACATTCTCTGTTCTCAATGATACTCGAGGATGAGTTTCATGGAGGAACGGAAATCAAGGTAGGTACATCCAACGGCTGTAGCTACGTGTGTCTGTTGTGGGGTTCTCGGATGTGAACAAACCCAGTCACGAGTACACCGAGAAGTGAGGCCTCGAGTTTCGACTCTTCTGAATTACCGGGTCTGAAGTATGTTCGAATGTTTATCCGGGAAGGCTGTTGTTGGTTTTCCGAATTGGGACATGGAGAGAGGGGTCACGGGTAGCATTGGGGCCACGTGGTTCTCCTTCCTTGGGTTCCTCGATTGAGTCCCCCTGAATGCGGCCAGAAATATGAGAGGTGAATTCGAGAAGGATAGTACTAGTAGAAGATATGCCCTCCGGTCTTTCTAGCCGTCATACAACTCTTGATCGGCTCACAACATCAAGATCAAAGAGTGAAAAGCGGGACATATCTCCCGTCCGTTACGCCGCTAAAGTCAGCCATGCACGATGATTGTTATGGCCACTCGGAGCCGGAACCAGTACTCGGTGCACTGAGGACCTTGAAACGCGGTGGGGATTCTGTAGTTGATTGGACCGTTCGGCAGTATTGTTATGCAATCAATTGACCGCCTGGCTTACCGCCTATTGTTTCCGTCCCAACCGGAATCATCATTTCCCCCCACCTCGTCAGTTAGTTGGTGTGCTGCGCAGTGGCCGCTATAGTCCTCCGTAGATGGGTGTGGCTGTGCTTCTCTTCAACGTTCAAGCATCTCGCGCAATTGTCTGAGAGAATACCTGTTTGATTTGCGCGGATTACTTAGAAGAAGGTGTTATATGACGCCATTCTACAGCACTTATTAGGATTCTGCTTTGGAATTACAGCTTGCAAGTGGAATAACTGATAGCGTGCTGAAATTGGCAGTATCTCGAAGCTGGAGCACATCCGAAATACTCAGGACTATCAGGCTATTCAAGATGCAACAGTACTTTATTTAGCTGGATCGACTGTGCTTGACGCAGATCCAGTCAAAGTGCTATTTGACTAAGACGGAGCTGCTGTAGATTCTGATGTATCCACATTTTTGTCAAGACCGTTCAGGGTGCGCGGACCCCAGAACTCTTCCTGGAGTAAGAAGTCGCGATATCTGCCTTTGATGTCGTGGGTACGTGGGTACTAATAACGACATTGATCCATGCTCCTCCCAAAGCGTCACTGGAGACTCTTTGAAACTCAGAGAATGCGGATTGAATTTCCGAAACAATCAGTAAATGAATGCACACTCTGATATCCAATCATTGCAACATATGAGACTAGGCTACCCTATGAACATGCAGATTTAGTGGCCTATCAAATGCCTGTCCGAGCACTGACACTCATGGTTGGAGCCATTCCCATCCCATGTTTGAGTATGGACGTACTTAAGTACGGACGGTCCAGAATCGAAGTGACTGGACTTGAGTGGGCCTACAAAACTGAACATCTGCAGCACCCTACGTCATTTTATATAGTTGAAGCATCTTTGTCACGCCTCCATCGTCCGCACATGTACGCCTTAGCACCAGTATGTTAGCTTGGATGCTAACATGTCAAACTAAGTATCATATACATGCCGCGGATCCCCATATGATAGATTGACGACCAGTCCACTTCGCGATCTCATACAACCTAACCATGATCAACTAGAGGCCACCTGTCGGGTCTCCGTGGTCTGTGGCAGTTCGTGAACCTCGTACACCGCTTGGTTAGGCGGATTCGACGGCAACTCACTCAGCTCATCGTGGAGCGAAGATGCTGGCTTTTTGGGAAAGCCGGGGACCGGTTGTGAATCTGAAGCTGGGCCAGGCTGTCTTTTCTGCCGTCGGTGCCGAAGCACCCACCAAATAAACGCCACGATTAGAGCCACACCGGCCACACAACCAATAACAGACCCGCGATTGCGCCTTTATGATCAGCAGCAGAGCTGGATCCATAATCAGATGAAGACGTTTCGGACGTATAAGTCGCGGATGCAGAGGCGGACCTAGAGGCCGACGTCGAAGTTGCTCTGTGGGGGTATGTGAAAGTCGTGGACGAGATAGCTATGCCGAGCCTTTATCAGAGCTTTCAACCAAGACATGATATGCCCAAAAACTTACTTTGCGCTCTTGGAGTCAGGATCGTTCGTGACACTCCCTCGGGCTGCTTTGCGCAGCCGAAACTGTTGTTGTGCTTCTTTTCTGAGGTCCAAAACCCCTGGTGGTCTTCCTTGCAGCAGAAGAGGCCATAATGTTCATACAAGGCCCAGCTTGCGTTGGCGCAATGAGGTATCTGAAAAACGGGTTCCCGGCAATCCGCCTCGTTCGGGCAACAGATTGGATTTTTGTTGTTATCTGATACCTTGCAGGTGCTGTCCGACGGACAGCAGGCAACCAAACCATCCCAGGTGGCCGTACATTGTTTGGTGCTCTCAGGGCAGCTACCGTTCACACGAAGGGAGTACCCAAACGGAGGATCGTAGGACACCATTATCACAGGAGTGGAAAGGGGGCGGAAGCGATAAGAAGAGGAACGTGTACTATCCGGCACTATGGTATCAGCGGTGAGCTCGTTGCTGTTTGATGAAATTCAGCCGAGAAAAGTTTCGCTCTGATGCGCATAAGCTATTCACAAACGAAGTCGAAAAACGTTGAGAGTGATCAGTAAACCGACACCTTGACAGCTAGATGCAACTCTCAGGCGAGAGGGAAGGCACAGACGAACAGCCACCTCCACAAACGGACACAAACATATGTTAGGCCATGGCACTGCTCTAAGGATGCTGTTTATGCCAGCAAAGCAATCAGCCGATCTACGAAGAAATCTCACTATATGATGATTGGGTGAGGTTGTAAGTGTTGGACAAAGCCCAGCCCTGATCTACATTTTCCAATCATAGATCCAACTTTTACGCGGAGGCAAACCTCATACGTTGGGAACTTGCATCACTGTACAGGGATACCCTCGCTGTGGTCCTGGACGTTTGCAATCTGATTGGCAAGTCGCATAATAATAGCCTGTGAAGTTGCCTGGTTGACCATCATAACCAGCAATGCCCACATATTGAAAAACAACAACCCAGCAACAGAGAAAGAATTTTCGACCCACTATGCACCGCTGATTGGTGGGAAGCCAGCTTGACAACCGACTGTTATTTTGGATCCCCAATCAAGGTCATCGATTGCAGCGAGCAAGGAGAAGAGGAATGACACTACGAGTCGTATATTACTGATTGGAACGCCCATCCGACTCCTGGATTCTTCTGAAGGGCCGCTTCGGCGAACAGCACATAAGTATGGCCAGCGGAAAATCGCATATTAGGCCATGTGTGCCCATATGGCCATTTTCTAGTTTCTATTTTTCAAACCCGGAAATGTTGATCATAAACTCGCGGAATTCCTCTTCAATTCCAGCGAACTAAGTTCCTGTATCATCCAGGCTCAGCTCTTAGCCGTTTGACACCATTTCATTATCTGTCCTAAAGCACATGACAAGTGAAGCTATCAGGCCGTTATGCAGTTTTCTGTGGAATCTAACGTCTATGCGTTGCAGGAGAACTTTCCATGCCATCAACGCGATGCACTCGAGCGTAGATCTATGCCAATCGCCATTACAAGTTCGCATACGACTAAAAGAAGAGCACCACCAATGTTCAACAGTCCATGCTATGAAATCTAGAATTACAGTCAAGTTTTCTCGATAGGATACCCACCATGGAGGCCGACTCTCCTTTCAAGATTCGAGCAAGTGTCGAAAGCCCTCTCAGCCACTGCTATTCTGGTCGACTATAAACAATAAATATTAGCAATCGCATCTACAACTGACGAGATTATGGTTTGTCTTGCTCTGCTCCGGCCTTTGACAGTGAACAAGAATGTCCAATTTATTCATGTTCTAACCATAACTACGGTCTTTCAAATTCAGATGCGCTCATCTCCACCTTACCCTGTATGCTCGCCCAGAGAGCTCTCTATCCAGAGATCAGATGATGGCCCAAAGAGCTTGAAATACTTACCCTGGTGCACGACTTAATATTTTACCTCATCTTTAGATCAAGAGCTTGTCTCTCCCTCTCAGCGGATACGAAGAACGTCGGACTAGGAATATCAGTTTCATTTTTTCCAGATTAGAGAAATACTTTCGCCCTCATCTTTCGCCGGAACAGCTATTCTCAGGAAATGATACCCGACAACCTTCAATCTATATTTAATGACGACTCTCTTGACGGATGTCGAACCGAAAATGTTCTGCCTCTGGACCAAGGTCCTGGTCCAACTAACATCATAACAATCGTCTTATCATCTGAACTCCTTGAAAGTACAACTGGACGTCGAACTGACACAATAATTTTCTGTTCTACGTTCGGCACATTCCGGCGAGGACAGACTTTGGGCTAAATGGAACGAAGATCTATATAAACTGCGGGGAGATGTCTGCGATCGAGGATGCACGTAAGATATATATATCCACAACCAACTATGGCTAAAGTGCAAGATGTACCATGTGGCCCATGCTGTGTAGATCGACCGCAGTGCTCAGGGACGCGACTGAACGAGCTAAGTGATGTCGATCGCATCAGTGTCGATCTCATTGCTTAACACGGGTGATTTACTCCCGATGTCAATCTAAGATGAACATCGTGGAGAAGATGCCCATGACTCGCTTGGCACACGGGATATCATTCCGTGGCCTAACAGCCATACCTGCTGTACTGTGTGTAGAATATATATTGTCAACTCAATCAGAACAATATATGGCTCTAAGGCCGTGCCTTGCACACTCTATGCCTAACACCCATTGACTGAGCTCTCTCACATCACACAATGCACAGCAATCGATCCACAAACAGTCATCTAACACTTTCCATGGGTAATGCCCGAACAGCGACCTATTTCACAGGAACTTCCCTTGGACACGAACAACTAGCCAAGTCACCTACCAACTCTAGCAACAGTGACAGTAAGCTAATTCAAAACACGAGATTAACTGTAGCATACACCCACGTAGAGTAGCTAGAACTCGTGACTATCAAATCCAAGGCCAACATTACTATAAGAATGGAGAGAGAGAGAGCTGTGACAGTCTCTCCAAAGCCACAGTCAGAGAACACTCTGCTTTTCGCAAGACCCAGATACCAACGGTCACATACGAGCACATCATAACCCAACAACCAGGTATCTGATAAAGCTATCATCCAGAATCCCCAGTAACGTCCTAACTACATATATCTCCATCCGTTACTACGTAGACCCATCGGCCACCTCAATGTCATAGCATACCTACACAGTCCCATACGATCACTAAGAAAACGAGCAAAGATCAGTCCAGTCACCAGTCCGACGCAAGCAATATGCACCCCCCTTCCTTCCGACATCTGCACCAGTCTCCCAATAAGAACATGACACCCGTCACCTCCCAACGCAAGGACACTATTCTATTCTAAGAATATAACAGCACACAGTAGAGCAACGCAACGCAAAGTAAAGTAAAGCACAAAGAGAACATGCCTCTAGACCAATGAGTAACCACCCCACGTCATTGAACCCCGAACAAAAACCCAAGAAACATAATCCAAGAACATAATCCAAGAACACACACACACACACAGACCGCTCTCCACCCAATCCCATACATTAGTACATACATATATACATCACAATCTCAGCCCCTCCAAAGCCAGAAACGTGCCCCTCACAAACCACCTTCCACCCCCCTTACATGACCGCCCCTTTCCAGAACCCCCCCTTTCTTTTAATTCCCCTTTGTTTTAGAGTTCCTGGATCTAGATGTTCTAACTTTATCTTTGGAATTGCCGAAGCACGAGCGGGGGTTTTTTGGTTCTTTAATTTTAATTTAGAGAGAGTCGGCAGCTGGGAGGCCCAATTTTCTGCGGATGCGTACCGAGTACCGAACTTGGGCTCGGGGGTTCCACTCTTCTTCCTTTTTTTCCCCCCTCCCCTTCCCCCTGAAGAATGATCGCTTGTACCTGAGGAACCGGACTTGTGGTTCCAGTGGTGAAAGTGAAACGAGGAGGGTTTGGTCCCTGGCGTTGGTGGGATGGGATGGGATTTTTCCCTTTGGGGTGGGGGAGGTTTATAACCTATACTTAGTATCTTGCTTTTGTGTTGTGTACTCTGTGTAGTAGAGATCGATAGGAGGGAGACTAGGTACTAAGTAGTAAGTAGTATGGTTATTTGTCTAGTGTAAAGAATACATTCTATGTTCTACCTTCTTGATGGTTCCCCGTTCTCGGAGATGTTCGCTCAGGAAGCCGAAGTGTATCCGACAATATGAATACATGCTAGGCAGAAAACAATAGGAAACCCCATTCGTCTAGAACCCTGCTCCGATGTTCCGGGGAAAATCTTTGGCAAGGGACATACATGAAACACTGGCGGTGTTGCTATATTGAGAAACAAGATAGATAATAGGGCAAGGAGAGGTGAAAAGAAAATTCTGACCCGGCGGAACTGCTCCAGCCACAGCCGGGCTGCTCCACAACCAACCAACACAGCCAAAAAAGATGAACCGAAGCGCCTCAAGCCTCCGACTGGGAAGCCTCCACCATAGCAGGCCAGCTATTCGGCCCAAAGCGCTCGTAGAACTCACCGAAAAACTCGGTAACAAAAAGGTACGCCGCTCGATGACGTAGTTCGAGCACCAATGGGCGCAGGTCATCCGGTGGTACCGAGTGTATCACATATCCACTTCGGGTCCGATCATAATGGAGCTGGCGAAGGCGACGCTGGACTTCATTCGACCGATAGCGAGAATAAGGTTCCTCGCAAGTCAGGATCAGATCGGGCCCTATATTAGCCAGGGGCGCGTCTGGCGGTGTTCCTGGGTTTTGAATGACCTGAAAATCCTCAAGATGATCAATATCGGGTTCGCCTTTTTCCGGGAGCTGTGTGATGCGGTTCTGATTGGGTGTGGCCGGCTTGTCTTTGCTTTTACTGATCGGCAGGGGTGGAGGCAGGGGATCTCACCAATCGATTACCTAAAAGCCCCGGCGTGCTTTTGATGCGATCTTGGAGGATGGCCAGGTACTCGACCGCTTCGGACGAGGAGAGGTTCGGGGTCTCGTCGAGAAAGATCCCTCCCACGCCCAGACCAGTTCTCACGTAATCCTCAGCCCAGGTGGCATACGTCTGAACCTCTTCCAAGGCTTCTGGGAGGGGCTTCTTGCAGTAGTCTATGGCGATGTAACCTACGGTGACCACGTTCGCATAGCGGTTCAATCGGGCGACTTCACGCACGTAGTTGGCATCGGGCAATGGGGAGGCACCCGGTCCACTGTTGGGATTGACAATGACCAGAAAATGCACGTCGGGATTAGCGGATATGCTACAGGCACCGAGTTAGATTTAGCTTTGTTTCTTTCTTTTTTTTTGCCTCTCGGTGATTTGATGTATAATTTTCTTTTTCTTTTTTTTTTCTTTTTTTTTTCTTTTGGCACGCCAACGGAAAAGGCGTTCGCGCGCGGTGGAGGTCGAACGACGACGGGGAGAAAAGGCAAAAGAAAAGGGAAAAGGGCAATCCTTACGAGTCATAGAGTGGATCCCAGGTTGTTGGCGACAGTGGATAAATGTACAGAGGAACGATAATGCCTGATGGAGGTGGCGTCTGCACGGTCGTTGGCGAGGTTTCGCTTTGCTTTTGTTTCTTGAGCTGTCGGTCGCTCAGTCGCATTTTGATCCTTTTTATAGGATCCCACGCCTGCAGCGCCTGCATTTCGTCGCCGTGTCGCCCTGACTCAAGGGGGGGAAGTGGAAGTACTCAATCGTGCTGACCGAGTCGCTCTGGCGTCAGAAAGGCCACGGATTCCAAATCAAGGCGGGATCCCCGGTAGTACTTGTAGAAAAAGTGGTATTTAAAGTTGACGCCAGCCAGCTCAGCCATGGCGCGGGTGGAGTTTAGAGCAGCATTAGTTCACGGATCGATAAATTAGAACCTCTGGGTACCTTTTGCGCTCGACGAATCGCGACGATCAACAGACCTCCGCAGCATGTGTCGACTGAAGAAGTTATACACCGTACAATATATGCAGGGCTACGGAACATATCGAAGGCTTGCGCTGAGTACCCAGGCTTCATCCGACAGCTCCGCGACTATCGCGATGACAGATCACGCCGGGTCGGTACAACATGGCAGAGTTTTCATTAAGCTTCAAAGATTGTCGTAGAAAACCTCCGACAGGCTTGCGATCATCAGGCAACCTGCACGACTGACGGTGTCACTTCTGCGGCTTATCCTTTCTCCCAGTGTCAACCACAGACGGGATGCTCAGTGTGTACTTCTGCCTGGTGCAAGTGCCGTCAATTTCGCCTTCCGAGTCAGAACGCATGATTGAATTTTCTTTTCTTTTCTTTTTTTTTTTCTTTTTCAATAGCGTCAAACTATCGGCAGCGTCGCTCTCAGTTGCCGTCATTTGCGCCCGGAATTACGGGTGATTATCAGACTACCCTCAAGCCAGATGACCATATAAATCATGTCCCACATAGAACAACATAGCCGACATCGTGGTGGAAGATGTGAGGCCGCTGAATCGCGTCTGTAGATTGTGCTTTCACTAACTGCGATCGGGGAGGATCCGCCGACTACTTCAATAGTGCTCGAATCCTCAGTCGGTGTGATGGAGCTTTGGCTGGAGACTTCAAAGAGGCAGAATCTCGGCTGCCGCCCGAAGCAGAGACCGGTCGGCTCATGTTCTCGTAGAGTTAAGATCCAAAGCCAAGTTGTGGAAGTGATCAGCGCATGCTAGCCGAGTCCGGTTCGGATCTATTTCTTTAGATCGGTCAGCATCCGTTCTTTCTCGTGGTGGAGCACAGCCGAGAATGAGGAACTTTCACTCATAACCGTGGATCTGAGGTGTATATTTGAACGTAGAGTATTTCTGAAGAGTATCAGAACAGTGGGGGTTTCTCCGATTGTCTCAGAAAGTAGAATCGGTTTTCAAAAGAGAACCACTATCGCATGTAGGGCAACAGGTCCGCCAGCCATCCGTGCACCAGCCTTGATATCCCCTGAAGGGTCTTGGAAGCGGTAGAACAATTGGAAATTAGACAGCCCAATTCGAGAAATAGAAAAGTCTCTCCTCACAATACGTGACTCAGCATGCATGGTGATCATGTAATATGTTTCAAAAAAAAAAAATTCTTGATGTCCTAGCACCGTTACTATTTTTGCCTTTCAATGGGTGGGTTGGATGTGGTTGGCCTGTCGGCGAACAGCTCAGAAATTAACAAGGAGGAACGCCAAAGCAAAAGCCATGGGACCACAATGATAGTGTCATTTTTGTCAGGTACCAAGTCGCCATCCCGAACTTCAATAGTAACAGTAGTGGTGATAAACTAGCCTCAACCCGACCTAGTGAGACTTGCATTCAGCCCTTGTTAGCGCCATTCTCCACTGCCACCAATATGATGGTGAGAATTTGGGAACATGGATCGGCAGAGCAAGAAAATTGGTTCGGCTTCGGATTCCCCACCTGTTGTGCTGGGTTCCTGAAGTCTCAGCTGCCCATAAAGTACATATACAGCGTATGTAGGTCTCATTAAGAATCCAACTCCCACAACGGTTCAAGTAAGGGACGAGCTTGTCGGTCAGTGTCGCTATCAAGTCATTCAAATAAAACGCCACGGATCCCCGCTCCGGAATGTGTGGTACCTGTCACTAAGTTCGTTTCTATTCGCTCATTTGGTTCAGTGCGCCCGTTTCGCCATGGGCGCAAACTACTTGGGCCTGGATGCGGTAGGATGGCATTCGATGGTGAAGACCTGGTGGTCGCAGGTAAGACTCCCCGTCATGTGATGCCTCAGCCCTAACATAGACATGGCCTGCTCACTGACTGGGATCACTAGGTTCTCGCCGCTTGTTTGCTGGCCACCATTGTCGTGGGGGGCCTATATATTCTCTTCCTGGTTGGAAGGAAAGTCCGCAAGAATTGGCGTGTACGTATCTATTGTCCCCAACCCGAGGCACTCCCATGGCACTGGATCATGTTAACATAGTAACAGAAAAGGGATCAGCTATCAGAGGTGCCCGCGGTTATTTCGCGGTGTCTCGATCGCCTATCAAAAGAGGCACAGCCACTCTCGACCGAGAGATATGCAGGAAAAGAGCTTCAATCGTTCGGTGTCTTCCTTGGTAGTCTATCAAATCCACGAACCCCTGATCAGACCCAGTTGTTGCAACAGTGGGATATCACTGTTCTCGACCCTAGGCAAGAGGGTGTTTTGAGTTCTCTCGCAGGCCAGCCGACAGCTTCCTATACCTTAGGCCGGCTGGATGTGCGGGCGCTTGCGAACTCCGAGCGCGCTTCGGATAACGATGAGGTGATTCAGGCTTTGGAGGTTGTTGCCCAGACATTGCAAACAAATTTCAAGCAGTCACAGGATGCACAGTCGCCATTCAACGGAGTTCTTCTCGCTGAATTCATCGCGCACTTCCAACCCGTTGTATTGAACAAATTGGTAAACTATATAAACCAGCTCGGGCTCGACGTCTGGCTCGAGCTTTCGCCGCCAGCTTATATTACCGAGCAGCAATGTCGCGACATCGATATGCTGCCTATCAGGGGCTTCATCTATCGTAACGCCACGATCTCGCCTGATGGTAGCAGCCGCAACTACTTCCAGATGACTGAAATGCGGACAGCTATGCGCGCTATCGCCTCTCAAAAGTCTATGGGTGGTACCACTCTCGCGATGTGGGAGACTATCGATAATGGAGCGGAGTTACCGCACGACGTGATTCACCGGACATTCAAATGGTGCAACTACAGGAGTGCAATGTGCTGGATTGCGCCTCGTGACGCATTGACCGACGCAACAATTGCAACGGCAACGGCTATCACTGAGGAGCCACTGGGAGCCCTGATGTGGATGAAAGGCAACGAGGTCACTGAAGCGCATAATGTGTGGAGGTCCAATGGAAAGGTGAGATTATCAACCCAGAGCCTAGAAAGGGAACAAGCTGACATTAGGTAACAGGTCCGCCAAAGTCCCTGCGACCATGACTCTCTGTACGAGTCTTTACATTCCTTCATACCTAATCTGCCGGCGAAACTATCGTTGTCGCCGGCTAGGGAACTTCCAGTCGATAGTCAAGAGACCGTAATCGACGAGCTCTATTGGCCATCGCAGCAGGAATCTACAGCGAACCCTTTCTCCGTTGCTCCCGCTGGAACCGACTATACGGGCCTGGGATGCTTCCAACTCGGACTCGACTGCACATCTCGAGACATTACCGATTTAGTTGATGCCCAGCGACATGTCAGAGATCTTGGTCTCCTTGAACGTATCAAGCTAGAGGAACTTCACGGTATCGCTGGACAATTGCGTGCTCTCCAAAAGTCCACGACGACAGCCTCCCGGGTGTTCAACGCCGTGAAAGAACTGCTTAGCATTCTCAGCTCATGCAATGGTAGTGAAACCGATACCCTCAAAGTCTATGTGGGGTTACATTCTGGATTTCGCACGCGCCTGGAAACACAGGTCTGGGGTTTGTATGATGTCGATACCGCTTCAGGTACTCTCAACCTCAATGTCTATCTCTCAGCGAAGGTACAGGACCGTACTAGCACCCTCCTACACACTTTCATGTCTAGTAGGGGATATTCTAGGTTTGAATGTCTTATGGCCGAGGTCGCGCTAGCAACACAGACCGGAAGTCTGTCAGAGACCTGGGGATTGCCACCACGCATCATGCACGACATCGAGCAACTTACACCGGCTGAGGCAATCCTATTTTTGCGCCGTCTTACAACCTCTGAATGCTCGAGGTCTTCGACATTGTCTCAGAAAGTACGCGCTTTTTGTGAATATCAACTCGTAGAGGCTCCGAGCCTGACCCAGCTCAGAGCTTTGACCTCTACTGCGTATCTGAGCGGCGAGATTTCCGCAGAGGACCTTGTTAATTCACGGCTTGCATGGTATCGGGAACAAGGGTGCTGGTGCCCTGATTCTACAGTCGCTGTAGCTCTTTTCAAGGAGGTCGATGCCCGGCTACCGGCAATCCTTATCAATGGGGAGCTTCAGGTTCTGACCCAGCTCGCTACGGTCGCCCATACCGTCTTGCAAACGGATCAAATTGATGCTGCTGCCGACTTGTTTGCTTTGTCCGTCTTTTGTGCATTCCGCAAGCTCGCCCTCAATGAAGTCTATCTGGAAGTCCTCGACCGGAACCCCTTGCCCAACAATGATATGCTTCAGGCCTCTTGTTTCGCTGAGATGTACGCGGTGGGTGCGCGCTGTGACATGTACTTCGATATGGCCCCAATCCTTCTCGGAAAGATCCTCGCCACCCGGTACCGTGCATACTACGACGTCCACCAACCACCTCGCCGGGACGACATGTTCACTGAGCTCCCGACAGCGTATTCATCTATGGATATTGACTTGGATCCGAAGGGTGAGCAAGAAAGACCGTCGGTATTCTATCAATTCACATTCCTGGGCATCTTCGCTGTTCCAGCCCTAATCGATATCGTCATGCTCACGACCGTTGGCCGAGGTCTTTACCTGACCACATTCATGAGTAACATCGATAAGTCGTTGGCGACACTCGCATTGATGATCGCTCTTATCCTTTGTGGTGGATTCGGCGGCTGGATCAGTTCTGGAGGAAACTACTACCTCAACGCCATGGCTTTCCCAGCCATGAGTATGTTCGTGCTTACCCGATTTGTGGCCGGACTGACAGTGGCCTCGTTGGTGGTATCTTTGCAATGATCGGTATCGGTGTCATCAGTGGATTTGAGCACGGCGTCGTCTTCTTTTTGTACTTCGTGATGCTGTCTACTTTCCTCATGACTCTCTCTGCACTCTCGGTGTACCAGATTCCGGGATTCCAGTTCCAATCGGTTAGTGATTCCTGCCTTCGCCCGACATTCTTTTTAGGAGCCATACATATCCGTATCGTTACTAACCAGGGATTTCGACATTTAGGGAAGGAACATTATCATGATGTGCATTCCAATCCTGTTCATCTCGCCGATTATCACGATCTGGGTCCCTCACGACACATGGGTTTACATTCCTTTCCTATGGCTCTTCTTGATATGTCTTTTGATCGGTGCTCGTATAAATATTGCTCAGTGGAATACGTGGTACCTCAACATACCTCGGATTACGGACAGTGATGTCGTCAATTGGTACCTCGAGACAAGGCCAAGCGACAGTCTGCCAGCGGATGTGAAAGATATCGGGACCACCCCAATCCCACGACAAGCACTTCAAGAAAGTGTCGAGAAGGAACGGAACCGCCACTTCTGGACCAGGTCGACTGCGGACCCCTTAGTCCGGAAGCTGGCCGATGGATATTCCGCGACGATGTTCCTTCTCGTATGGTACTGCAGGTATTCGAGAACCAAGCTGCCACGGCCTTACAGCCCGACCTGGAATCTTCAATTGAAAGCGTCTGTCGACACCATGAGCGACATGCAGAGGGGTGTCAAGCTCCACAACGCCTTTCTCCACTGGCGTCACACCGGCGGTGACGTGTGGTGCGGCATCCTGTACTTTATCCTCGCTCTCGTCGACAAGTGGACCGCGCTGCTGACAGGGCAGTCGGTTGTGGGTCTGTCCAACGTGTCTAGCATGAAATATCGGCTTGCTACCGGGTTTGGCTTGGCTTACTATCTTATGGGCGCAGTCATCCTTGATGCTGTGTCGCAGCCCCTATGGACATTGGCCAATAAAACCACCTCTCGTGCCATTGCGTCCCTGGAGTCCCTCCAAGAGGCCAAGCTAGACAATATCCGGACACGACGAGCACTCTATTGGAAGTCACTTGCCAAGTTCTTCTTCCTCCATATTTGGGGCGCCGCCATCTCCCTGGCCCTCATGTGGGCTTTCGAAGCTACTAGCGATGCTACCATCATGTACTTGGCTTATGTTGGATCATACTCCGGTCTGCTCTGGTATCAGTACAACAAGGTATTCACAGGGATTCGTGCGGTCATACCCCTCGCCATAGGCACGGTTATTGGTTTCGTTTTGGGTATTCTCCTTCATGTCTACGTACCAGCTTTCGCATACAGCAGTGTCGTCAGTTTGGCTTCAGGCACATGGTCCGCTGCTTTTATCTCGTTATACATGACCGACATATGGATGCCGCTCTGGAAAAAGGAGACAGACACGCAGCCTACTTCCAAAAGCGATCCGCCCTTTTATACCTGCAGCGCTCTCGACCCTCGCCCCGACATTTCTCAGACGACGTTAAGCCAAACGTTTGACAGTATTTCCGCCTTGCCAGCCGACGTGCGATACAAACTCCAGCCATCAGAGCATCCAGGTGTCGAAGTCATGCAAATCCTTCAATCCCAGTGCAGCTCTAAGAAGTCAGGTCGTGTAGAAGCAGCGTTTCGCCTAGCAGGCGGGCTGGTAGGTCTAGCAGCAGAGCTCTGGCAGCGGGGCGAAACCACTATCGAATTAGTTTCCGCTGGTCACCTTCTCCAAAATGAGCAGAAGATCAGGGCCATCAGCCGCAGCACCGCCAGCGGGTTACACATCTTTGTTATCATCGGTCCTGATCTCGTCGGGAATGAATGGGTGTCGGACATTCGCCGGAACTGCAGAATGATCGCCGAGGCGGTGGTTCAGGCTACCGCTGAATGTAAATCGGGTCTATCGCATAACCAGTCTCTGGTAGCAGAGCTACTAGTTGCAGAGGACAGAGATGGGGAACAAGTTCCCGTACCAGAAGGTGTCAAGCGTCAGCTTGAGACTTCCACAGGGGAGCGGATGCGAGCTATCGGCTATTGGCAAAGGACGTTACTCCGTCATCTACTGCTCGGTTTGGAGTGCGACCTTGATTGGGATAAACTGCCAAAGGAAGTCCGGTCGTTCCTCTTGAAAAGATGCTGCGGGCAGTCCTGCCGCCTTTCTTCCACGCAAATGGACTGGATCCGGTCAAGATTCACCGCCGATGAGTCTGTGGGTATCGAAGAATTCATTTCGCGATGCAATCTTGGGGCAGAATTAGCCGTTTCTGTGACCTCTTTCACTGAAGCACTGCCGCCGAACCATGATCTCCAGCATGCCTTCCCAGACTCATGGTCGCTGGGTGCGCAACTCCCAGCAAGCCCGAACTTGTCAGATCTAGGGGTTCTTGGAACAGTCAAGCTTGTACTGTCTCGCCTCCATGAGAAAATAAAAACATGCATCAAGTTCACCGTGATCTCTCTCGTTGCGGATCCGGAATACCAACGGGAGCTGAACTACATCCTTCGTGGGCAACCTTTGATTTTTGCCTGGCCGGCAGCCTGATTCTCAATACTGTCTGGACGATCTGCAAAGCTCTTCAGCAGGTTATTCTTCCTTTGGTTTTGGTATGTATTGCTTAGCTTGCATTTATGATTCAGCTAACAGGGTAATAGCTACATGGTCGTGAGAAGGTCTCCACACTCTATAAGAATATGAAGGGCAGAAAGACGGTTATTGAGAGCAACCGCGTCATAACTGAGAGCTTGACCGGTCCTTCAACAGGTTTCCTCGAGACTATGCCGGATGGTACCTTGCGACTCTACCAGTACGCTGGGCGACACGAGGAGAAACCAAGCGACAATAAGCAATTGAGGGCCATTAACACTTACAAGGACAAGCTCATTCTCGAGAAGAGGGAGGAATACCATAATGGATCACTGAACAACGAATTCATCTACGATTATACATCGGTCAATGATGGTCGAGACGCAAAACTGCCATCAAGACGTCAATGCATCAGCGGTGTACTCAGCGGGCAAATCGTTCAGTATGATAAAAGAGGCCATATCATGTCTGGGTCGACCATGCGAAACGGAGATCCGGTGTCGTTTGAATTTTCGTATCGGAAGCATGCCAAGTTTGATGATGAGCTGCTGCGAGCCGAGTTCGTTTCCGGGCATAACAAAATCCAAGTTTCCTGGTGCATGCCGCCTCACAATTGTCCGGAAAAGTTGAACAAATGGATCCCATATCCTCGTGTCACGGAGGCCACGTTCACGAAAGAATCAGACGTTTACAATGCGAAATGGACATATGATCACAAGTTCCATCCTATCATTTCCACCACTCTCAACGGCGAGTCTTCGCCAACACCGCCCATGATAGAACATGACTGGTACAATGTTTTGCAGAAGCCAAAGAACTGCAGCTTCCTGGATGATAACCCGCTCTTCTCATTCTCTTCTATTAAAGCCGGGTTTGTCCCGCGCATGTTTGGTTTCAATATCAAGCGGTATCCTATTCCCACATCGCTCGCTAGAGAGCATCTCTGGAAATCTTGGAAAAGCGGAAAGGAATTCGACGCGGCTACCACGAGATGGATGGACGAGCTTCTCTTGAGGTCTGATCGAGTGCTCAGCCCTTACTGGAGACGCAGAGACTTTGGCAAACTCGAGGCTGCTGGGAAGTACCTCGATGCCTTTGGAGACACCGTACTGGCGAGAGTTGATATGGATCCGGAAGTCAGTTCCTGGACATGGCTCGCTTTCAAGATGAGCGACTTGTATAGCTTCGGACAGGGTGGTGATGCGCGTATCAACACCAGAACACTCTCTACGCAGCTACAGGATAGCGACAGCCAACTCCATGTTCTCGCGCTGGATACCGCGACTTGGCCTAACGAACCCGGTGGTGTCTCGGCTTGCCGACGGGATCTGGTCAACAACCTCAAAAGTACTAGATGGCACATCCTTGCTGAAGCCGCTACCGATTTCGGTGTCCCCCGGTTCCAGATTGAGAGAAATGTGCAATCGCTTGCCGTCGTGCCTCAGTGGGGTCTGGACTTCCTCAACCCTACTCACGGGGTCTTCCAGAGTTCGCTCGATTCGGAGGTTGCGGAAAGGTCATTCGACACGCGTACAAGTGATATTGAACAGAACTTCATACCCATTCTCACCAGTCTAGTCCGCTGCGCTCGTACCACTCAACACACCCGCCAGCATATTGAAGAAGCTACGAAGGCTTTGGTTGATTTGAACACCTACTTCGAGTCTTCCCGAAACTGGAACGATGTCTGGATGAGTGACGTGGTCAAGGATGCATGGAGAAAATTATGGTTGGCCGACGATCTTGACGGTATCATGCCCATATCCCAATGGAGAACTGCGGAACATCCGACGTTGGTGCAACTCGACACCGCGTTGGATATGTGGCATCGCTGTAAGTTCCTTTCCTCGGCATCCCTGCCTGGACATATGTACTGACTCCGTCTCGTAGATCTGTTTGTCTTCTCTGTTCCTGTCCCAGAAAAGATTCCCGATATTTTCCAGGCGTCACATCATTTCACAGGTGCCACCTATGGTGTCCTCTGTAAGATCAAGCGGAAGTGTGCCCTGCATGTGTGGGATCACTCCATCAGCTTGAGAGAAATGGTCACGTTCTTGTCTGGCGCCATCTCATTCGACTCTTCCTTCGTCAACACCACTCTCATTCACCTGGGACGTCTGTCATGTGTCTTGGCTGAACATCACGCGGACGTGGTCTTGCCGTGCGCCGCGTTTTTCAATCCCGGCTGGGAGGCCGAGTTGGGAACTTGTGAAGGTGCCCTGCAGCACCGTCGGGCATTCGAGCGAAAGATCGACCCGGTGGTCAACGGAATCACTGATATGGAGAAATACAAACCCATCGAGACCATCAAGACTGAAACGCCTACTGTGGTCATGCTGTCCCATATCCGGTACGTTCTCTTCCAGTTACTGAAAGTATCTCAATTCAGTGTGCTAACGCCTGCCGTAGATATGTGAAGGATATCAAGACAGCCGTCATGGCCACTGACGTGATTGTCAACCGATGGGGCTTCAAGGACTATCGCCTCCACATTTACGGAGACATGGAAAAGACGCCTGGCTACTCCTCGGAATGTCAAGAGATCATCGCGTCCAAGGGGCTTCGCGATCATGTGGTTCTCAAGGGTCTGGGTAACCCATCGGTGGTGCTCCAGGATGCTGTAAGTCCCCTTTGAGGCTGATTGAAAGTCTGTTGATGTGCTAACGCTCTCTTAGTGGCTGTTCATGAATTCTTCCATCTCCGAAGGTCTGCCCTTGGCTATGGGTGAGGCCGCCTTGACAGGCGTTCCCGTTGTCTGCACCGACGTGGGCGCGTCGTTCTGCGTTGTCACAGACAGTAAAACTGGAAAGCGGTTCAGTGAGGTCGTCGCACCCAATGACGCCCTATCCCTTGCTCAAGCGCAAATCCGAATTCTCGCCTTGGTGGATGAATGGGCTCCGTTTGCCGAAGATGAGGAGGGCTATCAGCCGCCGAAGTTGTCCCTGCGCCCCAGTCCCGAAGAGGTGGAGCAGATCACGAAGAGAATGTACGCCAAAACGGAGCAGCGACGTCGACTCGGTATGCGCGGGCGCGATAACGTGCTCAACAATTTCTCCGAGCACCGGTATCTCCGGGAACACGAACAAATGCTCTGGATTGGCAAGTACCAAAGCCGCAGCTTCATCGCTCGTGAGCGGATGGCCTCGTCGAACAGCTCGTTGGGCTTCACCAAGGAGCGCATACATTCATCGCAGCCGTCCCGAACGTGGTGGGGAAAGCTACGACGTGGACAAGGGCCCGTCAGTTCGACTGCGTCGAGCTCGGATTCCGTTTGATCGGGTTGTACAGAGTAAATATGGTTGGTATAGAGTTCACGATATATGTTTATAGACATAGACTAGTACATATTGTTAATATTAATGCTAATGGTATATACCATGCTTTCTGTTTACCGGTGGTGAGATGGTTAGTACGCTGGTTTTTACTATGTATCTTCCAAACGGCTTCGTGGTGGGAGAGAGAGCAAGTCCTTAGCAAAGGTCACATCTTCTGATTGAACGTATTAAGAAGCATGTCTCTGGTAGATCCACAAGAACACCATTCCCGCTTTTCTTGGTTATATGAACCTTCCTACTCCTTAGTATATGTGAAAAAGCACGATTATTTATACTCCTACATGGATGCGATGACTTGATAGTATGCCGGACTATCATTCCCGTCTTCACTCTTTAGTCCACAGGACTTGGGTATCTAACTGGTGGGTGGTACTGCTACTGGGTCCAAATAATCTCCCTCCCCCCCCCCCAAAAAGGGGCTGCACCAGCGGGTGGATATCAGGATTTGGACACGTCCGCGATGATTTTGTAGGTCGCGGCGTGGATGCTTAAAGGTCGGGTCCGTGGGTATACGGCCCCAACGATTTGATGATTGGGTCCATACTGCGGGTAAATCCCTTCGGACAACTCGATGAAATGCGCCTGCGGTCGGGCCTCATGCAGCATGTCGAGGATCCGCTCGCTCCAGAGACCCGAGCATTCGTCGTCAATGAGCTGGAAATACGGGTTGAGAGGCGGGCAGGCCGAGTCCAGATCGATGAACCGAATCCGCATGTAATTTAGTACTTGGTGGGTATTGAGACTATGTACCGCGCCGGTGATCAATCGCTCGAACGCCCGAATAAAGTGGAGGTTGGTGATACGTGAAAAGTCATCCAGGAATGGCAGTCCGGGGCTGGTCCGCTTGTCACGGCAGCAATTCTTGACTACCAGGTCTAGTGATCTCAATTTCGAAGACTTGGGTGGCCAGGCCGACAAAGAGTTTCGCGTAGGCTGGAACAGACACGCGCAGACCTTGCCGGTGAACGCGAGGGATTCCAGGTGTGGTATGACATCTCCGAGCAAGCGACATAGATGCGGAGGGTTAACTCCGTCGCCCAGCCAGCTGGTCTGCGTGCTGTCCTTGCTGTAGAATCCCTCCAGGCTAATATTAAGGTGTACAATGGAGGGTGACAGTCGTCGTAGGATTTCTGCAATGGTATGGTACCCTTCGACCTTGGGTTTCGCGTACGCACAATGCCACTCTTGCAAACCCGGCAGCGCTTCGGACAAGTTGCGCCAATGACGGTGATGGCGCATAATGTTCCAAGCTCCGCGCATGACAAACGAGCGAATCTCCGGTAGTGTCGGCAGTTGCTGGCCGGAGAATCCACACGGATCATTCCTGAAGTGGCGTACCATCGGCGGCTTCTTGCAGTGGCCTCCTTCGAGGGTCAAAATGCGTGCCTCCGGAAAGCATGACTGGACGTGAAAAAAGATCTCCTCTAGCGTGGCATTATGACTCGCGTAGTGGTATTTGTAGTCGTTTCCATGGTTGGTGTCGGAATCGTCCCATACCATGGTCGTGTGCGCGACGGCTCCATCCACATCTTCATCATTGTATCGCCGGGCGGGAATTTGAGAGCTATTCTTGATGGCTCGCTTACCCCATACCGGGATCCATATCTCGACATGGCGGACATAGCTGGCTAGATGGGGATGCGCTCGAAACCAACGTGCCGATTCGGATAGCTCCTCGGTCGTGCCTTTGATTTTGACTAGTCACGGTCAGACAGATTCTCCGAGCAACGACAGCTTCATCGACTCACTATGTCTGTAGATCCGGTCCTGCACTAACGATCTCCACACCGGCGAGATTAACGCGAGATTCGACAAAACTTTCCGTCGCGGGTGACGGAGAGATTTATTCCAACTTCGACCGGGTGATTTCCCGGGACCGGTCGTTGTGAAAGCTGCCGCTCGTTCGCCGAAGAGGTAATCAAGGATGACTTCGTGGATTTCGACAGGGAGGTTTTGAAACTGCAATTCGGGCCGGAGGGGACGTGGTGCATCCACAATGATCTCCACATCTTCCATATCGGTATCCACAGGGGACTGGCAGGCCAGCTGGCCAGGCACTGCGGGAGGGGCGATGGGGCCATCGGGCAGCTGGAACTCTGCGCTCGTACTTCGAGTTGATTTGGCATATGGGATCGATGACGAGACAGAGGCTCTCGCCAGCGAATTTACAGAAACGGGTCGGGGGGGAGGGATGGCGGAAATCATGAGGGGCGACGAGGGCGGCAGGACGACCAACTCGGACGGCATCGAGCAAGACCAAGAACGCCAACCCGTAGGAATCAGATGACCGTCAAATCGTAAATGTAAGTTTAAAGGGATACGAAACAACTAAAAACCAAAAAATGACCTCAGTGTCAGCATAGACTGGGTTTAGAATCAATTTGGGATGGTACAGAATGTAAAGAAGGGAAGAGAAAAATAAAAATATAAAAAAAATACAGGAAGAAAAAACAACCGCGCAGGAAAAGAGAGGCTGAGACATACTGCAAGTCAGAGAAGCAACCAGTGGTGAAATCGAGTGTGGTTAGAGATTCGGTATGCGATAAATGGGTTCAAATACCAGTATGGATGGATGGTTTGGACTGCAAGCGAATGACGACCCGACCAAGTTTAAGAGCAGCCAGCGTGGTCCATGACGGACAGGCGAGGGGAAAGATGCGTGTCTAACTGTCAGTCGTCGCGCAGGAAGGAGGGGGAGAAGAAGCCAAAAGATTGATGTAAATCAGGCCGTTAGGCAGCTCCCCAGGTGATGTGATGACGATGGTGTATAAAAAAGATAAGAATAATCACTCAATAAAGTGGAAGTGGAGACCAGATGATGAGGGAACCGCCGTCAATCAAAACGATCGCATCCGGGGGCGGAGAAGAGGAAGGAAGGGAATTAATTTTCGTTTTTTGTTTTTTTTTTTGATGTCTTCCCCAGTGAGTGAGTGAATGATTCTGAGTAAAATAGAAATAGAAGAAGACGACGACCGGAGGAGAGGAGAAAAGCAACGGGGGACCGCGTAAGAAATGAAACAACAGGGGATTCGAAGTAAATTTATTGGCAATGTAAATTAACTTCTGATTGTTTGGCGTTGCTTTTTTTTTTTTTTTTTCCAGGTTTCTTTACTGATTTTGGTTTCCATCTGTTCAGGTGGACAATTATTGAGACCAACAGAGGATTGAAAAGTTACCGTATTGTGATACTGCCAATACCACTTAAAGTTTGCCAAAAACCACCAGTCCATCAGAAAAAGGGACTAATCGGATGTTATTCCAGTTTCATGATGATCATGCCATGTTGATGGCAGATGAGATACTAATACAAGATGATCAGGATTTCCCTGTTTCGTACCAATTTGCGTTCATATCCCAGTCGGTTCGACCTGATCGGTGGCCTGCTCATATATTTTGGGTTTAACGAGGCTGATTTCCATGGCGATCCTCATCAACCAATGAGAGCGTCAGGCCAGGTGACCTGGTGATTCTGAGTATCGATCGCAGCGTATCGGAATCGTAATCTTTCTTAATAATAGACTTCCTCTCCGCGACAAATTTCGATCCATGCCTGATGAAGCAATCAAGGGCTTCATATTATTCACGATTATTTACATCCCCTCACCGAGCCGAAACAAAGATTGGGTCTCCATCTGGAGTCATCTTTCCAAAAGAAGGAAAGAAACCAAGTAGCTACCGAATCATGCTTATCGATATAGAGTATAAGGGGATAAGGTTCGACTGGTCTTCCCTCAGCGAACAAATAAGCTTCTTCAAGAGTTGATAACGGACGAGGACCCACCAAGATATATATCTGTTCCCCATACGTTCCGAAGGAGAGCATGATCTTGGACTAGTCCTTATACAGACGATTATACCGCTCGAGCCGTACATTTACGAAAACATGTTCTCCTACATCATCTCGGACTTCATCATACCGGGCGCGGATACTTTCCAGGGTCGAGGGCCTCAATGTTCTTCTCTATTTCCATAACAGAAAACCGCTCAAGATAGCAATTCTAGTAATCCACAGCACAGCCAAAACACAAGACACAAAAAAATTAAGATAACAGCAGATATACAAGTTCCTGAATCAGAACACCAACGCAAATTCTATATACAAGTCTATAAACCGTCTATCGTGAAATCTATGACCTCGTCTCATTGCCATTTTCCACATGTTCCTCCTCGCTCTTATCAAAGTTTCCCTCCTTGATCTCGAACCGGAATCGCTCTTCCTCCTCCTTCATCTGAGCCTTGACCGTCTCGTTTGCCCGCCAGACCGGCTTGACCTCGAACAGGCGGTCCACAACTTCCAGTGGGACACCGCTGGTCTCGGGAATGAGGAAGAAGGTAAAGAAGAAGGCAAGGAAGGAGAGGGCGGCGAAGAAGAAGTACACTCCATAGCCCATCGCGTCGAACATTTGCTCCGTAAAGCGGGAAACAAGGAAGTTGAAGAGCCAGTTGCTGGCGGTGGTTGCGGCCTGGGCCAGGGACCGGATGTTGGGATCGAAGAATTCCTATCCATCGTTGATTAGTGACGGTACTTTTAGTGAATGGGGCTAGTAAAGACCTACCGAATTAATAACCCACGGGGTGCCGTTCCATGTCGGCGTGTAGACCGCCGTCCACAGGTAGAAGAAGAAGATGGCTGCAATACCACCACCGTTCAAGTGATCGGTGGGGTTTTTCTCAGGCTCGACGACGCAGATGTAGGCACCGATAACCCACATACAGATCGAGCCCGTGATGGCACCGATCAGGAGAAGCTTCCGTCTTCCTAACTGGTCGACCAGGAACAGAAGCCACACGAATGTCATGACGGCTTTCACCACACCAAACAAACCCGTGGTGATTCCGATCGTATCGCTGTTAACACCGATACTGGTGAAGATGGTCGGACTGTAGTAGTTGATCGCGTTGATCCCGGATCCATTCTGCCAGAAGAACAGCATACAGCCCAGGAAAAGACGCCACATGATCCTTGGGCGGGTGCCAACGGACTGGAAGGGCTTCCAGAATCCAATACCAATGGTGGTTGCTTGCTCTTCAAGCGCTTGGTCGATAGCTGCCACCTCCTCGGTGATATAAATATCGGTCTCGTTCAATTGACGAATCCAGCAGAGATTGGCCATTGCTTCCTGTCGGCGGTCCTTGAGGAAGAGCCACCGAGGGGATTCCTTAGTCCATAAGGCACCAGCAAAGAGCAGTCCAGACGGAATCAGCTGAATGGCAAATGGGATCAACCATTGCGTGTGGCCAGGTTCCATGTTTTTTTGGACACCGTACTACGCCGGTTTAAAGTCAGTATTGTGTACATGATTTCGAGAGAAAAAGGGGAAAGGCAGAGTGTCAATAAAAGGCGGGAGACTACTCACGTTGATCCAAAATCCCACCATACCACCAATCTGCCAGCCGAGCTCATAGAGACCGACAAGTCGCCCACGAATGGCCGGAGGGGCCAGTTCCGAGAGATAGATCGGGACAATGTTCGAGGCGACACCGGTGCCGAGTCCATTCAGGACTCGTCCAGCATACATAATTCCAAGACCGCGGGAGTGATTGGCACCTAGCTGGAGACCGGCTCCTAACGTAAAGATAGCTGAAGCGATCACCAAGCTCCATTTGCGTCCCAGAAAATGTCCAACGGGGTAGGTGAAGAGGGCACCAAAGAAAGCCCCAGCAATGAACAGCGAGACAATATTCTCGCTGATCAAGTCCACCTGCGACGATGACAATTTGTCCAAGCCGAATTCCTTTTTGAAGGAGTCCAGTGTGATGGTCGTACCGATAAAGGCACTAGTATAACCAATCATATTGGAACCACATGATGCAATGGCTGCGAGCAGATACACTCGCCAGTTGTAGACATTCTTAGGAGTCGGACGGTCCTCAACGACGTTAAGAATGCCCATCGCGATGGACGGAGGGTCGAAGAATCAAACGAAGTAGAGAAGGTGACAGAGAGGATTCTTCGACACGAGGCGACCTAGGATGAACAAGGGGTAGGTGGTTTTGAGCACAACAAAAGTGAGAGCTGGGTCCGGGCCTGGAGAGCATCTTAGAAACTAAATAGACGTGGATGGGCTCTTCACTCGAACTATCTCCACAAGTTCCGTCAAGGTCCGCCCCAGACTGGGGCGCCATGGGGTTGAATCTAGGAGCTGCGATACGTCGAGAACTGCGATGGACGCCTTCTCCATGCAAAAATTTGCTTTGCCACGGTCCCCCGGTGAGTGGGAACGTGGGCCGGGGAAGCGTTTTCCCCAGACTGTTTTGCCTCTTAGCCGCGAAGAAATGTTCAGCCGCAGCGATTAAACTTATATTCTCTACATAGAAGCGATGTGTGGCCTTCTAGCTGATCCACATTTTCCCACAACTTTTCCCGATAAGTGGCCTTAGACGACGTCTTCATCCGTGTGGGAGGTCGGCCGTCACAGCATTGGAGGCGACTATTCCGAGCTCGAGTCCCGAATTCATTCATCCACCATGATGAGGGCTTTCCCGGTGAACCACCGTCTTCACCGCATGGGGCAGTTTACAGGGGTAGCTTCGGCTTGGCGGGGGGCGAGAGCACAGTCCAGAGTTGAGAAACAACTTCCTTGGTAAGCGAATATCCCGGGATCGCTTATCCGGGATTTCGTTGAGTAAAAAACCGTCAACCCGATGCCGGGGAGAGCGCTTAACCCCACTGCAGGTCGGAACCTTGCCGAGATGCCGTTGATCTCGGTGCTTTAAAAGCTCGACTACACCGCACACCGGTGTATTAAAAGGGACGAAGAACTCATCCATGGGATTCTGTTTACCCCAAAATCCAATACCCGAGGCGATAGGAATAGGGGGTATATGCAGGAGGGTATAAGCGGATTAATGTATAGGTTGCCGTGCATAGACTCCGTAAGAGGGAGACAGGAGTAGAAGCTTTCGCCAACCTGGGACAAGAATGGGCGTTAAACTGTATCGGGGCTCGGCAAAGGTCACGCGCCGGAATCAATGACTCGTTCTTTTTCAGATAAGCCATTGTGGAGACCTCATTGGCTGGCAATTTATTTTACAGTTATGTAACACAAAAAGCTACCTCTTCTCAACAAGTATCCGATATGGTGTAATGGCTAACATCGCTGTCTCTCACACAGCAGCTCGGGGTTCGATTCCCCGTATCGGAATTCCTTTTTTCTTTCGTTTTTGCCTACCGATACAACAGACTACTAGTATGTGCATACTCAACGCCATTGACATGAAGGCGAGCAAGAAAAGCCCGCACCACGACATGCACCAAATATTTCTCTATTTACACATCACTGTTAAATCCATCTTGATTGAATGTCAGATTACCATGGACCCGTCCATCATTGCCTCGTCCAGACCCGGGGCACGGTGGGTGAATATACATATTGATGAAGAGGCGACGAACCCTCTTGGGCTCCTTGGGAGGATAATATGCGAGACGATGTCTGCGTGTCGTATATGCATCACATACGGTCGGCCCTCGTTACTTCACATGATATTCCTTTCGAAGTTGGAGTAAGGACAATGTTTCTTCCCTTTTCTACTGCCGGACGCGGGCGAGGAGCGTCATATATATATCCCTCTTCCACCACAGACACTGAACAAGGCCTTGTCAATAAAGCTGCTTTAAGATGTCCAAGTATTGCTCAACTGGTTATAATAGTGAGGCTAAAGCACCTTGCAGGAACCAAGGTTGGTAAGGTGTATTGAGAAGTCGCTCATAGTCAAAACGTATCTCTCATATTGAACCAAAAGGCTCCATTGATCTAGCAGAATTACAAATCACTCCCTCCCGGAAAAGATTATTAGAAGGAAGGATGGGGTGGCTCAAGGTCTCAACCGGCTCCCTCCTTGATCCCACATTCCCCTTACTTCACACCACCTAATTGATAGGATGCCACTATCAGTCCTGGCTAGGGCATTGGACAGCCCAAGTTGCACATTAGTCAGCATGCAATGTTTTGAACACTCCTTCTGCGCCTCCCTTGTCATGTGTAGGCGCTGGTAAAGAAGAACAACAATGTGGCTGGTGCTACGGCTCTCAACAGCATGATAAAGATAAATAAACAACCACTCCCATAAACATCAGGAGTACTCCGTAATCGCTTACAAGGTAAGTTTAAACTAACAAAACCCAATCTACCAACGATAAAGTTATTTAAAATAAGCGCGGCCCTAGCGACATTTCTTCCTTCGGCTCGGGCATACTGACTTGGGTCTGACACAGATATAGGTTACTCCTACCCGGAGTCCTTTTCCACATACGCACTAAGAACCCAACAAAGTTCCTTAGTACTTTTGTCTGCGCTAAAGTACAGAACTACTGGCGCCCATCGTCATGATATAAAAATCCTCGCGCATGAGTTCGGATACCCACCTTCTGAGGTGGCGACTTTTCCTACGATCCTGATGATAGGGCTAATCGACCCAGCATGAGTGTTGGAAAAAACACCCGGAAGGAATGCTCTCCGAGAATTATGAAAGAGAGCAGTTGATCAACCAATCCTTTCTGTGGATCGTTGTCCTCCCTACGATGTGAATTTTGCTTAGAAGAGAAAGAGGAAGCACGTAAGCAAGGAACGGATGGTCTCTGGAATGTCCGAATTAATGAGCCACCGCCATCAGTAAACAAAACCTCGCAGTTCTGTAAGACATGCACGGGAAGAGAAAGAGCCAGGAGCATGGTCTAGAATTGGCATGCTCGTATAACCGTCACCATGCTAGGAGCACCGAGGGGAGCTGCGAAGCCCAGTGGAACTTATATGTCAGAGGAACGCGATCGGATCGATCTAGTCGTGGAGCATGCTGGCCCAGAAGACACTTGCACTCGCTGGTATCCCATCCTTGATGACCTGGCAGATTTTGGATCCAACGACGATAGTAGCTACCTGTAAACTGTCATGTAAGAGCGAGATCTTACAGCCGCTGGGGCTGTGAGGAGAATGGGGGGAGGGGAGTTGGGCGATCTTTACTACGGGCAGCTCATTGGATGAAGCCATCTTGTCTCAACCCGCAATGTTGTCCAGGACGTTAGTTGTTGTTCATACAAACTCTCCGCCGGTGGCGATATCAGGAAACTCAATCTCATCTAAACTTCCATTCGGGAACTCTTACCACCAGAAGACCGTTAGAGAAGATTAACTAGCGTTTACACGTGCTTAAGCGAAGCTTCGCTTGCCTCATCGCTTGCGTATACTTCAGGGAAGCTCAGACCGTCCCGCTGTGGCTGATTCATGGGCCCGGATTTAAGATGCGCCTGGCTCGCATGATTTGTTTCTGAGACGCCTCGAGTCATGCATACATATGAGGATGCTAGTATGTGTAAATCAGGTAAGAGACCACCGCTGAGGCAGGAGGCCTCAAGAAGGATTCACTCATGTCTCAAGGAAGAACTCTCCCTTTCCACAACCATCACCCAAAAGTACCAAGATCACCATCGCGACCTCAGACGGATTCCGGCGTTGTTGACATAAAGGTACCCGTAGCGTGTGGACAGATACATAGTCACTACTATCGTTTTCTCCTCGAGAAGGCTAGCTCGACTAGGTGGAAGGGCCTAAGCGCCAGCAACATATTTGCTGTGGTATGCTACCCTACAATTTCCCGGTTTTGCTTTGATTGCTATTGCATATCCGTGACGATGACCTGAGCTTACTGAGGGCTAAGAATGCAGATCTTTTTCTGGCTCATACGATGCATGGACGAGTGTACAATGGAGTTATTGTTCCTGTAAAATCTGAAGGATCGAGATGTGAGCATACTCCGGGAATTGTGTCCAGCTAATGGGAGTGGTCATGGAATGTGTTCTTTCAAAAATAATCGATCGACTCCTTTGTTGTTAGTCTGAGATGCCGATTAACCCATGCAGGTATGTTTGTACTACATGAACGGAGGGTGACAAGGAGATGGCCGTGCCTCAGGTGCCGAGTAGTAAAATCGATAAGAACCTAAATAAGAACCTAAATTTATGAAGCGCACAAGCGAACGAGCGATGGATGACCCGGACCAGTATTACTGGCCCCGTGTATCCAAGCACAGGGCTATATTTGTACCGCAAGATGCGCCTTGTGAGTCTCGATCAAATGCAGTACTCGCAATATGTCTTCCGTTGATGACGAGCCAATTGTTGAAGATATATTCGTTCCGCAATCTCTTTTGGATGCAGTACCAAGAAGGGAGGACGTGGTTGAAGGGACCCATAGGGCTACTTCTCCTTCCGACCATCCTAGCAACCAAACTGACGAGATTCACATTCAGAAGAGAAACCACCGTACAATAAGCTGGGCGACTAAGGCGGCATCGGACAAACGGGAAGCTCCACAGCGCGCAGCAAGTTACTCATCGGGGTTGGAGGAGGGAAGGAAGCCGTTGCATCAACTCCAAGGTCCAAGTGTTCCTCCACATATTCGGGGTATAACTTCTAGCCTTCACCTTAACTGGAGTGATTCGATACATCCACCGCAGTTTCTGGAGCAGGATCCCTTTCCGGACAGCAGTGCACGAGAGCCATTGATAGAACAAAACCGCCGGTCACCTTTGCCATTTCCGCGACCCGGTAATGTTGCTAGAAAGACACTGGGCGACAGTGTGAAGAGTGTGTACAACAGGGCAAACCTTGTCAAAATTAAACACCAACGCAAGTACTGGATCCGGCTGTTGATCGAATACTCAGCATATGCCATCGGGGTTGTTTTTATATACTTCGTTCTTGTCGGATTGCCATTGTGGAACGGTGCTGTATACTGGCTCTATTGGGTGATGCAACATAAGTTCGTATTCGCCGGTGGCTGGGCAATCTTTATCTTTCTGCTTGTCTTGTAAGTTGCCTCTTCCTCTTGATCAGACGGCGGGAGTCCCTCGATGTCAGTAATGTGGCCGTGTGACTCATGAACGGTTCTCATCACAGCTATTCCTTTGCGCCGCTTCTTGTCACCTTTGAGAACGACTTCCCAGGGCCGGATTATTACCAAACCCGACATATTGGCCCAACTGCCCCAGACACTGCTCTTCTGATCCCATGCTATAGGTCTGGTCCCATCATTGGTCGGACTCTCGAGGCTGCGTTGAAAATCTTTCCAGGCTCGCAGATCTATGTGATCGCCAATGGGGACTCCCCCACTCCATTAGACAATACCGAGGAGGTATGCCGAGTCTACGGTGTCAACCATATCTGGTGTCCCGTTGCTCCAAAATAGTCGCCATCTTTATCGGCTGTCATGCAGTCAAATCCTTTCGCCATGTCCTGCTCATCGATGATGATTGCATCCTGCCCCCGCATTTTCCTGTGGTCGTCTCCCGACTAACCGACAAAGTCCGCTGCATTGGGTACACAATCAAATCCGTTGGCCCCAACTCTGCCCTGGGATCATATTGCCAACAGGCACAGGACCTTGAATACAAACTAGCTGGCTTACAGCGGAGTTTCGCGGGACGCATTGGCAGTGCGACCTTCCCCCATGGAGCTATATCCTTATGGCAAAGGACGTTCTTGAAAGAGACTCTCCAGCACCATCCGGGGTTCTCTATTAGTGAGGATTGGTTCATGGGAAACAGTTGCCGGCGGCTCGGAGGAAGAATTCAAATGTGCAGTGCGGTCTTTGTCGAGACTACCACGCCGGCGGCTCTCCTCTTCGTTGATCGCGGCTCAAGGAGAGGCGGCTTCGGCGAAATGACCGTTTTCAAGCAGAGATTTCTGCGGTGGAACTTCTTTGTGGCGAATGGGATCTGGTATAATCTATTGTACCTTTTTGGATCTTGGAGGCTGGGCAAGTGGGAATTGGGTACGAAGCTCTTCGTTATCCAGGAGGTATGTAGCTACCTGCTCATAAAGCTAGGCCCTGCAGCTTCCAGTGGCTAACCTGGAGGATTGAGCAGGTCTATGAGACCCTGCTATACGTGCTCACGCCATTTATACTCCCAATTGCGTTTATCGTCCGCCCTGTGTTCTGTGGTGCTCTCTTGGGCGCAACTGCGGCTTTGTACTTGTTCAATGTCATCATCTTCAACGAGATTCATCTGCGTCTGAAAAACGAGCGGATCGAATGGAATGTTGTTCTCTGGTACTATGTAGGTCATACAATATTCCCTACTGCGCCAGACTTCATGCAGCATGTCTGACGCATTGCAGATGCCTTACAAGATCTTCTTAGGCCTTACAAATGTTGCCAGTTGTTATTATTCACTGTTCAAATATGCACGGTATTTTGCAAAGCGACGTCCCAAACTCACCGAAGACCACAAAGCTGTTGGGATGGTGCTGAGATTGGAGGAGATTGCAGAGAGTCGCCGACGACGCGGCAAATTGGGCAGGAGGATGACTGTCAGATCTCTTGGTGTACGGAAACAAAATGATAGTATCGCTGAAAGTCAAATTTTTCCTGGCCAGGGCAATTATTCTTGACCAGGGAGGCTAGCATAGAAATGTTCTCAAGTTATTGGTACCTGTTTGTGATCTATCGCGTAGCTTGGAGAAAGCTGCTTAGAATATGATCCAGCTCCGCGACATGGGGTATTCTTTCTGATTCGTTTACCTCCGAAAACGAGGATAAGAAAACAGAAGGGAAGAAAACAGCATCACCGCAAGGCATTAGCAAGGATGTTTGAGATCGAGAGCTACGCATCCGGAGTTACAACTTAGTACTACTGCGGTCTTAGTACAAGAAAAGAGCGGTGACTGAGTGAGGTATAAGCGAAGCTGGCTATGTTCGACCATGTTACGGTATAAGGGCTACATCACGACTGGTGTTGCGGCCACCAATAACGTACCCCTACCTCCTGCGGCGGAAGCGAAAGCGAAGTTCATCATCACTGTCAGAGTCGCGCTCCTCTCGAGACCGTTTCTGGCTTCGAGGGGCTGCCGGCTCTGACTCTGTCCGAGCAAGAGATTGAGATCGCGACTCTCCAGTGTCTTGCTCACTTGCAGGAGGCTCCCGACGATTTTCCGCCTGACTATTGTCGGCAGATTTGCGACTGCTAACCCAGTAGTGCTCACCGATGCCGAAGGCCTTGCGTGTCACTTCTTCAAGAGGCACAATAACTGTCTGTATCCTATGGCGAGGTCGGTTGCGATCGCTTTTCTTGCGAAACTTTTTGAAATTCTTCCGTCCATTCCATCGCTCATCCCACCGGCTGTCCTCATCAGCAATCCTTCGGGTCGGTATTTCCATCTCTTCCACAATAGCAAGTCCTCTTAAATTCTCAATATCTTTGAGAGAGTTCTGGAGCTCAGCCTCTTCTTCCTCTCGGCGTTGACGTTGGGCATCTTCCTCGGCCTCTCGATGTTGCCGAGCTGCCTCGAGCACGTCTAACTTCTGACGTTTGGGTTGATGTACTTCCTCCTTGGGATGTGATATTGAATCATCCATGGATCTCTGAACAGTCTCAGCGCGACGGCGTTTCATCGCATTAGCTCCAGGAAGAAGTTGAGAGAGCACGTCTTCTTCTTCCTGTAGATTGCTGCGCGGTTGTGTCTGTTGCCCAGACGAAGACCCCATATCCATAGCCGGCAACGAATCCACAATAATATTGTCGTCATCTGGAGGATGAGCAGGGATGGCATTAATGTCGAACCCATCATCAAAAGTTTTCATTTTGCTGACAAAGCTACGGACGCGCGGGCCTTTCGACTTCGACTTTGTCGGCTGACTGTTTCCCCCAACTGCCTGGGAATCGGCGATTTGAATGTGCTCTGTGGGGGTTGAGGCAGGCTGTGATGCTGGCGTCGCACTCACATCCTGGCGTGATGTGGGCTCGGGTGGTGGTAGTGTGCGGCAGAGGGATGAGGCATCGTTTGCTAAGATTGCGTCGAGAAATTCGCTCTGTTCAATCACACGCTGATTGGTTTGAAGTGCAACTTGATTGCTCAGTTCGATTGACCACTCCTCGTAACCTCCCTTGGCACGAAAACGAACAAGAACAACCCCCCCGGGACCATCTCTTTGGCTACCTAGACCATTTTCACCGGCAGCATTCCTCATAAACTGTGATATCTCGTCTGCTGTAGTTACCCCGTTCTCAACATGATACAGCAAAGCCTTCCCGTGCCCATTGGCGATGGGGTCATGCAGATTTTCGAATTGTGCGGGATCGCCAAAGACAAACGAATAACCTTCGAACAGGTTAACACGATCCGGGATTGGTGCGAATGCCTCAGCCGGTCGATGGACAAGTTCTTTGCCGGGCGGTGGAAGATGTTCCGTTGGATCTGGCCATGCAGAGTCGAAGTCGACCTCTAACGGGGACAATGACTCCAGGTTTTCTAGGTCACTCGGCGTCGCAGCGTAGACAAGTGCGTCGATGTATGAGTTCGCAACAATGTATTTCCCATTCACTAGCGCCTGTAAGCCTTTTGCTGTGTTACGTTTGCTCTGTACAACATGTGTCGTTTTGTCAACGATAAATGGGATAATCGTTTTAATATCTAGATATTCGAGGCGTGAACGAACATGGGCTAGCGGATCTTTCGCCTTGAGCTCTTTAGACGAGAAGGAAAATGTAAGCACGGTCGGCTGCCATTTGATCCTAATCAAAACTCCCCATTAGCCGGTGTATGACGGTTTCCGAGGATGCACTCACCGCAGCAAATGTTGATATCTTCCCAACTTGATCGTGTGTTCGTCACCGGTCAGGCTGACACTCTCGCCCCGTATTTGGTTTCCATCCACTGCCGTTCCACATTTGGAATTCTGGTCAACCACTGTAATTTCCGACTTCGCGTAGATTTGAGACTATGCAGGTCAGCGACGAAAAGTATATCAGCAATAACGAGCATTGTACCCCATCGCCATCTTTAGCGTGAGAGACTTCGATCACCATATGCTTTCGCGATATCGAGTTATGCTGTATAGCATGTCGGACTGGGGAATGATCAATTAGTCCAATTAACATGTGGATGGCGACAAGGGGGAAAGTACCGCCATCTTGCCTTATCCGACCAAAGAGATACTTCTGCCCTGGACGCAACCAGACGCGCTTTCCTCGAATATTGTTAGCACATAACTAACATTGCGTTAGCCTGGGCATCACACACCATCCAGGAGATCTCCCTCCGAATCCAGAATCCACATGGGGGGCGGCCAGTGAAGATACGATGCTCCTGTTGTTGCTGTCGGGGCGCAGACGACATTGACCGCACGTGAAGGCCATCGCCCGCAACACGTACTCACGTGATCTGGCGTCTCAATGCTGCCTGCTTGGGAAAGATCGCGTCCCCGGATTCCATATGAATGATCGCGGTGGATCAATGCATGAAATATGGAACCACGGGACGAGACGCCTACTGACGAGGTGCCATCCACCTCAAAGGAAGTGTCCGATGAATGTGCGACATTGAAATATCAGTTATTAGGTCCCTCCTTGACCAAGGCAGGTCAGGATGCGGTTGACCAGCAGAAGGTGAGAACTACACTGGCTTCATGTATCGCTTAGGCGACCACTGAGTGAAAATCAAGGTGTCGGAAATTATATACAACGCATCTAAAGGATCGAAATTTTTTAATCATGAGCAAAACCGCGACCGGATCCTCACGGGAAAGATTGAGCGCATCTTAAAAGAGAAGAGCCGTCTTGAAAATCTAGATCTGTCCCACGACCTACGGAGGGCGGATCAGCTTCTAGATGAATTGGAAGTCAGTCGAGACTTGTCGCAATACATCGTCCACGTCGACTGCGATGCTTTCTTTGCTGCAGTCGAAGAACTGGACCGGCCGGGATTGAAAACCGTCCCTTTTGCAGTGGGCAAAGGGGTCCTAACTACCTGTAATTACGAGGCTCGAAAGTTCGGCTGCCGAAGTGGGATGGCCTCATTCGTAGCCATGAAATTATGTCCGCAGCTCATCTGCCTCCCTATAAACCACCAGAAGTACAGCGCAAAGGCGCAGGAGATTCGCGCTATCTTCGCCCAATACGACCCGCTCTTTGAAAGTGCTAGCATAGATGAGGCGTACTTAAATATAACCGCCTATTGCACAGAAAACCAAATCGACCCGGAAGATGCTGTTAATCGCATGCGAGCGGAGGTACTGGAGCAAACGAAAATCTCAGTATCTGCTGGCATCGCAGCCAATGCGAAGATCGCCAAAATCGCATCCAACCGCAACAAACCAAACGGCCAGTTTCGTGTCCCCAACGATAGAAATGACATTCTGGAATTTATGAAGGATCTCCCTGTGCGAAAAGTCAATGGCGTTGGCCGGGTGTTTGAACGTGAGCTGGACGCAGTTGGAATTAAAACCTGCGGCGATATTCATCCTCAACGCGCATTGTTGGCCAAGCTGTTCGGCGAGAAGGCATTCCATTTTCTGGCCCAGTGCTACCTTGGGCTGGGTAGAACAAAGATTCAGCCGGCGGAAAACTATGAGCGAAAAAGTGTTGGCACTGAGAGCACGTTCAATGAAATGGGGGGTAAGGAAGCTCTCAGAGAAAAGCTCTGGGCAATTGCCCAGGAGCTCGAGAAAGACCTGACTCGGACTGAATTCAAGGGTCGCACGTTGGTACTTAAAGTGAAATTGGCTACATTCGAGGTTCTCTCCCGACAGTGCCAACCACCGCGAGCGGTGTTTCTGGCCAGTGACCTCTATACGTTCTCCCTCCCAATGCTAGAAAAGCTCGAGAAGGAGATCCCTAACATGAAACTGCGTCTTCTCGGTCTTCGCTGCACCAATTTGGTAAGTACCAAGAAAGGGGAAATTGATTTCTTTGGTTGGGCCACGCGTTCTAAACCTACCGTTGAGTCGACTTCGGATACAGCTGAACAAGAGATCAGTGCGGAAGAAGCATTCGAGAGAGCTGCTCGCCAGGAGATACAGGAGGACATGAACGACCTTGAGAAGCTCAGCCAGGAAGTGTCCGAGCCCAACGAAGTTGATCAGTCTGAAAAGAACCCTGCCACCCCATCTGAACCACAGCCTATGTATTGGGATTGCCCAGTTTGCTCAAAACCACAGGTTGCGGACGACCGAATATTCAATGAGCACGTCGACTACTGTCTCTCAAAACAAACAATTAAGGAGGCCATACAAGGGGCTTCGCAAGATGCCGAGCCTGTCCCACCAAAATTGCGGAAGAGGAAAGGCACGTCGCAGGAGCCTGTTGACCCTCGCCAAAAGCGACTGTTCTTCACAATGATGCGGTCCTCTAATGATCGAATATTCATAAACCGAGTAACGTCGTGATCTTTTGCCGAGCAATAG